GTGGCCATCAGAATTAATCCACGCTCAGGACGTTGGATGTGCCAAACTGCTATGACCATTATATGACTTTTTAGTGGTAGTCAGAATTAATCCACGCTCAGGACGTAGGATGTGCCAATCTTCTATGACCATTATATGACTTTTTTTTAGGACATAAGAATTAATCCACGCTCAGGACGTTGGATGTGCCAATCTTCTATGACCATTATATGACTTTTGTGAGGACATAAGAATTAATCCACGCTCAGGACGTTGGATGTGCCAATCTTCTATGATCATAATATGACTTTTTAGAGGCCATCAGAATTAATCCACGCTCAGGACGTTGGATGTGCCAATCTTCTATGACCATTATATGACTTTTTTGAGGACAAAGGAATTAATCCACGCTCAGGATGTTGGATGTGCCAACCTGCTATGACCATTTGATGACTTTTTAGTGGTCATCAGAATTAATCCACGCTCAGGACGTATGATGTGCCAATCTTCTATGGCCATTATATGACTTTTTAGTGGCCATCAGAATTAATCCACGTTCAGGACGTTGGATGTGCCAATCTTCTATGACCATTATATGACTTTTTAGAGGCCATCAGAATTAATCCACGCTGAGGACGTTTGATGTACCAATCTTCTATGACCATTATATGACTTTTTTGAGGACATAAGAATTAATCCACGCTCAGGACGTTGGATGTGCCAATCTTCTATGACCATTATATGACTTTTTTGAGGACATCGTTGGATGTGCCAACCTGCTATGACCAGTTGATGACTTTTTAGTGGTCATCAGAATTAATCCACGCTCAGGACGTTGGATGTGCCAATCTGCTATGACCATTATATGACTTTTTAGAGGCCATCAGAATTAATCCACGCTCAGGACGTTGGATTTGCCAATCTTCTATGACCATTACATGACTTTTGTGAGGACATAAGAATTAATCCACGCTCAGGACGTTGGATGTGCCAATCTTCTATGATCATTATATGACTTTAGAGGCCATCAGAATTAATCCACGCTCAGGACGTTAGATGTGCCAATCTTCTATGACCATTATATGACTTTTGAGAGGACATAAGAATTAATCCACGCTCAGGACGTTGGATGTGCCAATCTTCTATGATCAAAATATGACTTTTGAGTGGTCATCAGAATTAATCCACGCTCAGGACGTTGAATGTGCCAATCTTTTATGACCATTATATGATTTTTATCTGGCCATCAGAATTAATCCACGCTCAGGACGTTGGATGTGCCAATCTTCTATGACCATTATATAACTTTTGTGAGCACATCAGAATTAATCCACGCTCAGGACGTTGGATGTGCCAATCTTCTATGATCATAATATGACTTTTTAGAGGCCATCAGAATTAATCCACGCTCAGGGCGTTGGATGTGCCAATCTTCTATGACCATTATATGACTTTTTAGTGGCCATCAGAATTAATCCACGCTCAGGACGTTGGATGTGTCAATCTTCTATGACCTTTATATGACTTTTTAGAGGCCATCAGAATTAATCCACGCTGAGGACGTTGGATATGCCAACTTTCTATGACCATTATATGACTTTTTAGAGGACATAAGTATTAATCCACGCTCAGGACGTTGGATGTGCCAACCTGCTATGACCAGTTGATGACTTTTTAGTGGTCATCAGAATTAATCCACGCTCAGGACGTTGGATGTGCCAATCTGCTATGACCATTATATGACTTTTTAGAGGCCATCAGAATTAATCCACGCTCAGGACGTTGGATTTGCCAATCTTCTATGACCATTACATGACTTTTGTGAGGACATAAGAATTAATCCACGCTCAGGACGTTGGATGTGCCAATCTTCTATGATCATTATATGACTTTAGAGGCCATAAGAATTAATCCACGCTCAGGACGTTAGATGTGCCAATCTTCTATGACCATTATATGACTTTTGTGAGCACATCAGAATTAATCCACGCTCAGGACGTTGGATGTGCCAATCTTCTATGATCATAATATGACTTTTGAGTGGTCATTAGAATTAATCCACGCTCAGGACGTTGAATGTGCCAATCTTTTATGACCATTATATGACTTTTATGTGGCCATCAGAATTAATCCACGCTCAGGACGTTGGATGTGCCAATCTTCTATGACCATTATATGACTTTTGTGAGCACATCAGAATTAATCCACGCTCAGGACGTTGGATGTGCCAATCTTCTATGACCATTATATGACTTTTTTGAGGACATAAGAATTAATCCACGCTCAGGACGTTGGATGTGCCAATCTTCTATGATCATAATATAACTTTTTAGTGGCCATCAGAATTAATCCACGCTCAGGACGTTAGATGTGCCAATCTTCTATGACCATTATATGACTTTTTAGAGGCCTTCAGAATTAATCCACGCTCAGGACGTTGGATGTGCCAATCTTCTATGACCATTATATGACTTTTTTGAGGACATAAGAATTAATCCACGCTCAGGACGTTGGATGTGCCAATCTTCTATGACCATTATATGACTTTTTAGTGGCCATCAGAATTAATCCACGTTCAGGACGTTGGATGTGCCAATCTTCTATGACCATTATATGACTTTTTAGTGGCCATCAGAATTAATCCACGGTGAGGACGTTGGATGTGCCAACTTTCTATGACCATTATATGACTTTTTTGAGGACATAAGTATTAATCCACGCTCAGGACGTTGGATGTGCCAATCTGCTATGACCATTTTATGACTTTTTAGTGGCCATCAGAATTAATCCACGCTTAGGACGTTGGATGTGCCAATCTTCTATGACCATTATATGACTTTTGTGAGGACATAAAAATTAATCCACGTTCAGGACGTTGGATGTTCCAATCTGCTATGACCATTATATGACTTTTTAGAGGCCATCAGAATTAATCCACGCTCAGGACGTTGGATGTGCCAATCTTCGATGACCATTATATGACTTTTTTTAGGACATAAGAATTAATCCACGCTCAGGACGTTGGATGTGCCAATCTTCTATGACCATTATATGACTTTTTTGAGGACATAAGAATTAATCCAAGCTCAGGACGTTGGATGTGCCAATCTTCTATGACCATTATATGACTATTTTGAGGACATAAGAATTAATCCACGCTTAGGACATTGGATGTGCCAATCTTCTATGATCATAATATGACTTTGTAGTGGCCATCAGAATTAATCCACGCTCAGGACGTTGGATGTGCCTATCTTTTATGACCATTATATGATTTTTTAGTGGCCATCATAATTAATCCACGCTCAGGACGTTGGATGTGCCAATCTTCTATGACCATTTTATGACTTTTTTGAGGACATCAGAATTAATCCACGCTCAGGACGTTGGAAGTGCCAATCTTATGACCATTATATGACTTTTTAGTGGCCATCAGAATTAATCCACGCTCCGGACGTTAGATATACATACATTCTATGAGCATATTAATACGAATTTTCGATAACAAAATAAATCCACGCTCAGGACATTGGATGTGTATATTTTCTATGACCATATCATGACTTACCAGGCGATAGCAGAATCTTTTTGTACATTAATTAGGCCGTTAGTTTTCTCGTTTTAATTGTTTTACATTTGTGATTTCGGGGCCTTTTATACCTGACTATGCGGTATGGGCTTTTTCCCATTGTTTAAGGCTTGACGATGACCTATAGCTGTTAATTTCTATGTCATTTGGTCTCTTGTGGAGAGTTGTCTCATTGGCAATCATACCACATCTTCTTTTTTATATTCACAGTATATATGACTTGATAATCAATTTTTAAAGTACATCAGAATAAATCCACGCGCAGGACGTTGGAAAGGTGCACCTTTTATGGCCATAACAGGACTTTTCAGTGGACATCAGAAAAATCAAAACTCAGGATGTTGAATATGCATCCCTGCTATTAACATTCTATTACTTAAAATTATAACAAACAACAGTAGTCCTCTCAATAAATCCACGCTCAGGACGTTTGAATAGCATACATCTGATGAACATTTATGGAGTTTTTAGTGAAAATCAAAATAAATCTATGCTGAAGACGTTGGGTGCATACCTTCTATTAGCGGTATTGACCTTTCAGTCGAAATTATAAAAACAAATCAAGCTCAGGAAAGTTTCAAATATTTGTAGAAAAAAGTCATAATTTTGTCTACCCTGATTGAATTTTTTGGCATAAAAAATAGATCATCGAGCAGGTAGTTGTTTGTACATTGTATATGGGGACATACTATGAGATTGTTCAGATATTTTTGCCAAAGGACGATTTCAAAATATACATTTAAAAATTAAATTGAGATTTATAATTGTTTTAGAAGAAGAAGAAGAAGATTTACAAAAGCTTGCATATTTATGCTGAAATCGCTGTCAAGTGTAAATACAGTATATATTTGTTTTCTTTCTTTGTAATTTTGAATATAACATAACATCTTTTCCGATTACATTTTGGTTGCTGTCTCATGGAAACTTTATTTAGAGAGTTATTTAAAAAATGTTATAAAACCTCATGTTACTTCAAACATGTTAAAATCTCTTGCTATAAGCCATTAAACTAAAACGTATCTAAAGCGAGATAACTATGACACATCTCAAATATATAATACAGACACAGTTATCTCTCCTTAGCGTCCTCTTCGTGGACTAACGTGCTCAGCGATGACGTCCCCAGCGATGATTAGCTGTTGACCCCTTATCGTTTTAAACGTAAACGGGGAACCAGATTTTTTTTCTAAAAATAGACCAATTACGACATTTGGGAAGTTTCCCGCTAAAAAAAGATCAAATCGAGCCCATAAAGGTTTATCAATAAACAAAAATGTTAGCGATAGTTTAAAATTTTTAAAAACACTTGATGTTATCATTAACTAAAAATAGATATTTAGTGTATAATTTTGAATCAGATAACAGTTAAACCTACCCTGAATAAATTATTTACGTTTACTCACTGCTTATATCCTGTTTATAAACCTCAAAGGGGAATACCCGTAACAAAATTCCAAGATCTGAAAGTTATAGCGAAACCGAAACTTGTGGGTTGATTGAGAGTTTTTATTAGACGCAAACTTTTCAGTAGCTTCCAGTGTGTTGTTAAAGAGCTGTGCTGTGTTGATATATTATCACATATAACTATGGCATACTTGGTAAGGACTTTATAGAATAGTGAATTTTCAAAAAAAAAGATTGTACGTGGATTCACATTTATTTCCTTGACATAACATTTTCAAAAAAATGAAAACGGTTACCCATCTTTCAGATTTATTTTTCTTAAAACAGTATTTCCATTAATCTAATAAAGTTCTTTTGAATGGCAAGAGCAAAATGAATTTAAAAACATGTTTTCTGTATATCTGTACATGACGTCATGACATGATGGCTGTTTGTGTTGATCAGGAAAAAATTAGTTTATACATGTATTTACCCTTGTGTATTATGAATTTTCTCCCTTAATTGTATGATATTCTAGCATTGTAATTTATGATAAAGACAATAGTTATTGTTTTGTCTGTGAGACAAAAGTAGTTAACTAACTATATTGATAATATAAAATGGGCTCCTTTTCAAAGTATTTGGAAATAATAGATCATAGGAATCTTATGTCATTGTATAGAATAATGTTGTTGTTCAAATTAATGGCATGTACATTTTGTATGTGTAAAAGTTGGACGAATAACAGTAAAAAATCTTGCCAAATGACGTTAACAGTAATTTTTGGTGCATGACGATAAAATGTACACTTTCTTTAAGTTGATAAAAAAATCGACTGATTTTGAAGAATCACGTTAATTTTTTTCCAAAAATAACGGTAATTATTTGAGACATCTTACGAATCATGATAAGGGTATTTTGACAAATCACGGTAAAATTTTAACCAATTTGACGCTAACGGTAGCCGAAAATGACCGTTTGACGCCTGACGGTAAAGGGCATTCCTACCCTCTTATATACATGTTTATATATGTGACAGGATTGCTTCCCTTGAATAGTAAATACTTAGTCAGCCGTCAGCAGTTGAGCTAAGGAAGTACTTCTTTAGCTCAATTGGTTAGAGCCCATCCGTGTAACACAGAGATCTCAGGTTTAAGTCTTGTTTGAGACAATGTGATTTTGCATGTAGAATCATGTTCTTCGGTTACATTTAGTGCCCAACTAAAAAAAAACCACAGTGGTTAGAGAGGATTTCTAGCCAGGGTATGTGTTATAAGAGTCATAATAGTATGATGACACTTGAGGTGGGGGAAGTGTGACAGGATTGCTTCTCTTGAAAAGTAAATACTTAAGTCAGCCGTATGCGGTTGAGCTGAGCTAAGGAAGTACTTCTTTAGCTCAGTCGGTTAGAGTGCTGCCCTGTGATAATTTCACTTACCATGTTGTTACATCAAATTTAATTTTATTAGATACGTCTTAATATATGACAACTTTAAGACAGACTTTCTCTGTTCGATAACCTGTGGTTATACAGGGCTAACACCATAATTTATATATATTTGTCTCAAATCTAGCCCAACAATGCAAGATCTGCACATTTGCTTTTGCAAATTTTTGTTCTTCCCTCAGCGGGATTCAAAGCCCTGCATCTGGAACATTTTGGCAACACAGCCTGCACTTTGTCCAGTGCCAAAAACCACTCGATCAGCTAGGCTATATAAAAAATATAGCTTTGGTTAGTCAAGTAATGCCTTTCCTCTTCGGCTTTATCTAGGGTTGTAACATAGTATATGATGTATAGTGGCAAAGAGATGGTATACCTTTCAGTCAGTTTTTATTTATTTGTCTGTTGTTTTTACACCTCTCCACTACATTGTAATGCAGTAAGGTTTCTACATGATAACATAACTAAAATGTCGTGGAAGCATTGAATCCTGGATAACTGCTTGACATTAGAGCCAAAAGAATACATTCATGATGATTCAACCACATGGTTTCTTTTTGGGGTCCTTTTTTTTTTTAAAACACACATTACAAAATAGCATCTTTTTTTGACATATATAATGGTTGAAATTATTTGCTTTGACCACAAACTTGTTTAATACCATTTTAATACTTATAAATAACACTTTTTAATTATAAATTTTATAAATTTATAGTTTCTTGATAATTTATAAATTTATAGTTTCTTGATAATTTATAAATTTATAAATGGACAGTTTAAAAAAGGCATGTTATAACTCATGTCAGTACTGAAGCACTGACTCTTAGCTGATGATACTCTCTGTGAATAATAGTCCTAAGGGTCTAGGATAACATTTTATAATAAAAATTTATATTGTAGAAGAATGAAGATATAGAGAATGCTCTGGCAAAAATGAGTAAGAATGTTTTGTTTATTTTACTTATTATTTTATGAAGTAGACTGTAAATGTACAAAGTAAATCAAAATTACTGAAAAATACCTCCAAAAAAAATAAAACAACTTATAATGGTTTATTTCTGCTTAGTTTGAAAGCTAATAGCATTCATTCACTTACTTGAAAAGATGGATTCAAATTGAGCAGCTTTTCGAAAGGGAAGTAACAGAAAACATGTCACAGAAGAATACAGACAAACTTTAAAAAAACCTTATCATTTGGGAAGTCACTGTGAGGAGTTCAACAACAAAACTTCAAACTTTTGACCCAAGTTTCAGGATTTCCACAACCAAAAAACATTATTTTCAATAGTCCTGCATTTTTGTACCTTCTACTGTAGGTAGCATGTAATATTACATACAGGTAAAAAAAAAATGATTCAATGCAGACCTCTTTCTAGATTGGGATAAATATACACATAAATGGAGATGAGGGTATAAGTCAATGAGGCAACAACCAAATAACAAAAAGAACCATATAATACATCCAGAGGACAACATACAGTCTTCCACAATAAACAAGTGTCTCCACAATATGTAAAACTCTAAATCATCAAGAATCTAGAAAAAAAAGAATAAATTATACAGAACCCATCATAGATCTGACATTAACAGTAAATTCTCCCAAAGTGAAATCAATTTAAATACTACATACAAGAACTACATGTACATCTGCTCACAAGGTTCCTGACTCGGCACAGGAGCATGAAATTAAACCTTGCATATTAATTGTGCTGTAAATTCAGAAATTATTGTGTGCATTTATTAAAGAATGAATAAAAATGGAGATTAATTATTTCGATTTCATGTCAAGCTGCAATGAGATATATGTATTAGATATCAGAATGCCGGTTTACTTACCCAGTCGCATTATTCACATTAACAAAAACCTCATAATAGTTTCTGATTTTACAGTTATAACATGCATAAATTGCCTGTGCAAAATACTGTTATATATGTATAAATACTTTAAAATGTTTGAATATGAAGCTACATGGTGTTACAGTTAGCAAGGATTTGTATAATACAAAAAATGTAGTATGTGGAAATATTTTTTAAAAATTGCATAATAATTGGGGTCTCTAAAAACACCGCAAAGGACCTCTTTTGTGCACAAAGGAGCACAAAGGACCACAAAGGAGTTTGATATGAGCACAAAGGACCTGAAATTCATTTAAAAACATAAAAATATATATAATTCATGAAGAAAAATGTAAAAAAAAAAAATCAATTTCAATAAAAATTGCGATTTTAATAATGTACGATTTTTAGTTATCACCGGTATCGGTTTGGAACCGACTTTATATCCGGGTTAAGTGAAAGTTCGTGTATGTGAATTTTTAAATAGTTTAGATATTGTACATAAATGATAAAAATGTCAATTATTATTCTTGATATTTTATTGTTGTAATTTTTCAAGGGTAAAGCATTACCAAAACTTCGAAAATTATATAGGATAGCAATGTGTTGTTGTTGTTTTTTGTTGTCTCATATATCATCACTTTGTTTTCTTACGTATGATAATATTTTTAAGTGAAGTATAAGAATACTTGCATTATAACAAAAAAGTCAAAACTTTATATTTCCAATTATGATTTATTAAGATAAAACAAACATGATAAATAAATACATATGATTTAACAATAACATTTAAAATTTTGGTTTTGTCCTCACTGCAGCTGTCCTTGGCCGGTGACGTTGACCATAACATAATTGAACAAGCGGTTTTTAAGTCTTATCTCATAATAATTGGCAAAACACGGAAAGCTGTTACAAAGTTCATTGGACTTGGTGTCGAAATCTATGGTGTCATCAGCTGTTGCTATGCCATTGTCGTTAAAAATGTCGGACATAATCTGCGATCTTTGATTAGATGTTAGAGGCAGCTTGTTTTTTTATGTAATCTGTTACATTGTCTTTTATGTGCTTTGTGCAGAGTAATCTGTCCGGCTTTGAAAATACGCTGTCTTATGCAACTGTCAAACCACCTTCATCGTCGCTACCAAGTTTGACGTCGAAACATTGCACTTCCGTTAGTATCCGAGCTTTGAAGTGTGAAAAGAAAGTGTGGTAAGTCTCCATGGAACCGTCCCAATGGAAAAACACTGGCCCAATGAATATTGGATGGTCACGAGTTGACTTCGAAATGACCTTTTTGTTTTTATAAACAAAGTTTGTCACAAAAACTGAACCTAAATTGAAAGTTCTGCCAACACCAAGGACTGTACTAGGATTAGCTTGCAAGTGTGTTTTAATGTTTTATTCTGCACAAAAACAAAGTATTTACCGAAATTTTCTTACTTGACGAATAATATATTTCTATGACGAAAGGGAACGGTATGGCAGTAATTCTAAAGATAGGAAATGGGGTTGAATTTTTTCAATCCGTTTTTCAGAAATTTCAATATATTCTTTGTTTTGTCAAATTTTATTCTGCACAAAAACAAAGTATGTACCGAATTTTCTTACTTGACGAATCTTAAAGTGCTATGACGGAAAGAATCTAAAGGCACCATGGGGAACGGTATGGCAGTAATTCTAAAAGTAGCAAATGGGGTTGAATTTTGCTATCCGTTTTTCAGAAATTTCAATATATATACTTTGTTTTATCAAATTTTATTCTGCACAAAAACAAAGTATTTACCGAAATGTTCTTACTTGACGAATCTTAATCAGAACAAAAATGTATACACAGCACAATGAAGAAAAGTCTGTAGAGCTGTCATTTAGTTATTTGTGTCGTTGGGTTGCTTGTTACTGACATATATACATCTTCTCAATTCATTTATTTGTATTTTATCAGCCTGATTAATGGATAATCAAAATTTGAAATAAAATTTAGACTTTTTGCAATAGCAAGTAGATATTTTGCATATGGTTAACTATTAAAATAATTATACGAAAAGAAATAAATACCGTATAAAGAATCATCTACGCTAAGTAGCTTGTTGATTAGATTTATCATATATTGAGATAATTGATAAAAAAAAAAATAAGAAGGAGTTCAATTTCCTTAAAGCAATGCTGATGAAAATAAAATATTTAATTTAAAATTTATAAATTGGTTTGAAATTAAACATAATTTTAAACAAACTTGAAAAAAAATATACCTAGAGTTGACACGTAGTCGTATTGAGAGTGATTCATGTTGAATTTGTATAGCTTTGAATGTTTCAGTGAAGAACTCTCTTATTTTATATTATTTTATTTCTGATAAAATTTTGAGTAAAATGGTTTATATTTCATCTAATTGTTTTTTCAACAATGTTATTGTTTTTAAAGACGGTCTTTGAACGCTGATAATTAACTGTAAAGAATATATAACGCTTTGTTCATCCCAAGCGCAATCAAGTCCTCATTATACAAAACTTATTAATTGTGAAATTGAAATCTTTACAAACAGTGTTAGCTTAATTTTTTCTCTCCGGTTTAATGTCCAGTCTTTATTTATATGTTCATGTTTTCTCAATACTTTTCAATATATAATTATAGGTATACTAACATCTTATCGAAAATGGCCGTAATCATATGCATATCCGTACCGGTTACGGAACACGGTTTCGTAAATCTTCAAATTTATACCGATTTAACTCGAGTATTTTAATAAAAATTAATATTTTTTCGTGAGAAATGCCTTTTCCCCCATTTAATAAACAATTTCAGGTCCTTTGTGCACTTATCATACTCCTTTGTGGTCCTTTGTGCTCCTTTGTGCACAAAGGAGGTCCTTTGCGGTGTTTTTAGAGACCGTAATAATTGTATAATACAAATCCTTGCAGTTAGCAATAAAGTAATCCAAAAAATAAATAGCATTATAATGAAAATTTACTATTAAAAATATTTGATGCAATTTTTAAAAAATATTTCCACATACTACATTTTTTCAGATGTTCCATCAAGTAATTTGAATGACTTAATCACACATTATGGTTTGAATCAAATGCCAGAAGGAAGTAAGTACCGTTATTCATATATAATATATATACATTTGTAAAATGTCACAAAGGTTGTGAAAATGAACTTTTATGGATTAAATACTTTGTTTTTATACGACAGCAAAAAAATTTTTGGGATGGTATAATGGTATGATGTCGTCGTCGTCCGAAGACACATTGGTTTCGGGACAATAACTTAAGTTTAAGTGAATGGATCTCTATGAAATTTTTTAAGAAGGTTCAATACCACAAAAGGAAGGTTGGGATTGATTTTGGGGATGATGGTCCCAACTGTTAAGGAATTAGGGGCCCAAAACAAGCATTTTTCTAGTTTCAGGATAACTTGTGTATAAGTATTTCGATTGCTCTGAAATTGTACCACCATGTTTAATACCACATGTAGAAGGTTGGGATTCATTTCAAGGTTATGGGGGCCAACAGTTTAGGAATTAAGGGCCAAAAAGGGGCCAAAAACAAGCATTTTTCTAGTTCCCAGACAATAACTTATGTGTAAGTGTATGGATCTCTCTGACATTGTACCACAAGGTTCCATATAACAAAGGGAAGGCTGGGATTGAGTTTGGGGCTAATTGTCCCAAACGTAGGAATTAGGGGCCAAAAAAGGGCCAAAACCAAGCATTATTCTAGTTTCCAGACAATAACTTGTGTGTAAGTGTATGGATCACTCTGAAACTGTACTACAAGGTTCCATACTACAAAGGAAAGGCTGGGATTGAGTTTTGGGGTTGTTGCTCCAAGGGGGGTTTAAAAAATTGGGGGGGGGGGGATTTTTTTCCCAATTTTTGTAACGGATTCATATTTTTTTTTCAAAATTTTTAAAATTTCACGAATTTTTGAAAAGTTTCAAGATGAATCCTTCAATTGCACAGTATTGCGCAATGGATTTATAGGATCTTTGACCACATTTATTTTGTGTCAGAAACCTATATTATGTCAAAAATTTGATCACAATCCAAATTCAGACAGTATCAAGCTTGAATATTGTGTCCAAATTTGCCCCCAACTGTTCAGGATTCGACCTTTGCGGTCGTATCAGGCTGGGCTCAGTGAAGCATTTTATTTTCTGTTATATACATGTAATATATCGGTGAAATTTGCATGGCGATGACAATAACCCAGGTTTAAAATTCTACAAAAAAAATAATTTACATTTTTGTAACTATTTCTAAAACATTTACCACATTTATTTATTTGGGATATGGACTATTATAAGACCCAACATGACAAATTAGTTTTGATTTTAACACTAGACAGTTCTTAATCTCATGATTATTCTGATGTTGTGGACTTTATTATTACATTTTCTATTCTAGAATCATATGGAATATCACAAAGTTAAGCTGGCCACCAGCTTGTTCATTCAGGATATGCCAGGATATTACAAACCCTTAATTTTTAATCTTTTCTCATTTAAGTGAAACCTGCAACCATTACAAATAATACAGATGTTATTCACACATCAAGTTTGAATCTTGCACCGTCTGTAGAAATTGGACAATTACCCCATACTACTGTTAATGAAACTAGGAAAGAAGCAACTGTTAATGTTGTTATTGAAAATAGAATGGTACGATTTAGATACGACTCAGAATTGAACAACAGAAATTATGGAAAAGAAGTCTTGGCTAAAATAGTGGTAAGGAATTAGTTAGTCTTGAACTCTAAAAATATGAAAGAAGTAGCCTGATATAACAATTAAAGAATGACAAAAAAGCACTATCAAAAAACTTTCACTTAAAATTTGATGAGAATAAAGAAATGTTTAAGATTTCATATCAGATTTAAAAAACAAACAGAAGATGAACTTTCATTTCATTTTAAAAGGGAGGAAACATTTATTAAAGTTAGCAACCTCCACTCAGACACTTATAAATGTGTCGAGTGAAAAAGGAGAAAATTTCAAAATTTGAATGAAATGATACTTATTTTCAGCCCTCGCCTTTCAAGCTATTACCTTTTCTCCAAATGAAATATTCAAAAAGAATTTTTGGTTTAGAACAAATGCACTCTTCACATAAAATCATCAAACTTTTTTTGACAAACAAACAGAAGTAAAATAATGAGTCTTAACTTTGTTTATTTTATTTTTTTACACAGGTGAACGACTATATTGGAAGGGTGAAAGTTCGTATTCATGCAGTAGATGATAAAAAGTATAAAGCCCATCCCTTCTGTTTGATTGGAGATAAATGTGTTGATGGGGTCTATATAGAAGACCATGATATTGCTCCTGACAAAAATGAATGGTAAGTAAAAAAATTCAGAATATCTATGATGAATTTGTCATTTAAAATAATTCTGTCTCTGAAATTCCACTTTCATTTTCTATTTTAGATCAGTGACAGGTTTGTTATTTAGTATTGTTCATTGTTCCTTAATATTCAAGAGGAACTCATGACCCCAATTGATTTCCAGAGTCAAAATTCGGCTGGAGTCATGGATCCAGGTTAACACAATTTATGTCCAAAAGCCCTGTGATCTTTTGTTCAACTTGCCTTCACGGAGTCAAAAAAGAGATTTAGGTATGCTGTTTCCTATGGCATTGGCAGCTGTGCCGTCAATACAATGTATTAGTTGGTGATTAGGTTGATATTTGGTATGCAGTTGTATTAGCATTGGCACATCTCATTTCCATGGAAATTATTTTGCCCCACCCCCTCAGTCGTGGTCTATTGACTTTGAAACTTTTGCTTACTTAAGATGTATTAGTTTGTGATTGGGTCATTTAAAGGGGAACCACTAGTGGTAGGCCAATGATGTTTGTAATGCAGATGCATTAGCATTTGAATGTTTTGCATAGTTTACATGTTAAAGTTTGCGATTAGATCAGTTTAAGAGGAACTGCTAACGTTAAATCAATGATAGTACAAACTATATTAGCATTTGCAAGTCTTCTTTTCCATGGAGATTATTTGGCCCCACCCCTATCAAGGTTCATTAACTTTGAAACTTTTACATTGTTTACAAGTTAAAAAAGAGAGGCGAAAGATACCAAAGGGACATGCAAACTCACAAGTCGAAAATTAACAGAAAACACCATGGCTAAAACGAAAAAGACCAACAGACAAACAACAGTAAAGTTTGTGTTTAGGTAAGTGTTTAAGGAACCACTTATGATAATAATTATAGTGGCTTAGATTGAAACTTGATTAAAAAAAAAAGGTTTTTTTTTGTTTCAGTATTTGTAAAGCTACACCAAGAATTCCCAAACAGAAGAATTATGATATGGAGCTTAATAATAGAAAACTTATAATGATGGAAGGAAGCCGTTTTCCATTCATCACTGCTGACATGGAAAAAGGTAAAAGACGTGAAGTTTTATTAAATCTGAAATATATGTAGATGTTTACCATTTTGTTGAGGAGAGCCTTGAAATTTTCATCAACTATGTCAAAGGTAAAAATTACATTACCACCCTTTTATATGTTACCCTATGTTTAAAAAAAAAAGTTTCTGAGCAACAGGCTCTGAAATATTCACAAACATTGGCACTGTCTTTACATGTTTCCTATAACTTTTCCACTTACTACTAATTTTACTACTTTTTTCTATCACTGGACAAGTGATGATATGAAGTAGCTTGCAGTGTAATAAAAATGTAATATATCAGTAAAACAGCCATTTAAAAAGAGTAGCACTATTACTGGTAGTTCATGTTGATAATTCTTAGATTACCTTGAATCATGAAAGGAAGACCCATGTTTTTGAAAGAATTAAGTTTTTTTATATTTATTAACATACACTACACTGTAGAGATACATATATGTATATATGGTTATGCTTTAAATGGTAATCAATTAATCCCATGAAATACCTAGATTAGTGTAGGCATTTTACAAATTTTGTCATTGATTTCTGTGAAATTAACATATTTATTGTTTCAGAAATCTTAAGACAATCACAAGTTTAAATCAAGATATGCACAGGAATATTAAATAAAAAAATGATATGTATATTTTTAGATGACTACTGGAACTCCAATAAGAATATCAAAGAGAGTAAAGAGATTATATTAATGGTAGAGGTTCATTTCGTTACTGAAAATGCTAATCCTCCTTATATATTACAATACAGCAATCCTATCAATAATGCAAGTAAGTAACAGACAGATACAGTTATATTTCTAATTTCTCAAAAGGAAGGCACACAGGATGAAAAAAGGGAAAAAGGCACTTAAAAATAATATCCATCAAACAAAATTAAGATACTGTCATATTTATTATTCTTGAATAAGACTGAAAAATTTCACAATATTACTCAGATTCATGAATATTTAGAATTGACCATACGGGTTATGAAACTTTTCTGCATGATTTCAATCATTATGCAAAGCTTGACTATTGCATTTAATGTTCATAAATTTTTATTATGTTGTACCCCATAGAGTAAGTAGTACACTACACTCACACCTGAACAGATAACTATTTTCTTGGCCTCTGAATTGAGGAATTATTTTGTATTTGGTCTGGACCTTGATATTGTTAAGTTTTACCCTGTAAGCAATTTTCAAATCTGCAATGTGAAGTCACTATGTTTGAAAATTGTTTGAAATATTACTTTTCTTTCTGAACATAGGTTTTCTTTGATTGTGTCATGAAATGATTGAAACAATTTTTCATGTCAGACGTACAACAACTTCCTGTTTGCCAATAGTTTCAAAAGTTTGAAAGAGTGTTGAATATATTATAGTTTGATCGAGTATAGCAAATCATGTACAATTTCACTTTCTTTTCTTTTCACAGAGGATGGTAAAAAATTTGAGGTATACGCTATAGCTCCTTTAACATCATCAGTATTAGGATCTCCAAACGATTCTCACTTCATCATCCTGACCTCAGATTCGTACTCACCTGCTGGTAAGTAAAAATAGTAGTTGAAAACCGAGTTAACAAAAACATGTTCTGTTTGTACTCAAAATTAATTCCTGGTTTATTTATTATACGACAGCAAAAAATTTTTTTTGCATCGTATATTGGTATGATGTTGTCGTCTGCGTCGTCGTCCGAAGACAAATTTGGTTTCCGGACAATATCTTTAGTTCAAGTGAATGGATCTCTATGAAATTTCACCAGAAGGTTCAATACAACAAAAGGAAGTTTGGGATTGATTTTGGGGGTTATGGTACCAACAGTTAAGAATTAGGGGCCAAATACAAGCATTTTTGTTGTTTCCGGACAATAACTTGTGTGTAAGTTTATGGATCTTTCTGAAATTGTACCACAAGGTTCCATATCACAAAAGGAAGGCTGGGATTGAGTTTGGGGGTAATTATCCTAAACGTTCTGGAATAGGGGGCCAAAAACAAGCATTTTTCTAGTTTCCAGACAATAACTTGTGTTTATGTGTATGGATCTCTCTGAAATTGTAATGCAAGGTATCATACCACAAATGGAAGGCTGGGATTGAGTTTGGGGGTAATTGATCCAAACGTTCAGGAATTGGGGGCCAAAAAGGGGTAAAAAACAAGAATTTTTCTAGTTTCCAGACAATAACTTGTGTTTATGTGTATGGATCTTTCTGAAATTGTACTGCAAGGTACCATATCACAAAGGGAAAGCTGGGATTGAGTTTGGGGGTAGTTACTAAAAGGGGGGTAAAAAATATTAGGGGGGTGGGGGGGGTTTCATAATTTTTTGGGTTTTTTTTCTTAAAATTTTCCATTTTTGCATTTATTATTTCTGATTTATACTTAAAAGCAAAAAATACTGATATGGCAGGAGATACACACCAAACATAATGTGTAAATTATTATATGAAGTATTGTGCAACAGCACACTATTGCCCTATAGCAGGAAATCTTCAATTGCATAGTATTGCGCAATAGCATAATATTGCACAATTATAGCAAGAAATCTTCAATTGCACAGTATTGCGCAATAGCAAGAAATCTTCAGTTGCACTGTATTGCAGAATAGCAAAAAATATCCAATTGCACAGTATTGCGCAATAGCACAATAGTGCCCAATAGCCAGAAATCTTCAATTGCATAGTATTGCGCAATAGCAAGAAATATCCAATTGCACAGTATTGTGCAATTGCAAGAAATCTTCAATTGAAAATTAATACAAATATTCAACCCATTTCAAATTTTTAAGATTTTTCACCACATATTTTTTTTTGTGTCAGAAACCTATATTATGTCAAAAATTTGATCACAATCCAAATTCAGACAGTATCAAGCTTGAATATTGTGTCCAAACTTGCACCAACTGTTCAGGGTTCGACCTCAGCGGTCGTATCAGGCTGCGCTCAGCGAAGCATTTTATGTATTTTTTGTAACAATGGGTAATTTGCCTTTTCATCATCTTATCAAAAATGGACCTGTTATGGTATACTGTTGTCTAACCAGGGTAAACATGTTGGGCACTAACTCAATTGTGTCTTTCGTGATTTACGACAAACCTTACCCATTTATTAAAAAGATTGTCTCAGGATCTGTATACTTTTTGATGATTTTCACATTTGTTGTTTCAGACTTAAATCTAAAATAATTAATCATTTTTTTTACATGTCACTTCTCAGGTCAAGTATTCCTTAAGCGATTTACCTCAAACTTGACCAAATTTTGAAGTTATGGGTCTTCAATCTTTGAAAAATGAGAATTTTCTCATATGCCATGCAGCAACTAAAGAACAAAACAATGATGCATACAAATAACAACAATTTAAAATCAAATCTGTTGTAACATTATTCACACTGCACAAAGAAGAAAATTAGCACACACATTGGTAATTTTATAATTTTAGTTTTTATACGCCTGTTTACGGGACGTATTATGGTATACCGTTGTCCGTCCGTCCGTCCGTCGTCAAAATGTCGGACATTAACTCAAAAACGCTTTAACCAATTTGCATAAAACTTTGGTGAATTGTTTATATCTATTGACGTGAGCTCCCTTTCGTTTTTTATAAATTTTAGATTTTACGTTTCTGAGTTATGGGGTTTTATTCATTAAAAAAAGGGGGATTTTCCAGTTTTCGGACAATAACTCAAGAATGCTTTCACTAACTTTCAAGAAATTGTGGTGAATTGTTTATATCTATTGACATGAACTCCCTTTTGATTTTTATAAATTTTACATTTTACGTTTCCGAGTTACAGGGTTTTATTCAGAAAAAAGGGGGATTTTCCAGTTTTTGGACAAAAACTCAAAAATGCTTTCAGCAGTTCTTATGAAACTTTGGTGAATTGTGTATATCTATTGATGTACCGGTAAGCTCCGTTTAGAATTTTATAAATTTTACATTTTACATTTCTGAGTTATGGGGTTTTATTCATTAAAAAAGGGGGGATTTTCCAGTTTTTGGACAAAAACTCAAAAATGCTTTCAGCAGTTCTTATGAAACTTTGGTGAATTGTGTATATCTATTGATGTAAGCTCCGTTTAGAATTTTATAAATTTTACATTTTACATTTCTGAGTTATGGGGTTTTATTCATTAAAAAAGGGGGGATTTTCCAGTTTTCAGACAATAACTCAAAAATGCTGTCAGCAATTCTCATGAAACTTTGGTAAATTGTTTATATCTATTGATGTAAGCTCCCTTTTGATTTTCATAAATTTCTAATATGACTTTGAGAATTAATTGAACTTTATTTGTTTAGAGTCTGAAAACAGATTTACTAAGTATTGCGCAACAGCACTGTGTATTACACAACAGCAAGAAATCTTTAATTGAATATAAATTCAATTCATATAACCAATTTCAAGTTCTTTGACTAGATTTATTCAGAAACCTATTATATGTCAAATATTTAATTACAATCCAAATTCAGACCTGTATCAAGCTTGAATATTGTGTCCATTTTTGCCCCAACTGTTCAGGGTTGGACCTCTGCGGGCGTATCAAGCTGCGCTCAGCGAAGCAGTTTATTGATTTATATAATTGTGACATTTGAAAGTTTTAAACTAAACTGAGCTAAATTCTAATTAGTTAACTAAAGTTATTTTTATTTCTAGAATCAGATATTGAGGTTAGGTTTTGTGACGAAGGAGATTGGTGTCAAACTACTAGAGGAAAAGTTATTAAAAATGTAAGTATTGTTGTTTTAGGAATAAATCTTCAACATTTTTGGGAAAGCATTTTATCAAACAAAATAATATAGATGGCAAACACTTTGGCTCAATATATTTATTCAACTTTCATGATTGATACACAAACTTAAAAATGAATTTACATTCAGATCTCATTGTAAAAAGTCTCATCATTTCTCAATTTTGATATCTGTTTCATTGCTGTTATTCGGTGATACTTGTCTGTAAACATCACTTATTTTACTGAGCCACAAATCTTTTTTACAAAGGAGATATTTTTAAGAATAATTTGTCTTTATTGTAGGAGAATATGCATAAAGGCTATGTATTATATATATATGTATCTCCATATAGAGGGGGGGAGCTCTGGGGCCCCATAAATCCACCTCTGAGGACAACAAAACTTCAAAACTAATTTATTGGTAAATCACAAGTAGATTAATTTATATTATAATTTCATAAAAAAGATGAATTTCAGTTTTACTGTTTTATCCCATAGGCTATTGAATTCAATTTTCCGGGATACAGTGAATCATTATCAGTTGAAAAAACGGTGTATGTTTCTGTTTATGACAAGAAGAGGAAAATAGAAACATCCAGAAAAGAACTCACACTACGGCCTTCAGATGGTTTGTACATTTTTTGTTGTTTTTTTTTGACAAAAAATTGCATCTTTACAACAAATTGATTCTTAAAACAAATTTTGACAAGTTCAAGCTTAAAATTCTTTACAAATTAAACCTTTCTCATGTTTGAACAATTAAGATGAAAGGAATATAAGACATGGTAATCTCAAACTCTTGAGAGTAAGAGTTTCCAATTCTGTCGAGGCTTGTCAAAGTCATATATGATAGGAACACTTTACCTTTGGGTGTCCCAGTTCCAAGTCTTGCAATCATTCTTGCCAGTGTTTGATTAATTTTCTCACCTTTTTATGTTCAAATGGATAATAAAACATTAACAAAAAAACATCGGAATAGTTACAGCTGCCTTACTCACGTCTCTTGGTAAGACAGGAACATCTCAATCCATTGCAACCACAAATTGATAACCATCAATCGGGTGAGCAAAGAAAAATTATCGGAGAAATAGGATATCCTATTTCTCCGATAATTTTTCTTTGCTCACCCGATCCTATTTCTCCGATAATTTTTCTTTGCTCACCCGATTGATGGTTATCAATTTGTGGTTGCAATGGATTGAGATGTTCCTGTCTTTCCTTGTGTGAGACAAATAATTGATTTAATTTTCATGGGGGAAAAAATCCAGTAATTTTTCAGCAGCTGCCAGTTTGATTTAGCTTCACATAAAACATAAAATATTTAGATTAAATTCATCATGCAGTATGCCCTATTATGTTTATGTGTCTTGAGTTTTTTCTGTTTCTGGTACTTGATTCTGAATGAAACAAAAGAGTTGTATTTTATTATTTATCAGTAGCTGCATGATCAGTAAATATATATATTTCTTTGTAGGAGACATAATTGCTCACAAAAGGAAAAAAGTAATCAACTTTACCATACCAGACTATACAGAAGGTGTTAAACAAGGTATTTACAACACAATGTACATAAACTGTTTTTCCTATAAATTAATTGGAATTCATGTGATGACACAGTACCCAAATTGCACCTAGTACCCAATTTGCATCCAATTTGAAAAATAAGCAGTAGAAATCTTACAGGTTTTCTAAGAGACAAAACTATTCATATTTCTATAATTTGCCAATATGCACGTCATTCAACATAGCTAAATATATGTAAATATACACAGAATGGTCACATTATAAATCAACAGACGATGTACCAGTGAAAAAAGTAAAATTTACAGAAACTTTGCATGTGAAGTCCACTAAAAGTCAAGCGTTTGAAATGGGCAATCAAAATATGTTACAGACATCCATTTCTTACAAAATGCATAGTAAGCACAGACTATTGTCAAGTTGTTCTTAGAAATGTGGAGAAATGAAACAAAACTTCAGTTATTTGATTTTTACAGATGTGAAGTTAAGCATGTATGCAATTTAGGCACTCCTCATTATATAATCTTAATTAGTTTGGAGGTTGGTTCAAACCAGTTTTTCCATCATTCAGTATGGATTTAAAATTAAATTTGTAAACGTAACACTCACTTTGGTCTCAGTAGGTATGAATGAAAAAGATATGGGGTTTATAGCCTCTTGAGACATATATATATATATATATAAATAGATGAGAGAGACAGCAAGAAAGAGGGGTTGTTAGTTGTTTATGTAATACATGTATCTTCAGTTCAATAAGCAAATAATTCAAGTTTTGAAATAAAATGATGAATTAACATAAATTAACATAAATGTCATTTTGATAGTTTGTCCATAGGTTTCATTGTTCTGATACAGATTTAAGTCTTTGTCTTCTTTAACTATCATATTTATCATAAAATGCTTGATTTATTTTGTAGAACAACAGTCTTCCTGTATGAATGGTGGCCAACGAAGAATTCATCACTTGAAAAAGAAAGTTTCCAGTCGAAGTGGTAAGAGCTATTTCCCTTTTTCTTGTTTTATATTGTGTGTAAGAGCACCCTCTTTGAAAAATTGTTCTGAATAAGCTTGAAATATTTACCACAGTATATTAAGCAAACAACAACTAATTAATCAGTCAATCAATCGTTTGTAAAAGGATAAGACAAAGTACTCAGTGATAAAATGAATATCTAAACTTAATGGTACCCAGACCATAATTAACCACATAATTTCTTAAAAACACCAGGATGTTGAATGCAATAATTCCTGAATGACTTTGGCATGAACTGGAAATCTCAGAAAAAAGTAAATTTCTTTAGAGGATTTTAAATTGCTCAAGGTATTTTTTTCATAGGAACATAAGACTTGTCCAAAATAAAGTTTTTTAGTAAAGGTTCTATCATTTTGAAAAAATTATAAATGTTTGACCATACTTGTGATTATGGCTTGTAGATATAAAAGGAACATCTATTGTACAAATGTTTATTTAAGCAATATTTTAAAAAACGGAAAATGCATTACTTCCGTATTGTTTTTAAGACAATCTGATCATAAGTTGATTGCCAAACCAAGAAACTAGATCTTATGATAGCCAGTCTATGGCTTAAGATGTTCATGAGGGTCCTCATTTATATACTACTGAATACTACTTTTTGTCTCGACTTGACGGAGTCAAAAAGCAAGACATATGCATGTATGTATGCTATTTCCTGTGGCGGCGTCAGTGTCAACAATGTATTATTTTATTATTAGGTCAGTTTATGGGGAACCACTAGTGGAAGGCCAATGATATTTGGTATGCAGTTGTATTTACATTTACACATCTCATTTCCATGGAGATTGTATGGCCCTGTACTCTCAGTCATGGTCTATTGACTTTGAAACTTTTGATTATTTTGTGATAAGGTCAGTTTTTGGGGAACCACTAGTGGTGGGTCAATTATATTTGGTATGCATATGTATAAGCATTGGCACATCTCATTTCCATGGATATTGTTTGGTCCTGTACCTTCAGTTCAATCATGGTTCATTGACTTTGTATATTTTGCATAACTTGCATGTTAAAGTTGTGCAATTTTAATTTCAACTTTTGCATTTATAAAAATAAGAAAAAGGCGAGACATATATCTGTCTAAACAGTTTATTATTGGAAAGATGTATAGTTTTACTTAATTGGTTTTATTTTATAGCTTACTATGGGGTATGGGTTTTGCTCATTGTTGTTGTTACTAATACTTATAAAACTGCATATATACCAAATACAATAAACACAAACTTTAACTTGTACGTACAAGTTTCAAAGTCAATAAACCATGATGAGGGGGAGGGGCCATATAATCTCCATAGAAATAAGACTTGCAAATGCCAATATAACTGCATGCCCATTATCATTGACTTAACATTAGTGGTTTTTCTTAAACAGATCTAATGATGTAAATAATGCAAAACATTCAAAGTCAATGAACCATGACTGAATGGGGGTGGGGTGCAAACAATCTCCATGGAAATGAGATGTGCCAATGCTAATACATCTTCATATTAAATATCATTGACATACCACTAATGGTTCCCCTTGAAAACAAAAAAAAAGTTTCATAGTTAAGAGACCATGACTGAGGAGGAGGGCCCAAATAATCTCCATGGAAATGAAATGTGCCAATGCTTATACAACTGCTTACTAAATAGCTTTGACCTACCACTAAAGGTTCCCATTAAACTGACCCAATTACAAACTAATACATGTAAACTAAGAAAAACTTTCAAAGTCAATAGACCATGACTGAGGGGACGGCCCAAATAATCTTCATGGAAATGAGATGTGCCAACTGCATACCATATATCATTGACCTACACTTCCTCCATAAACTTGACCTAATCACAAACTAATACATTGTTGACTCTGCTGAAGGAAACAGCACGCTTAAGTCTCGCGTTTTCGACTTTGTCAACACAAGACATTAAAATGAACTTCAACAACAAAAAATCTTAAAGGATGTTACTGAAAAACTTCATGGACATTGCAAAAATTAAATCTATAAACAAATACATGTTAATCTTTTCCTTTAAAGATTTAATTGATTGATTGTTGTTTCCTAAAAGTTCAGTGGCAAATATTACATGCATATTTAGGAATCAACAATACAATGATAAATTTCAAACAGGACACTGTGCAATAGCAAGTCAACAAAAAAGGCACATTATACAGTTCAGATTATTACACAGTATAATTTTGCAGTATACCAGTGGGATAAAGCTAGCTGAGCATTGTAATTTGAAGAAATATGTAGTTTCTCAATTAATTTAGTGACCTATAACTTATTCATTTTAAATGTTGAAGTACAAGTACAAGTAGAAAACAAGCCAATTGAGCACTGTAATTTGAAGAAATATAAAGTTGCTCAATCAAATTTGTAATCTATAATTGTTATAGTTGAAGAAAAAGTCGAAATCAAACCAACCATGCCAGCTGAGCACTGTAATTTGAAGAACTATGTAGCTGATCAATCAATTTTGTGATCTATTATTGTTCATGTTAGGTATCACTCCACAGTTAAGAAATAAAATTAGAATTAAACCACAAAATGTTTAATCATCTGTTATTCCTGGCTTTTCCCATGGCAAAAACTCTATTACCCTTCACAGAGATGCTTGATTTATTACGGATGGTTGTTATGTACAAGACATCATATCAAAATAAGGAGATGTGGTTTGTTACTTTGAATTTGAAATTTGATAGACAGTAATAACAGAACATTCAGTATACCCGGTAATAAATTAAAAACACATAGCTGAGAGGATGATAGAGCAGATTCTAACCCCTCAAAAAGACATTGTCAACCTTGGCTTCACCTCAGTTGTCAATGTTTTCTCTGGGTAACAAACTGCTCTATCACCCTCTCAGCTATGTGTTTTTCATATAGTGACATACATGTGCATATGTATGTAATCAGTAAAAAGGGGCATGAAAATGTCACATATTATAACAAAATTTGGTTCAAACTAGAATTTTATTCCCTTTGAGTGATAACTTTTCTGAAACCATTGACATTCATCTACCAAATGATCATATAAAAAAATGAATTTCTTTTGCCTCATTTTTTCGTAAAATTGAATCACGAAGTTTGTGTGACAAAAAATTGGAATAAAAACATTACAATAATTTCTGGACTAATGTCTGGTATGGATATGAAGATACAGACTGTCATACAGAAAACAGCCCATAATACATACATTACACATTCTTGATGTTCATATAAACCCACTATGAAGGCTATATTAATCTTCAGCTATCCAAAAATGAATTTTATTGCACACTAGCTTTCATATTTGAAAAATCCACCTGGGCCAAAATGCAAAACTACATACCTAATTGTGGAGTTCTACCTTAAATGTTAAAGGAAAAGTAGCAAACAAGCTGAAAGAAAAAAGTAAAAATTACATTGCACTACTTCATACATTTACAAATGAATTAACAATCTTATTTTGAAATTGTTTAGGAAATTAACTAGTTGTATGATGAAATAAAAATTTCTTTATTTTATAGCAGGTTCACCTTTGGATTTGGCAAAATTGGAAGAAGAAGGGGTGATGAGTTTAAATATTTCTAGCCCGATGAGCCAGAATGAATTCAGTCTAAACTCTACCTCAAACTCTTCATTTGGGCAAGCAGTTACTGCAGCAACATTTTCAAACTTCAATAATCCATCCACTACTCTGGCTGCAAGTATTCCCAACACCATTCCTGCCATTCTAGCACCAAGTGGTGCAAGAGATATGCAGGCCAGATCAACAATATCTGATTACCAATTAGGTACAAACAATTCAGACCATAAGGATCTAGCAAACAACGTAGCTTTATCACAAAACTCTCAAGGAAACATCCTTCAATCACAAAATATGTTTGGTACACTAAGTAATATACAGGTTGTTGGTAACAACACTCAAGATATATCTCAGGAACAAACTTTAAGCATCAGCCAGCTTAACAATCTTCTTCAATATCCAGACGTTCTTAAATTGCTTGGATTAAGTGCAGATGGTTTAGCCCCACAGGCAGCCAGTGTACCATCTGTGAGTTTCAATCAGATGAATACTGATCAGTATGCTAATAGCAATAGTGGTTATGATCCCCATGATATCAGATTGGAAGATTTTGTTGAGGAGTTGAGTCAAAATGACATTGAAGTTGATTGTGAAGAAGTTAGTAGTTCGACTGAAAAAGAGGAACATTGTGGAAAGTGCAAGAATGAAAATGACAAAAGTGAAAAGAAAACAGAAAAAGGTAAATCTTCAGGCAAAATATCAAAGGACATAGTGTCAGAAAAGAAAGTTTCGGAAAAGAAAACAGAAAACAAGGATGAAAAATCGGAGATACAATCTGCAGTTGTCTCATCCAACAAGAATGATGTTGAGGAAGGGTAGAATGTTTATCATTACATTATGTATAACATGAATTTCATTTCAATAATATGCTTTGAAACTTACTACAAAAAGTTACCATTTTGGTTGCAACAGACATTTTACTGTGTCTTAAATTTGTATTGTTTCATCTTTCATTTTACAATGATAATTATATATAGTTGTGAAACTAGAAGAATTGAATAATTATTGTATATAAGTGTGCACCAAAAATGTTTTAATAGTTGAGCAATCCATAATAAGTTTCTGGTTTGCTATATAAATCTATGATTAAAATTTTAAGATGATACTATTATAATAAATCATGTCTCTTCTTAATTTTATGAAAATATTTCCGTAAAATATTGTTACATGTTCTATTGAAAGATATACATCTTTCCATGTGATCTTTTGAGGATTGTTGTCATTTGTAACTACATATAGAATTAGAAATTAGTCTATGGGTATCCTCTGTCTCTGAGAAAGATGCATGAGAAATCTAAAGTTTCATGTATACATGACTGACTGTCAATTTCTAAAGAGCCTTTACATTTATATAGATATATATATTTTGAACATGAATTCACATTTTCTAGGGTTAGTTTCTAAACAGCAAACTAAAAATAATTATGAATGGCTTTATTTACATTTTATATATATATATATATATATATATATTTAGCAAACCACAGAAGCATTTTTTGTTTGTTTTCTCCTTGATTTTTATTGTTGATAGATTGAACTGCTGTTGTGAATATTATCTTATTTATAAACTTTAGCATTAAAGTAGGCAATAACAGAATGACTGGTCATAGTATGACCAGACTTGACTCTATATTCTAATTTAAAAAAATATTTTATGGTAAAGGGGATATATAAGAATACTCATTGTACATGTTGTATGGATTCCTCACAGGACAGATGATTAAATCATTATTTCATTTAATATTTGAGGGCATTACAATCTGACGTTCATGAATCATCATTAATACATCTTGGAGTTCCTGGAAAAAAAGAATCTATATACATTTGTATATTGCTTTAAAAAAAGGAAAAAAGACTAGTGTCAGACTCTCAATATTTCAAATACGGGTTTGTTGAAGTTATAAATAATTTGAAACAAAGTCTTTACAGTACATTCTGTAATACCAGTAGCTAATAAAATTTACTATTGATAATTGCACATTACAAGAATCAACTGTTGCTGTACAGTTTTGGTTCTTATTAACCATGTGTTATTATTTATTAATATGTTTATTATTATACCATTTTTTTAATCAATCTGGAAATGCATCATACATTATTTGTAGCTGACAACAACTTCCTTGTTTATGAGGTTTTGATTTCGATACTTTTATTTAAAGCAAGGTTTTGTGGCAAAAAAAGACAGATACTATTACTCACCAGGGGTTCATCTTTTTTCTTGGGTTACAAATTTCATGGATTAAGGAAAAGTTGTATTTTTTTGTAGTTACTTGGTTTCCTGATTTAGACAAATATTTCATGCAAATCTGTAGGAAACTCATACTTTGTTGAAAAATTAAATTTGTGGTTCTCCTTTATCTACAAATAATAATAAATCTACAATAATTATATTACAAAAAGATACTGAAATTTAGAGAGCCATTTAAATTACTCTGTACACTACAACCTGTGTTAAAAGAAATGATGCAGATACACCCAGGAGTTATTCTCATATCAATAAATATCTAACATTAATAACTTTTTCTTGATGTTTTGAATGCTTTTCTATTTTCTTTCTATTTTTACAAACTAGTATCTATAGTTACATAAGAAAAGTAATTGATGAATTTTTAATGCTTGTTATTTTTATTGTTAATTTTTCTTTATATAACAACCTGTTTGTTGCCTTTGTTAAAGCTATTGGCTGTTATTTCTGTTGCCAAATTGTATAAATCTTGCTGATGCTTATTAATTAATAAATAAAATTAAACAAGTTTTTTTTTAACTCATTTAATGCTGTGCCTTCATACCTGGGTTACACATAAGGATCACATCACTATTCATTTTCTTAAGCCAATATCATTGACATTGTCACACTTCCCTCTCCTTTTCGAATCTGAACAACTTCGATTTCTCTTAAACTATCTAACACATCATTAAATTGTGTAAGATAGTTTAGAGAGGGCCTGAGGGGATAGGTGTTCATGGAAAGTTGAGGCAAGAAATATTTGTACTTTTTAGTTTTAGAGACTTTAAAGTTAAATTTATATATCCCTCATTTATAAAAAAATATTTGAGATATTCCCCACTGCACCACCTGCACTGATATATCAACTCCATTTAGGGGTCCATAGATGACCTTTGGAAGGCAAAATATTGACATTTGACTGAACACCCTTTTGGGGTAAAGATTGCATTCATGCAATCAAAACCTTTATGTGGCTGTCTTGATATTTATCAGTTTCCTAGACATTATCACTTCTTTTAAAATAAATAAAACAAAGTGCATTGAGCACAGCATTCTTTATATATTCTATCCCTGAATATTTCAAGAAATTTATCAGTGAAATGTATACTCAGATATTCAACTTACAAAATAATGTTTATGTGTATAACCATACTTTTTAAGAAATTACATAAATTGTGCATGGTGCATGAATTTAGCATCTCTTCTGATAACTTGAGTATCCCTTGCTATATAAGAAGGAAACTTAAACAGATAAAAGATATAGAAAGAGGAAAGAATTCTAATGATTTTAGGGTCAAAGTCAAGGTTACTGTTACTAGAAATAGATTTTTTGGGGAAAATGGCTTTCAGGTGGTAACTTAAGTTTTCCACTCAAGATTGAAATAAAACTTATACAGATGGAAGATATAGGTAGGGAAAGAAGCCTTAATTTTTATTATGGATCAATAGGTCAATTGTAAAGTCACTTTAACTAACAATAGAAAGATTAGGAAAACGGTTTTCGGTTGATAACTTGAGTTTCCGTTGCTTGATTGGATGAAATTTCAATAGATAAAAGAAGGGGAAGGGGAAAAAGCCTTTTCATTTAGTGGTCAAAGGTCAAGGTCAGTGCTATTTAAAAATAGAACTTTTTGGGAGAAATAGTTTCTGAGAGGTAAGTTTAGATTTCCTTGCTTGATTGGAATGGAACTTATACAGATGTAAGATAAAGGGAAAGGAAAGAAGCCTATAGAATATGGGTCAATATGTTAAAGGTCAAGGTCACTGTTACAAAAAATAGGAAATATTTTAGAAAAATGGTTTCCAGGTTGTATAAATTTGAGTTTATCTTGCTTGATTGGAATTAAACATAGAGTGAAGGGAAAGAAGTCTATTGATAATTGAGTTATAAGGTCAAAGGTAAGGTAACTGCTTCTAAAATTAAAAAAGTTTTGGAAAAAAAGGGTTTCCAGATGATAGCTTGAGGTTCCCTTATTTTCTTAGAATAACACTTACTAGTATACAGAAGAAACAGGGAAGATGAAGAAGAATATTGATTTTGGGGTCAACAGGTTAAAGGTTGAGGTCTCTTCTAAAAAAAAACAACTGTGCAAACTAAAATACAAAAAAGGATCATTAACTCTCACACCTATGAAAAAAAAAACAAATCCACAATCTTATATGTAATCAATAGCTATAGAAGGGGCGACATGTCCCCTTTTTATATGACCGCAACAAAATTTTTGTGGTCGTATATTGGTATGACATTGGCGTCGTCGTCGTCGTCCTCTGGCGTCGTCCGGCGTCGTCCGAAGACACATTGGTTTTCGCACTCTAACTTTAGTTTAAGTGAATGGATCTCTATGAAATTTTACCACAAGGTTCAATACCACAAAAGGAAGGTTGGGATTGGTTTTGGGGGTTATGGTACCAACAGTAAAGGAATTAGGGGCCAAAAATAAGCATTTTTGTAACTTCCAGACATAACTTGTGTGTAAGTGTGTGGATCTCTCAGACATTGTACCACAAGGTTCCATATCACAAAAGGAATGCTGGGATTGATTTTGGGGGTAATTGCCTCAAAATCTTAGGAATTAGGGGCCAAAAAAGGGGCAAAAAACAAGCATTTTTCTAGTTTCATGACAATAACTTGTGTGTAAGTGTATGGATCTTCCTGAAATTTTACTACAAGGTTCCATATCACAAAGGGAAAGCTGGAATTGAGTTTGGGGGTAATTGCCGAAACGTTTAGGAATTGGGGGCCAAAAAGGGGCAAAAAATAAGCATTTTTCTAGTTTCCAGACAATAACTTGTGTTCAAGTGTATGGATCTCTCTGAAATTGTACTGCAAGGTACCATACCACAAAGGGATGGCTGGGATTGAGTTTGGGGGTGATGAATCATAAGGGGGTTCAAAAAATTTGGGGGGGGGGATTTTTTTTTTTTTTCCTTTTTTTTTTCTTTTAAAATTTTCCATTTTAAGTTGGTTATTTCTGATTTATATTTAAAAGCAAATAATGATGATATGGTAGGAGATACACACCAAACAGGATGTGTAAATTATTATATAATAAGTAATGTGCAATAGCAAGAAATTTTCAATTGCACAGTATTGCACAATAGCAAGAAATCTTCAATTGCACAGTATTGCGCAATAGCAAGAAATCTTCAATTGCACAGTATTGCGCAATAGCAAGAAATATTCAATAGCACAATATTGCGCAATAGCAAGAAATTGTCAATTGTACAGTATTGCGCAATAGCAAGAAATATTTAATTGCACAGTATTGTGCAAGAGAAGATACTTCGTATAAATTGCTTATTTCTTGACCAATTTCAATGGGGTTTTATTCCTGAATTCTTGGGGTTTTTTAATATGCTGAATCATACCGTGTATTCAGTTTTTGGATTTTGGGCCCCGTTTTTAAATTGGTCCACATTGAGGTCCAAAGGGTCCAAAATTAAACTTTGTTTGATTTGATAAAAAATTGAATTATTGGGGATCTTTGATATGCCGAATCTAACCGTGTATTTAGATTCTTAATTTTTGGTTCCGTTTTCAAATTGGTCTACATTAAGGTCCAAAGGGTCCAAAATTAAACTTAGTTTGATTTTAACAAAAATTGAATTCTTAGGGTTCTTTGATATGCTGAATCTAAACATGTATTTAGATTTTTGATTATGAGCCCAGTTTTCAAGTTGGTCCAAATCGGGGTCCAAAATTAAACTTTGTTTGATTTCAACAAAAATTGAATATATGGGGTTCTTTGATATGCTGAATCTAACCATGTATTTAGATTTTTGATTTTTGGGCCCCGTTGTCAACTTTGTCCACATTGAGGTCAAAAGGGTCCAAAATTAAACTTTGTTTGATTTCATCAAAAATTGAATTATTGGGGTTCTTTGATATGCCGAATCTAACCGTGTATTTAGATTCTTAATTTTTGGTTCCGTTTTCAAATTGGTCTACATTAAGGTCCAAAGGGTCCAAAATTAAACTTAGTTTGATTTTAACAAAAATTGAATTCTTAGGATTCTTTGATATGCTGAATCTAAACATGTATTTAGATTTTTGATTATGAGCCCAGTTTTCAAGTTGGTCCAAATCGGGGTCCAAAATTAAACTTTGTTTGATTTCAACAAAAATTGAATATATGGGGTTCTTTGATATGCTGAATCTAACCATGTATTTAGATTTTGGATATTGGACCATAATAGGTGAATGTCCAATTTAAAAATTTTAAGTTCTTAGACCACATTCATTCTGTGTCAGAAACCTATGCTGTGTCAAATATTTAATCACAATCCAAATGCAAAGCTGTATCAAGCTTGAATGTTGTGTCCATACTTGCCCAAACTGTTCAGGATTCGACCTCTGCGGTCGTATCAAGCTGAGCCCTGCGGAGCATTTTATTCCCATTGCCATCTCAGTGTATAAAGACTAAGCTACGTCTGTGACCTATCACTATCATGGTTCAATAAAAGTTAATCAAAGTAAGAAAATGTTCACTTGAGAAAAAAATTAAATACAACCTCTTGGTAAAACAGACGCTCATTCTTTAACTTTTATTGAAACCTAACACCAACAGTTATTTGGTGTTAGGTTTCAAATGGTGAAGTTGAAGTCATCCCTTCGTAAATTTTACGGACGCCATCACGAGTTGGTTGACCGTTATAGAATAACCGTTTCACAGATGATATCGGATATGTTCCTTATGTCGTAACTACAATACCCTTCCCTTTTCACGAATTAGACTATTTACCGGATTTTTAATAACATAAGCAACACGACGGGTGCCACATGTGGATCAGGATCTGCTTACCCTTCCGGAGCACCTGAGATCACCCCCAGTTTTTGGTGGGGTTCGTGTTGCTTAGTCTTTAGTTTTCTATGTTGTGTCATCTGTACTATTATTTGTCTGTTTGTCTTTTTATTTTTGGCCATGACGTTGTCAGTTTGTTTTCGATCTATTAGTTTGACTGTCCCTCTGGTATCTTTTGTCCCTCTTTTTATTTCACTTTATTATGACAAGTGAACCATTCAATTGATAGCAGTTGCTTGTGACCCATGATGCTGTCTTCAATGGAATACATAGATTTTGATATCAGGTCAGATGTAAACTACCGATATAAGATATTAGTAAACTTTTACTAAAGCGAAGGCAAGGCCAAACTGGAAATTCAGTAATCCGTATAAGGATTAGAAATTTAGGAACCCAGAGGACTTCTACCAAAAACCCCTACCTATTCAACAGGTATCAATTCCTGGCTATGTACTGTCTTTAATTGTGAAAACTGTGCAAGAGATGTAAAGGAATTCCTGACAATCAGAAGAAAATATGTTAATACACAGAAAAACTATTACCTGTGAGACTCGTTGGGAATTTATCTGGTTACGTCAAGTTTAATCAGTGGATTTAGCTGTACCACATAAGCATTACATTATTTGGATATCAGCAGGAGTCTTTTAATATCTATTGCTCTAAGTTTTAAATCTTGCATTGAGACCATTATCAAAATCATATGATCAAGCTCATCGGTAAGGCAAGCTGTTTTTAAACTTCTTCACTTTTAATATATCTTAAAGTTAGTAGGATATCTTGTTAAGTATATAAGATATCTTGTATTCTTTACAAGATATCTTATTCAATTTGAAGTTAATAAGATGTCTTGTTTCCTTTATTGTCTTGCCTTGACGGAGTCAAAAAGCAAGACATAGTTATGCTGTTTCCGGCGTCTGCGATGGCGGCGGCGGCGTCAACAATGTATTAGTTTGTGATTAGGTCTAGTTCATGGTGAACCACTAGTGCTAGGTCAATGATATTTGGTATGCAGTTGTATTAGCATTGGCACATCTCATTACCATGGAGATTATTTGGCCCCACCCCCTCAGTCAAGGTCTATTGACTTTGAAACTTTGCTTAGTTTACATGTATTAGTTTGTGATTAGGTCAGTTTATGGGGAACCACTAGTGGTAGGTCAATGATATTTGGTATGCAGTTGTATTAGCATTGGCACATCTCATTACCATGGAGATTATTTGGCCCCACCCCTTCAGTCAAGTCTATTGACTTTGAAACTTTGCCTAGTTTACATGTATTAGTTTGTGATTAGGTCAGTTTATGGGGAACCACTAGTGGTAGGTCAATGATATTTGGTATGCAGTTGTATAAGCATTGGCATATCTCATTACCATGGAGATTATTTGGCCCCACCCCTTCAGTCAAGTCTATTGACTTTGAAACTTTGCCTAGTTTACATGTATTAGTTTGTGATTAGGTCAGTTTATGGGGAACCACTAGTGGTAGGTCAATGATATTTGGTATGCAGTTGTATAAGCATTGGCATATCTCATTTCCATGGAGATTATTTGGCCCCACCCCCTCAGTCATGGTCTATTGATTTTAAAACTTTTGCTTAGTTTACATGTATTAGTTTGTGATTAGGTCAGTTTAAGGGGAACCGTTAGTGGTAGGTCAATGATAATTGGTATGCAGTTGTAGAAGCATTAGCACATCTTATTTCCATGGAGATTATTTGGTCCTTACTTCTCAGTCATGGTCTATTGACTTTGAAACTTTTGCTTAGTTTACATGTATCAGTTTGTGGTTAGGTCAGTTTAAGATGAACCACTAATGTTGAGTCAATGATATTCGGTATGCAAATGTATTGGCATTTGCAAGTTTCATTTCCATGGAGATTATATAACCCCACCCCCTAATTATGGTTCATTGACTTTGAAACTTTTACATAGTTTACAAGTTAATGTTTGTGTTTAGGTTTGTTTAAAGGGAACGACTTATGAAAAGTCAATGGTATTTGGTTTGCAGTTGTATAAGCATTTGCACATCTCATTTCCATGGAGACTTTTTAGTCCTGTACATTCAGTCATGGTTCATTGACTTTGAATATTTGCATAACTTACATGTTAAAGTATTGTAATTTTAATTTCAACATTTGCATTATCAAAATAACAAATAGGCTAGACATATCTCTGTGTTAACAGTTTATAGAAACAAGGAATTATTTGAATCTGGAATAATTTTGAAATCTTGAAAATTGATAAGAAATGTATGATGAAAACTAACTCAACTAAATAGGGTTAGCCATGCGCACATGGCTAAGGTTAATTTTATTTTCACTGATATTTCAGTATGAACTAACTACCCCCCACCCTGTTAGCCATGCATGCATGCATGCCTTACCCTCCTAAATTGTGTTAGTTTTCATCATACATTTCTTATCAATTTTCCAGAATTCAAAATTATTCCAGATTCAAATATTTCCTTGTTTAGAGTATTTTATTAACTTTATACAAAATCATTTCAACTAAATTAGATATTTCATATCTTTTTAAAGATATTTTTTGTACATATACAATATATTGTATAATTTAATAGATATATCTTTAAAAGTATATAAGATATTTTATTTACTTTATTAGTTAACTTATTGACTTTAATAAAATATCTTATAAGCTATACAAGCTATCTTATATGAATGATTCTCAGATATCTTATTTAGTTTATGATATATCTTATTTAGTTTATAATATATCATATTTATTTTATGATATATCTTATTTAGTTTATAAGATATCTTATTTGGTTTATAAGATATCTTATTTTGTTTAATAAGTCAGTATTTGAGAGACAAATAATACAAGTCTCTGCATGGTATTGATTTGAGTCGGTACATAATCTGAGACATATATATATGTTGTGTACAAGTTATCATTTTGTACAAATTATAATTTGTATTTTGACTTTGTACAAAAAGTGCTTGTACAAATTACAATTTGTATAAAATTTGACTTAAATTCACTTATAACTTGTATAATAATTTATAGTATGGATTTTGTTATAAAAGAGAAGCATTGATACACACTATAGAATTTTTATTCAATGACCACACAATAAACCTTATTTACAAAATACAAAAATAGTTTTGTATCATTTGTTTGAGCATGTGAATGAATTATGGCATCGGGGATTGCACAACATCTTTTGCTTTTTACATTTACATTTAGAAGTGCTGCACCTCCCCTTGCATTTACATGAAAGAAAACCCTGACCACCAGTTTTTGAAAGCTTTTTAACTGCTTCACGTAGCAAAAGTTGAAGCTCAGAAACCGTTGCTGTGAATAAAGATGTGTCTTTAACAGCTTCAATTTGATTTCTCAACAAATATCCTGTTAAAATTCCTACAGCTGTTCCAATGCGGTACCCAAATTCTCCAGATTCAATAATTACACCTAAGATATTTCGAAGATCAGTTGGGGTATGATCATACTGAGGAATTAGTATAATGACATTATCCCCCACAGCAAGTTCTGATAATTTTGTTTCGTTTTCTTGGTTAAATATTCAGCTTGGATCTGTTGGCTAGACAGTACACGCTTCCTGGCATGTATGATTGGTGTTTCAACGTCAGTGTCATCCTGATAGTCACTCGGGTCAATTTCTATTATACTATCAGAATTGTCACTGGGGCCAATTTCTATTATACTATCAGAATTGTCACTCGGGCCAATTTCTATTATACTATGAGAATTGTCACAGGGGCCAATTTCTATTATACTATGAGGGGGTGGAAAGGGGGGTACCTTTCTCCTTTCTCCCACCCCTCGTCTCCTTTCTCCCGCCCCTCTGCTTCCATCTCCCACCTTAACAACCGTCTTTTTTTCAGATCAATCGATTTTAATACAAATTTGAATTTGTCTCGTCCTTTCACAGCTCAGTACAGTCAGTACAATTTCCTCTTCCTCAAACGTCTCGCTAACTTTTTCATTGATCGTCATTGTATCAGTCTGAAGAGAGCTGGTCAGCATATTGTAAATCTCCTCATCTAATGTATATACAACCTGACCAGGTAACAACTTGAGGGGGTATTACACTTTCTAATATACAATTAAGTGGTATATCTTTTGCATGTCTTTATGAAATTCAAGGCCATCATTCTCTTTATACAGAATCGATTTGCACACTTTGTCAGTTTCAAAAACACGTTCAGTGAGACTTCCGAGAGACAACTGGTCATCCAACATGACCGCCACCATATCATTTTCATCATAAATAGAGTCTAACACTGGTCCGGCGGGTTCATTTGAACTTTGCAATTGATCAATTGTGCGTGGTTCTGTAAGTGACGGGTCTTCAGCTGTTTCGTTGATTTTAATGTCGGTAACAGACAGATCTATCGATGCATATTTAGGTGGGATATTGTTTTGGTACATGTTGAGAGGCAGCGTACCTGCATTAAACTTCGTTGTTTCGGCTCTTACGCTTCGCTGTCGTACTCCTTTTCCATATCTCTCCCTAAATTCAAACAATAGTTTCACGTCTTCTTTAGAGACACTGGACGGCTTGTCACGTTGAAACTTTGGAAACTGTTCAAGGGATAGATACTGTTTTGGACTCTCATACGCTGATGTTTTCTTTGATGTGAAATAATGATATCCACAAAGCGATACTCTCTTAACACACTCAACGACACCTCTGAGAAAATCCCTTGCACAGTCAAGAACTGATGGTGTTTCTGTTTTTAACCACAACATACTGTGCAATTGTTCATTAACTAACGTAAGAGCTGAATTAATATCAACTTTCTCCAAGTATATTGATTCTATACCAGTAATTTGCTCGGCAAGAGACTCCAACATTGTTCGAAGCATATGAACTGACTGTATTGTTTTAGAGGCTGGTACGCCATGAGGTCTTTGCAAGCAGTTAATTTTCAAATGTAAAAGTGTATTGGCTTCAGATGTGCAGTTTTCAAAGAAACTTTCAACGTCTTTCAACTTAGAAATTGACATCCTGATATCATCGCTATGACCACTTCCCAATATTTCGGTATGCACAGAAAATGACTTGTAAATATCACGGAGTACAGACAGATATTTGTGCATTGGTGACAAAGACGTTACAAGTCTGATATTTTTCGATCCAGAGTCTATAACAAACAGAGTGTTGCCTTCAGTACATATTCCTGATGGTTGCGAAAATTGGCAATCTTTACCAAGACCATCCTCATTTCCTTCCTCTCCTTTCCCAGCGAACAAAACAACATCAGGTTGGTTAAGTGATACATTTTCAATGTCTTTGATCTTGTATAATGCTCTTTTCCCAACGTCAGAGTATATTAATTCAGTTCCAACTATGGCAATTCCATGTGGTTGGTTGCAGATTTCGGTACCAGTTTTCAGAATCACAGAGACTGTGTTTGAATCCAATTCTAGGCGCAGAATACCAGCTGTATGATCGGCTAAGTACAGATAGTTTGAACAGTAGGCTAATCCAAAACATCCACTCAAATCTGGTACACTAATCGAGTATAAACTTGTTCCAAAAAGGTCATAGCCATAGGCAGCAACTTTTCGTTTCACAGAAACCTGCAAGATTGACTTTGTTTTCTGATCTGCTACAAAAAACAAATCTTTGTCAACTTTAACTAGTTTAGTAGGTACAACAGCGTCAATGCCAATGTCAAGAACCCTGACTGTGTCTTTTGTGCCTCTTGGAAGACCTGCCGCCTCTATTCTCCTGATGATAATTTGTCTGAGGGTTTTCAGATTACTTTTTTCGGGTTCTGTTATCTCCAAAAACGTGGCATATTCACACAGATTTCTTTTGGTTGATTTAGATATGTCTAATTTCAGAGTATCTTTATGGTCTATGTAGACTATTTTGTTTTTGCCACTTTCACACACGAACATTATCCCATCTAAATTCATAATCGAACTTGGTGTGCTCAGACCTTTTGCCAACTGTTTGACCTCTGCTGGATAGTGAAGTCTAATTGAATATATAACTCCTACCCGATCAGCAACGTACAATACGGACGGATCATCCGAAAGACATATGTCTACTGGTTCCTTTAAAATGCTTGGATGATTGTCATCGCATTTTCTGTACTTTTCCGGAACGACTGTACATACGATCACGTCATTATCTGAATTGTGTAGACAGTCAAGGACTTTTTCTGAACTTATTTCGGCAATTGCAGCAGTTGCCTGTCGATCCTTCCGTTGCACAGAATCCAACGAAATGTTTTCTCTAAACACATTTCTCATTATTGTCTGTGTTTGTCTTAACATTCGAAGAATGATCAAATTTATTCGGTAATTGTCAACTAAGAGCCACCAGTTTGACAAACTACCTGCTAGACATTTTCCAATATGGACCGCATCCGGACCTACACCAGTTAGACTTAATTCTGGAATTTGTCGACCCTCAATTTTGTCATCAATTATTTTTTCCATTGCGTTTTTTTTTTTTCTGTTCACAACCGTGAATAACAACAATCACGGCCATTCTATTACACTTGATATTGTTCTCGATACATCTCTCACATGCTCGTAATTGTGGTAGTATAGAAATCTGGCCATTTATTTCACACTTGTCGTTTTTTTACCTCTTTACTTTTTTTTCAACATTAAAGTTCGTCTCCCTTTGATAGTTCTCCCTCCTTTCTCCCGCCCCCTCTCTCCTTTCTCCCGCCCCCTTTCTCCTTTCTCCCGCCCCCTTTCTCCCTGTCTCCCAATATCCTTTCCACCTACTCATACTATCAGAATTGTCACTGGGGCCAATTTCCTTTGTACTATCAGAATTAACTGGTATGCATGTATCAATTACATTTCCTGTCTCCATCTGAGTATTTTTGTATTTTGTAAATAAGGTTTATTGTGAAAGTTCTATAGTGTGTATCAATGCTTTTTTAATAACAAAATCCATACCATAAATTATTGTACAAGTTATAAATGAAAGAAATGTAGTCAAATTTTGTACAAATTGTAATTTGTGCAAGCACTTTTTGTACAAATCACAATTTGTACAAAGTCAAAATACACAAATTATAATTTGTACAATTTTTTTGTACAAAATGATAACTTGTACACAACATATATAAGGAACTATATATATATATATATATATATGTCTCTTGACATGTAAAATATAAAAGAACAACTATAGCTATAGAACGCTAATAAATAAACCTAAAAACCGATTTAACGTTTATTATCATAAAACATTTCAATTTTTTTATATGAAAACGGAACAAGTACCGGTTGTCGGAACGTACATTACTCGAGTTTTCAGCATTTTCTAATCCTTTAACAATCTTAACACCCCCATTTTTTCTGGATGACATTAAATCTCTGTTTCATAAACGTATACAGGAACACTTGAATATCGGATTTAATAATTTTCTTGGGAAAGCCACCCGGAACTTCCATTCATAGAAATGACACATCATGATGTTAAAATTAAACAGGAAAAAACTATTGACTATTTAAATATAGCATACATTGATTTCCTGGTAACTAACAATAACAAATACTTTGACACGTGGAAGTATCCACGACATTATCATTGTCGTTTACATATAATACATATCATTTGAATAAGTATAAAAAGCATTTGTCAAAATGATCTACGTACACAATTTCTTTAAATTAAAACTACTAAAAAACATTGAAACAGTTAAAAGAAATCATGGGGATACTATGGACAAAATTAAGCGAGGCATTTTCATACTTCACAGAAACTGGACATTGTAAAATTTTACTGTTGGGTTTAGATAATGCAGGTATGTTGTTTATATCTAAGAATGCAAATAGGATAATGAAATAGATTGTTTTGTTCGATCTTTCGTTTGTTATAGCGATTAGCTATTATATCTTTAGCTTTTGCTTGTTTTTGATTTATTGATTATATTATCATCATCGGTATTATTATTTTTTTCCCTTTTCATTTTTTTTTTCGTGTAGTTCATTTTCGCACTTTAACAGGGTAAACAAATCACAAAGAAATTGTTTCAGTGGATGTCCAAGCAGTCGACTTCTCCGAGAGGCATACTTTTGAATTAATATCGATATACGAAATAAAAAAAAAGATTAATTCTACAACCCTAACTACGGATTGATATTTAACACAAATGAATAAAAGGAGTTCAAGCAATTGGCTTTTCATTTATTAGAAATTAAAGATTGATTGATTGTGCATGGTTTGCTTAACGCCGAATTGTAAATATTGCATGCAACAAAGTAACAACTATCCCAAAATGTAGGTGCTGCAAAGTGGGTCGACCTGGGTGAAGGGCGGGATACCAGATGAGTTTACAACAAACGGTATGTCAGTTTGATAAGCACAGGAATTTATTTTGCATTTTGCTACACGCCACATATGGACTCCCCAAAGAGCAACAGTTATACCGTTGTTGCAAATGTTGTTTAACTTGCCGAAAGTATGGCCATATTTCTATACTTCAGTCACCTTTAGGGGAAGAATACTCGTCAAACCTAAACTATATCTGAATTTGATAGAACATTCAAGCAATCGTCTTTTCAAATTTGTTTCTAACTTCCAATACATTGTGGTTTTTTTTTATAGGAAAAACTACAATTCTGTACAAACTAAAGCTTAACGAAGCTGTTAGTACCATACCTACCTTAGGATTCAATGTAGAAACGGTAACGCCGTGCAAAGGATTGGAGTTTACAGTGTGGGACGTTGGAGGACAGGAAAAACTCCGATCTCTATGGAATTACTATTTCCAAGACACATGTGGTATGTTAATACGTTCAAAAACTTAGTAGTTAAGGTTAAATTTTATTTATATATCATGAGTATTTATTATTATTTTTTCAGTACTTAGTTAGAAAAAAACAAAGAATTATTAAGTATGCCTGTCCTTTTTTTAGCACGGAAATAATTTTTCAGTGTAATGCCAAATAAAACGATGTAACTTTTGTTACTTGTATGAGTAATTATAAATCGTATGACTACTCTAGAACTGTGTTCAGAACTTATAATTTTCGTCTTTTCCTGTAGGTTTGATATACGTAGTTGATAGTAACGACAGAGAACGGTACGAAATGGCTAGAGAAGAATTATTCCGTGTCATTGAAACAGATGAGATGAGGGAAGTGCCAGTCGTTGTCCTTGCCAACAAACAGGATCTACCAAGTAAATGTCCTACATTGTATGCATACATGTATATGAAAAAAAAAATCAAATACAATAATCTTATTTTTTTTTAAATATATTACGCCCTACCCTAATCACATAATTTGTTGTAATAGTCTTCTATTAAATCATGTCTGTTCGTTTTAACCTTAAACAATTCCCTTATCGAAACATCAATGATTTTAGGCTATGAATTACTCGTATACAATAGGAAGTGCATTTTCTTTCACAAGTAATGCATATAAAAAGTTATTATAATAAAGATAATTGGCCATACTGAAGTGGAGGGGGCAATTGTCCTTATTGTCAAAACTTATAAAAGGTCATTCATCACTCGTATTCAATCATATATATTGTCAATCAAATTTAATTTTGCACTTTTATTTTGGCTTGTCTTATTTGTCTCCTTCTCCTCATCTTTCCTACCAACCGAAGGTATGTTCCGCTGCAACATGCATTCATTAAAAAAAATATGAGATGTGATATTATTGTCAAAGACACAGCTATCCACCAAAAGATGTAAACAACTAAAGAATACCTTACGTCCTTCAACAATGAGCAAAACACATAGTACGCTTTAAAAGGCCCGGGATAACAAAATGTTTAACAATTCAATAGACAAACTAAACGGCATATTGGAGTTAATAACATAAAACTATAAAAACAAGTACGGCAGCTAGCAACCAATGACTGCTTGGCATAGTTCACTTTTATTACTTGTTTGACTGTAAATCAATTCCGGTTTTCTGTTAACTGCTGATGGTCATTACTACTTTGTGGAAGCTGATAACAAAAGTTCTTTTCAAAATTACTGTAAAAGTCACTATTATGCCAATCTAATTGAAATGATTCAACTGCATAACATGTCGATAATTCTATCCTTCAGATTCACCAAAACCAGATGTTTTGGCAGAAGCACTATCTCTCCAGAAATTGAGAGACAGAAAATGGTTTATTCAGGGAACTTGTGCAAGCAGTGGTGAAGGTTTATATGAAGGTTTAAATGAAATGGCAAAAGTTGTAAAAGACTTCAAAAAGACAAGACAGAGTTGGTAGAAGGAAAACACTGAGAAAGATACTAGTTAATATAAATCCTTATGCAAGTAACAGATTTCTTGCATCAAGAAGTGTAAAGTATCTAAACAATGATGCGGATTCTTTTCATTTTATTTGCGGAATGCAAACTGTACTGGATCATACATCGAATGGCCACCGTCTTCCAGGGAAGGAGTAGGAAAACAGACATTGTCAGTTCTTTATATCATATTTTAATTGACATATAAGAAGGATGTTTTAAATCCTTATATTACTTCAGCTCTACATGTAAACAATCAGTAATCAGGAATATCCTTGAGACATTTACCACCAATAAATTTGTCAAAAAGCTTGCAATGTTTTAATCTGTATGTATGTATGTATGTATGAAAACCTGTGTGCCAACATCAATAAGTATAAAGTGAAGTTTCAGGCACTACAGATACTAGTATTCACAAACTCTCTCATTTGCAATCTTAAGTTTTCAGATAATTTTGAAAGGTAAACATAACATTCACCAAAATTGCACCCAACCTATTATTTATAAACCATAACAAGAATTTCGAAGAATGGCATGTTTCACAAAAAAGGAGAAGATTTTAATATCCCATTCACTTAAATAGTAAATGAACTGAGAACAGGTACTAGTTTAAATATTAGGTTATATAACTCCCATGTATTTGAACAGCATTGGCTTCCAGAATTTCATTTTATCTTGATGTGTCTTAATTGTGTGAATTTGTGCAGTGTTGTTATTTATCATATTTGATGATTACTTTTAAATTAACCGCAAAATAATGTCGGTTGAAAATTATCACCGAACTTGTATTTGTCATGTGCAACACGAGCGGTACCACTAGTGGAGCAGAAACTGCTTACCCTTCCGGAGCATCTCAGCACCCTGGCTTTTTGATGAGGTTCGTGTTGCTTAATCTTTAGGTTTCTATGTAGTGTTTTGTGGGCAGCTTTTTGTAAATTCGTTGTTTTTTTTCTTTTTGGCCATGGTGTTGTCTGTTTTCTTTGAAAAATATTTTATTTTAATTGCCCCCTTGGTGTCTTCGCCCTCTTTTTTGCATTAGTAATTATCGATGTGGTATGCTGGTTTCCAAGCAAAATGTCTATACTCAATTCCCTCATCAAGCAGTTAATATTGTTTTGAATTATTTAGTTTAAATTGTGAAATTATTAAAATATTATTTGAGTTTAAATTGTGAAATTATTAAAAAAAAAACAAAGGTTCCAAATCCTTCAGGCAAAAAAGATTTGGTTATTCTTTATGTCTCTTTTTGGTCATAATTAAGGCTCTTCAAATCACGTGTTTAGAAAGTTATACATCATTGCATGGCATTCATTTTTTGGATATGAACGTTCCTTAATAATTTAAATCAAGAACAGCGTTTCGGCCGCAACAAATTTATAAAGTGTTATTTTTGTATGTGATTTACAAACAATGCAAATCTCTGAATGACACAAAATACTTGAATATAGGTAAAGACAACTACTTACGAATTTTCTGATTGTTTTGTTGTTGGGTTGGAGAATTATAGTTTGGGTTTTCTGTGTATAGTTTCTGGACAGTTATCTTTCATATGTAATAATTCTTTTAATCGACTTATTGTTTTTGATTGCTCCTTGGTATCTTCTAACATTATTTTAATTCATTTTTTTCTTGGGGAGAGAGGGAGGGGGACAGAATAATAAGCATGTGTTGGGATTCAACTAGTTTTTAGATGTAAGCACTCAACTTTTAAATCTCATCAAGCAGTTGGATAACACAAGGTACAATAAAGAACGTACAATAAAAGTCAGTGCAGGAAAAGTACTGTTCTCTATGATTATCTATGATATCTTTTAAAAAGAAAATGAAATCATGCCATCCTACACTCTAAAATGGACGGATGTACTTTGGAGTAGATTTTATACAATACCGTTATAAGTAGTACAGGAAGACACGATCTTGTACAATGAAATAGATAAAGAGGTAGGGTCAATTTTCCTGGTATTTGTTTCACTCACAAGGTCAATGTCTTGAAATTGTCATTATTAAGGAGTCTATATCATATGATTTCAATATTTCTAATTTTACAAATCAATATAAACCATCAGAATCTCGGTTATTTATCGCTACATTATGGTCTGAATGGAGTTTACATTATGGAGAATACAGATCCAATTGTACAGAAAAATGGGCAAAAAATGAAGAAAAATTAGAGAATAAACGGCAAAAACTATAAAGAATGGAGAAAAAGGAATTAGAAATTTAAACAATACAGAAATGAAGGACCCCTTATTCAGACCATAGCTCCTACCTGATGCTTTAAATAAAAATTAAACTTTTAAATGATTTTGTTAAATTTTGCATCGAAGGACATGTTTAAACCCTCCGCATTCCGTATGTACCTCAATGTCCTGAATTAGGAACCTGTAATTCAGTGTTTTTTTGTCGTTTGTTGATGTATATTATATTTGTTTTTGTTTGTTGTTTTTTGCATAAATCAGGTCCGTTGGTTTTTCTCGTTTAAATTGTTTTATCATTTGTGATGTTGGGGCCTTTCATAGCTTTCTATGCCGTATGGGTTTTGGTAATTGACGACAGATGCCGTATGTTGTTCTTAGTTGATAACATGCAACTACATAATTTGGTCTCTGGTGGATAGTTGTCTCCGGCATTGGAAATCATTCCACATACATATATACACATGTTGATATTTTGTTGTTTTTACCTTAGATTACCATAAAACATGTTATAGTAATCTCAGATTTTAGCAGAAAGATCTTCTGCGCCGCATTGACAAAAACCCAACGAAAAGGCAAAAAATAGCGTAGCGTCGTTGTTGCATCGTGCACAGAAATCATGATATCTTATTTTTCTATGTTTCTTAATTTTGGCAAATGCATACCATTGATTAATTGTTAAATTATACAATTATAGCCTTTATATGAGGTCGATACGAGGATATATCGACCTGAAAGAAGTATATCGACTGAAGACCGGAAGTCTGAGTTCGATATCCTTCTCAAGTTTATAGGTCGATATATCTTCGTATCGACCTCATCCGAAGGCTATAATTGTTATATTATTATTGTCAATATGATTGAAATAGAGCAGAAATTCACTTCATTGGTTGTTATGACAAAGTATTGAGATTTTTATATTTCTATTTTTAGATATTTGAAAAATAACTGCCAATATCACTTTTCTATCTGCCATTTTCAATCTACATTTGAGAATACAGTTTAACATGTGGTTCTTTCTAAACGGATCACATTAGTTAGATTATACAAAATAATAGTATTAAGGTTTATTTTTTGATCTGCATAAAATTCCGGAATTTTCAGACCAGATTTGTGTTGTACCTTTTCGGCTTGTGGCGCTTTTTTATTTGTGAAAATGTTTGGTCAATACCATAAAAGTTCTCATTTTTCCTTCAGCCTACAATTATTTCGTATTCTAAATCACCATTTTGATAATATATCACGATAGGTGCCCACGTAGACGTTCGCGTCGACTTTAAAATTTTGGCGGGAAAAAACATATTGATTCTGATTGAAAACGAGACGATGTAAACAGAACTCACACGTGTTAGCATTTGAAGTTTACATAACCTGGAAAATGGCATCGAAAGCTAGAATTGCTATATGTTTGCTGCGAAACGATTTAAGATTACATGACAACGAGGTAAAGAGATTGATTTCTCTTCACACAGTTTAATAGAATATTTCAAAGCGTGAACTTGTAACACATAACGAAAACAGAGACATATAAACATATATTTATATACATGTGTATATATATGTCTCTGACGAAAATCACCAAAGTTGTTGAGCACATCTAACAATAATTTGCTTCAAACTTTTAGTGGTGACAACATCTTACTTTAAAAGTCTACGAAGTCCATTTATAACTTTAAAGTTTAAAGTTTAATGGTTGCAATCACAGGCTCGATCTTAAATTTGGTGCAGGATTTGGATATCTTTTTTAATTTGTTTGCACTAAATATTTGCTTTAATTTTTTTATAAATAATTTTCACATTCATGTACTTAACACAACTAAGCTTGTCTTGCCTTGTTTTGGATGAATTTATCCACTGTCAGAGGCAGATTTAGGGAAGGGTACCCGGGCCCCCCTTATGGATCGAGCAACATTCATGGCTAACTGACTTTTTACCTATTCCACTCCAAACTTTGTCAAGATTGCCCTGGATACCATCTCTTTATTTTACTATCCATACTTAACAGTAAGTATGGAGAAAAAAAAATGGGATTGTATCGTGTGGCCCAAGGGATATTAAATTCATTAGCAATATGTCAAATCGCTCTTGCATTTTAAAGTTAATGAAGTAGTTCAATCATAGATAATAATTTTGTTCTGAGAAAGCCCTTTTTTTATTTTTGAACATCATGTCTATATTTATTAAATTCTATTCATTTGAAGGATTCAGTGGTCTCTGGATTAATATCCCCATAGCCCCTAATAAAAAAAATGAAATTGCTTGAGTTGAAACTGTCTGATATAGTGAACACGTGAATCTTTCATGGTGAAAAATTTGTGTAAATACCCCACTACAAGCAAGGGGGAGTATACTGGTATACATCGGTCCACCCATCTGGATTTCTGTAAGTCCCTGGAAATTTTTCGTCACACTTTTTTTTTTGGAATAACAAATCAGAGCATCCTTAAATTTGGTATTGAGCTTCATGTGAGCATGCTTCAATGTATGATGCATTTTCAGATTCATCGCTCAACAATGTCTGGTGTAAAATATATTTGTACACAAAATGGCCTTGTATGAAATTTTTGTCAATTTTTTCTCAGTAACTACAAATCAGCATTTCTGAAATTAGGCTGTAAATCACCTTGCATCCAGGAAAGTGGTGAATAATCTGAGCAGAGACTAATATCTGGCATCACAAAAAAATCCTTTAAGGACATAATACTATCTAGATATTACTAAAGATAATCACTGACTTGGGATAAGCACATGAACCTTTGTTTTGGTTAATCTAGTTATTTTAACATTCAACCCTCCTGCTTTAAACTTTATCAGTTAATTGGTTGGCTATACTGGTGTTTTACTTGTACCTGTATGTATTAGATAAACATAAAGTGTTTTGATCCATTAACTGCTTTTGCAGATGAAAATGAAGATCAGATTTGGTAAGATTAATTGCCTGTAAAACATTAAGCATTTCAAAGTACTGGTAGTCTTAAACTTTCATATTTCTAATTTCTTAGGTTTTTTTTGTATTACTAGAACACACCCGTGACATCGCGGGTCCGTCACTGAATTAAAGTACCTATGCCTCATTTTTAGCCTGGATTTTAAGTATTCATATTGTCATCTGATAAAGTCATGCTGATTATAAGTGTACAGTTTTCTCGGCTTTCAAAATCTTTCTGTTTGAACCCGTCCTGGTTTTCTTACTACAATAAAATTACTATAAACGAAATATATTAACCAAAATTAATAGTAGTATTGAGGTGGAAGACTTCTGTAAATAGTGTACTATAGTGTAACATAGATATAAAACAACTACTGGAAGAATTCCAGGTTCTCTTGATAGAAGAGGGATTTACAGAAAGTAACAGGCAACTACAACTGGAAACTACATGAGTCATATACTATTGGTATCGGATTCGACCAGGAACTTGTTAATTATTGGTATTATTAATTATGTGGAAAACAAAAGAGCCTGGAATGGTGTAATTTTTAAATAGCACCATTATCCTATATTAGTTATATTTAAAGTTGAATTCTTTGATTCATCATTTTTATGTCATGCCGGCTAACAAATTGAACCTCGTTATTTTAGTAGTATAGATTATATATGTAATATTTAGGATTTTTTTTTCTGTATCAGGCACTTTCCTGGGCTTTTAAAAATGCTGATTTCGTGGTACCACTGTATTGTTTTGATCCTCGTCATTACAAAGGCACCTGGCATTTCAACTTACCAAAAACAGGTTCACACAGACTGAAGTTTCTCCTGGAGAGTGTTAGTGATCTCAGAAATACATTGAGGCTCAAGGGGAGGTAATCACATTTAACATTTTTTGTAATTTAAGACTTGATCAAAACAATAAGAAATATTTATTAGTCCCCTACTGACGAAGTCGAAGGGGACTTTAGGTTTGCACTCTGTCCGTCCGTCTGTCCATCTGTCAGTCCGGCAAATCAGCTTTCCACACTTTTTTTCTTTGTTCTTGAAAATATTGATTTGATATTTGGTATATAGTTTTGCCATGACAAGTTATAGATCAATTCGAATTTTGTTCCCGTCTGATGACTTAGTTCAGAGTTATGGACCATAACTCTGGACCATATCTAATGTTAGAGTACTATGTTAAACCATATTTCTGTACAAAGGGAGATAACTCATTTTTATACGACCACAAAAATTAAAATTTTTTTGGTCGTATATTGGTATGACGTTGGCGTCGTCGTCGTCGTCGTCGTCCGTCGTCGTCCGAAGACACATTGGTTTTCGCACTCTAACTTTAGTTTAAGTGAATGGATCTCCATGAAATTTCACCATAAGGTTCAATACCACGAAAGGAAGGTTGGGATTGATTTTGGGGGTTATGGTACCAACAGTTAAGGAATTAGGGGCCAAAAAGGGGCCAAAAATAAGCATTTTTGTAACTTTCAGACAATAACTTGTGTGTAAGTGTATGGATCTCTCTGACATTGTACCACAAGGTTCCATATCACAAAGGGAAGGCTGTAATTGATTTTGGGGGTAATTGCCTCAAAATTTTAGGAATTAGGGGCCAAAAAAGGGGCAAAAAACAAGCATTTTTCTAGTTTCATGACAATAACTTGTGTGTAAGTGTTTGGATATTTCTGAAATTGTACTACAAGGTTCCATATCACAAAGGGAAAGCTGGAATTGAGTTTGGGGGTAATTGCCCGAAACGTTTAGGAATTGGGGGCCAAAAAGGGGCCAAAAATAAGCATTTTTCTAGTTTCCAGACAATAACTTGTGTTCAAGTGTATGGATCTCTCTGAAATTGTACTGCAAGGTACCATACCACAAAGGGAAGGCTGGGATTGAGTTTGGGGGTGATGAATCATAAGGGGGTTCAAAAAATTGGGGGGGGGGATTTTTTTTTTTTTTTTTTTTTCTTTTTATTCCTTTTTTTTTTCTTTTAAAATTTTCCATTTTAAGTTGGTTATTTCTGATTTATATTTAAAAGCAAATAATAATGATATGGTAGGAGATAAACACCAAACAGGATGTGTAAATTATTATATAATAAGTATTGTGCAATAGCAAGAAATTTTCAATTGCACAGTATTGCACAATAGCAAGAAATCTTCAATTGCACAGTATTGCGCAATAGCAAGAAATCTTCAATTTAACAGTATTGTGCAATAGCAAGAAATTACCAATAGCACAATATTGCGCAATAGCAAGAAATTGTCAATTGTACAGTATTGCGCAATAGCAAGAAATATTCAATTGCACAGTATTGTGCAAAAGAAGATACTTCGTATAAATTGCTTATTTCTTGATCAATTTAAATGGGGTTTTATTCTTGAATTCTTGGGGTTCTTTAATATGCTGAATCTAACCGTGTATTAAATTTTTGGATTTTGGGCCCCGTTTTTTAAATTGGTCCACATTGAGATCCAAAGGGTCCAAAATTTAACTTTGTTTGATTTCATCAAAAATTGAATTATTGGGGTTCTTTGATATGCCGAATCTAACCGTGTATTTAGATTTTTAACTTTGGGTCCCGTTTTTTAAATTGGTCTACATTAAGGTCCAAAGGGTCCAAAATTAAACTTAGTTTGATTTTAACAAAAATTGAATTCTTAGGGTTCTTTGATATGCTGAATCTAAACATGTGTTTAGATTTTTGATTATGAGCCCAGTTTTCAAGTTGGTCCAAGTTGGGGTCCAAAATTAAACTTTGTTTGATTTCAACAAAAATTGAATATATGGGGTTCTTTGATATGCTGAATCTAAACATGTATTTAGATTTTAGATTTTTGGCCCAGTTTTCAAGTTGGTCCAAATTGGGGTCCAAAATTAAACTTTGTTTGATTTCAACAAAAAATGAATATATGGGGTTCTTTGATATGCTGAATCTTACCATGTATTTAGATTTTTTATTTGTGGGCCCGCTATCAAATTGGTTCATATTGAGGTCAAAAGGGTCCACAATTAAACTTTGTTTGATTTCATCAAAAATTGAATTATTGGGGTTCTTTGATATGCCAAATCTAACCGTGTATTTAGATTTTTAATTTTGGGTCCTGTTTTTTAAATTGGTCTACACTAAGGTCCAAAGGGTCTAGAATTAAACTTAGTTTGATTTTAACAAAAATTGAATTTTTGGGGTTCTTTGATATGCTGAATCTAATCATGTGTTTAGATTTTTGATTATGGGACCAGTTTTCAAGTTGGTCCAAGTTGGGGTCCAAAATTAAACTTTGATTTCAACAAAAATTGAATATATGGGGTTCTTTGATATGCTGAATCTAAACATGTATTTAGATTTTAGATTTTTGGCCCAGTTTTCAAGTTGGTCCAAATTGGGGTCCAAAATTAAACTTTGTTTGATTTCAACAAAAATTGAATATATGGGGTTCTTTGATATGCTGAATCTTACCATGTATTTAGATTTTTTATTTGTGGGCCCGCTATCAAATTGGTTCATATTGAGGTCAAAAGGGTCCAAAATTAAACTTTGTTTGATTTCATCAAAAATTGAATTATTGGGGTTCTTTGATATGCCAAATCTAACCGTGTTTTTAGATTTTTAATTTTGGGTCCCGTTTTTTAAATTTGTCTACATTAAGGTCCAAAGGGTCCAAAATTAAACTTAGTTTGATTTTAACAAAAATTGAATTCTTCGGGTACTTTGATATGCTGAATCTAAACATGTGTTTAGATTTTTGATTATGGGACCAGTTTTCAAGTTTGTCCAAGTTGGGGTCCAAAATTAAACTTTGTTTGATTTCAACAAAAATTGAATATATGGGGTTCTTTGATATGCTGAATCTAACCATGTATTTTGATTTTGGACATTGGACCATAATAGGTAAATTAAAAAAATTGAAGTTCTTAGACCACATTCTTTCTGTGTCAGAAACCTATGCTGTGTCAAATATTTAATCACAATCCAAATTCAGAGCTGTATCAAGCTTGAATGTTGTGTCCATACTTTCCCCAACTGTTCAGGGTTCGACCTCTGCGGTCGTATCAAGCTGCGCCCAGCAAAGCATTTTATTTAAAAAGACTTTCTTTGGTATATTATTTGAAGAATTTTTTGGCAGGTTTGTTTGTTATTTTGTATAAACTAATTTTCTGAATGGTATATATATATATGTAAAAAAATTATGAAGTGAAATCCTTTAATTAGAAAATAATCTATTTTTATTAATGTATATATTACATAACATTGTGTAGATAAAATTTGTTGACATTTAAAGATAAGTTACAAATCTATATTAGTTTGTGACAAATAAAAGAAAAAAATATTTGGAACTATTAATTATATTTGATTATAATTTGAAAAAAGATATTCACTGTATTACATCATATCTAATTTTAGAGAACTATTAATCATATCTAATGTTAAAGTGTTTTCCACACTTTTTTTCATCATGCTTGAAGATATTGATTGATAATTGGTATATAGTTTTATCATGACAAGTTATACAGATCAAGTTCGAAATTTTGTTTTGGTCTGATAATTTTGTGCAGAGTTATGGTCCTTGGACTTCACTCATTTAATCAGTTTTCCACACTGTTTTTAGTCATGCTTGAAGATATTGACTTGATATTTTCTTTTTGTTTACACCATGACAAGTTATAGAACAAGTTAGCTTTTTGTTCCAGTATAATGAATTTTTACCTGGTAGGGGACTATGTATTGCCATGCAATACTCTCAGAATGCTTGTTTAGTTATAAAACTTTGATGAAACTTACACATTAACATTAAAATTTCAAATCTACAAGTCTCAATTAAAGCTACAAGTGCTGTTTTTATCTATTAAGTCATGAATATTCAATAGATCAGTAAGTGTGGCAAAATCGTATTTTACTTGATAATGACAAGCCAGTACACTTTGTTCTGATTTCATTAACCAGTATGTCAAATAATAAATATAACATGGTATGCTACCATGTGGGAAGCATGGTGAAGGGCACACTAAGATCACAAGTATTTTTTTACAGGTGTTATGTCCCTTAGAAATGTAATTTATATTGAACATTGCATTGTAAGCTCTCTAACACCCACTTTTCCTGTCAGATTTTATGAAATTTATATCAAAGATTAATATCAGCAAGGTCTTGAAAAAGTTTGAAAATCAGTGACAATCAACTTTTTTGACAGGGGTTATACCCATTGGAAATAGAATTATATTGAGAGTAGCATTGTTAGCAATCTCTTGTTGATTGTTAGGAAAAAGTTTAAAAGAATTTTTGTAGAGTTATTACCCTTGGACAGATCAAATATGTGCATCAGCAGGGGACATTTGAGCACTGTTTTTTTTTATATAATAAGATTACACAAAGTATTCATCAAGGTCATCTTTTGTTCTGTTTCTGTATACATAGTGTACCTTGTTTTGTCAACATGTCATTCCTCATCTTTTATTCTGTTTCTGTATACATAGTGTTCCTTGTATTGTCAACATGTCATTCCTCATCTTTTGTTCTGTTACTGTATACATAGTGTACCTTGTATTGTCAACATGTCATTCCTCATCTTTTATTCTGTTTCTGTATGCATAGTGTACCTTGTATTGTCAACATGTCATTCCTCATCTTTTATTCTGTTTCTGTATACATAGTGTACCTTGTTTTGTCAACATGTCATTGCATCATCTTTTGTTCTGTTATTGTATACATAGTGTACCTTGTATTGTCAACATGTCATTCCTCATCTTTTATTCTGTTTCTGTATACATAGTGTACCTTGTTTTGTCAACATGTCATTCCTCATCTTTTATTCTGTTTCTGTATACATAGTGTACCTTGTATTGTCAACATGTCATTCCTCATCTTTTGTTCTGTTTCTGTATACATAGTGTACCTTGTATTGTCAACATGTCATTCCTCATCTTTTGTTCTGTTACACAGCATTACATTGTAACTATTTTTGGGGGATAATATTTGGAAATGTAACTGTTTTCCTACATTTCAGGCTTCATCTCTGGTAATCACAGGAAGTGTACCTTGTTTTGTCAACATGTCATTGCATCATCTTTTGTTCTGTTACTGTATACATAGTGTACCTTGTATTGTCAACATGTCATTCCTCATCTTTTGTTCTGTTTCTGTATACATAGTGTACCTTGTATTGTCAACATGTCATTCCATCATCTTTTGTTCCGTTTCTTGTTTTGTCAACATGTCATTCCTCATCTTTTGTTCTGTTTCTGTATACGTAGTGTATCTTGTTTTGTCAACATGTCATTCCTCATCTTTTGTTCTGTTTCTGTATACTGTAAATTCAGAAATTATTGCGATGTTTTTATTATTGCGAAAAATGCGACAGGGTTATAATCGCAATAATTTAAACTCGCATTTTGAAATTTTTTATATGAATTAAACAGAATTTTTTCACAATATCGCAAAAATTAATATCGCATTTTAGTCTAAAATGACAAAATTGCATTAATAAATGCACGCAATAATTTCTGAATTTACAGTACATAGTGTACCTTGTATTGTCAACATGTCATTCCTCATCTTTTGTTCTGTTTCTGTATACATAGTGTACCTTGTTTTGTCAACATGTCATTCCTCATATTTTGTTCTGTTTCTGTATACATAGTGTACCTTGTTTTGTCAACATGTCATTCCTCATCTTTTATTAGTTTTCAACACAACAGAGTTTAATGAAACAAATTTTGAGTGTTTGTAATATTTGTTAGCTTTGTTTTACAGCAATTTAATAGTTAGAGTGGGGAAACCAGAAGTCATTGTACCAGAATTGGTGAAGACATTGAGTGATGTTCAGAATTTGGTATTTCATGAAGAGGTACATTTTGTAACTATATTTCGCCCAGTTTTCCATTTGAGGATAATACTTATATTGTTTAAATGTGGTTAAAGTTGTTTGTTACAGATAAAATGAAAACTAAGAGAAAAAAATGAAACTTTTATAGGATTTATTTGCCTGCAGAAAATTAAGTATATACAAGTGAATAATGGTATATATTGAAGTAATTTGAATGAGGGACATCCATATTTTGCAAACAGTCGGACAATTTTATGGTTGATGTATTTGTAAAGAATAGTAGTGTTAATTTTATGCCAATTTTCAGGCTTTAAGTTCTCTTATTCCAGGTGACCTATGAAGAATTGAAGGTTGAAAAGGCATTGAAACATTGTGGAATTGATGTTAAAACATTCTGGGGGCATACTTTATACCATAAAAGTGATCTGTCATTTAGTGTGAACAAGTAAGAAACAAAAGCTTTATTTTATATATGGGAATATATTTTGAATATATGACCTATGACATACATATACCTGATAATGATTATGCCAAGATATTTATTTTACCAATTCACTGTTTCAGCGCTGCATTATAGTTTAATTATAATTCATAAATGTTACTTAGGGGAACTAATTTCATAGTTTTTGTCGAGCCTGCGACTTTTGTCGCAGAAAGCTGGACATAGGGATAGTGATCCGGCGGCGGCGGCGTTAGCTAACTTCTTAAAAGCTTTATATTTTAGAAGGTAGAAGATCTGGATGCTTCATACTTTGTATATGGATGCCTCATGTTACGAAGTTTCCGTCAGTCACATGTCTAATGTCCTTGACCTCATTTTCATGGTTCAGTGACTACTTGAAAAAAAAGTTAAGATTTTTTGTAATGTTAAATTCTCTCTTATTATAAGTAATAGGATAACTATATTTGGTATGTGCATACCTTGCAAGGTCCTCATGCCCGTCAGACAGTTTTCACTTGACCTCGACCTCATTTCATGGATCAGTGAACAAGGTTAAGTTTTGGTGGTCAAGTCCATATCTCAGATACTATAAGCAATAGGTCTAGTATATTCGGTGTATGGAAGGACTGTAAGGTGTACATGTCCAACTGGCAGGTGTCATCTGACCTTGACCTCATTTTCATGGTTCAGTGGTTATAGTTAAGTTTTGGTGTTTTTTCTAATACTGTATGCAATAGGTCTACTATATTTGTTGTATGGAATGATTGTAAAGTGTACATGTCTAGCTGGCAGGTGTCATCTGACCTTGACCTTATTTTCATGGTTCAGTGGTCAAAGTTAAGTTTTTGAGTTTTGGTCTTTTTTTCTAATACTATATATGCAATAGTTCAACTATATTTGGTGTATGGAAATATTTTATGATCTATATGTCAGTCATGCAGGTTTTATTTGACCTTGACCTCATTTTCAAGGTTCATTGCTCAGTGTTAAGTTTTTGTGTTTTGGTCTGTTTTTCTTAAACTATAAGCAATAGGTCAACTATATTTGTTGTATGGAAGATTTGTTAGCTGTACATGCCTGCCTAGCATGGTTTATCTGACCTTGACCTCATTTTCATGGTTCATTGGTCAATGTTTAGTTTACTTGGTTAATGTTAAGTTTATGTGGCAGTTGTAATAAAGCTTTATATTTAGGACTATCAACATAATATCAATGATTAGTAAAGAAGGCGAGACATTTCAGCGTGTGCACTCTTGTTATTTATAAGTATTAAAATGGGCCAACAATTTTCTGAAAAAATATTTAACTGTTGGAGATTTTGAAAATAAAATATAGATATTACCTATGCTTTATTTTTATAAAACCATATGTTTTTTTTTTCATTGGCATTAATTTTTGTCCTCTTTTGCTTCCTATATAAGAAGAAAGTCTCAGACTCCCCTTTTGAACTCAATCATTGAATTAATGAGAAAAAAAAAATGTTCAGAAAATCACGTACTCTGATTCATATATACTTACAGCAGTAAATTATAACATATCAAGTAGTGACCACAGCTACCAAAATCAAGCTCAAAGGTCATAATTTACTGCTAAATAATTATGTAGTCCTAAACTCTAATGTAGGCCTTCAGAATAGGTTTTATACAACAATGAAATAAACAGTGCAGAATGATATAGCTGTATGAAGCTGGGTGTGAGATATTCTTATATTATCTAGGTTGAAAATGTTTGATAATGTATATACCAGAATAACATTTTCTTCTACACTACAGTACTAATTTTGTAGAAAAATTATCACAAAATGCGTTGCTTTCCATAGATCCAATGTTTATTTATATAATCCATATGGTATTTTTTTCAGTTTACCTGATGTTTATACACAGTTTAGGAAAAGTGTAGAAGCCAAATGTCCTGTAAGAAAACTTATAAATGTGGATGATGTCAAACCAGTTCCTGAAGGTTTAGAAGAAGGACAGGTTCCTACTATGGAAGATTTAGGTGTTAAATGTAAGTAAATACATATACAATAGGCCTTCACTTACTAAAAAAAACTTGTACATCAAGTTTGATTCATTATCTTAAATCCTTATATTTCATTATTTCTTATGGTTCTACCTGAAAGGGAAGAACATGTGCATATAGGATCTAACAGTAAGGGGAGATAATTCAATTTACTTATCTCAATATTGCAATATTTATTAATAACTTATAAACTCAATTTCTCTTAATGACTAGATGAATATCAATGAAATTTTACAGTTGTAGAAAATTACATGAAGATATTCAAAAAAGGAATACAATGCACCTTATCGCTATTTAGTCCAATCCGGGAAAAACAGTTGCTTAGACAACATCCTGTTGAGGTCAAGCGGAACAAAACAATGGTCATCAGCAATGAGCTGAGGGAGGAAAAAGTTTGGAAAATAGACATTTTAAAATTTTGATAGTTTAAGAAGCTATTTCTGAAAGACAAATTCAAGTCATTGAAAATGCTTTGTTTGATGTGTTTACGATGGTTTAAACATGTCTCTATGATCAGTTTTATGCACAATACATTGTTTGAACAAGGCCCAAGATAGCGTCAACTAGTTTGAAAAGTTGTGTTATTTTAGAACTTATCCAGATAGGAATAAATAACAAGAAGGTGTATTCAGGTCCCACATGTTAAAGGGTAGATAATCGAACTTAATTTAATAATGCAATACGAGGTAATAGTCTAGAAAGTGCAACACCTCCTAAACAGCTAGACAGGTATTGATTTAACTTTACAAAGTTCTAAATCACTACCTGAGGATGTGCATAAAGGAGTGTTATCCTTTCCTACCTGTTTTAAAAAGGGACTTTGTCCCCTAGATTGTAAAATTGTTTTTGCTCCATTTCCTTTTTTGTAACTTTTCACAGATTTAGTCATTTATAAATTTAATAAATTAATACTATTGAGGGCCCAAGGAGGTATTGTTTTGTGAGTTATTTTAGTTGCATATGCATTTTACAGAAAACTAAATTTCCAGCAATACAAACCTAAAAAAAAGGGTGGATCTGCAGTTCCTGTTCATGAAACAAATACTGGTACTGAAAGCATAGTAAACCATAATCATTTTTGTCGAGCCTGCGACTTCTGTCACAGAAAGCTCGACATAGGGATAGTGATCCGGCGGCGGCAACGTTAGCTAACTTCTTAAAAGCTTAATATTTCAGAAGTTAGAAGACCTGGATGCTTCATACTTTGAATATAGATACCTTATGATATGAAGTTTTCGTCTGTCATATGTCCATTGTCCTTGACTTCATTTTCATGGTTCAGTGACTACTTGAAAAAAAAGTTAAGATTTTTTGTAATGTTAATTTCTCTCTTATTATGAGTAATAGGATAACTATATTTCATATGTGCATACCTTGCTAGGTTCTCATGTCTGTCAGACAGTTTTCACTTGACCTTGACCTCATTTCATGGATCAATGAACAAGGTTAAGTTTTCGTGGTCAAGTCCATATCTCAGATACTATAAGCAATAGGTCTACTATATTTGTTGTATGTAATGATTGTAAGGTGACCATGTCCAACTGGCAGGTGTCATCTGACCTTGACCTCATTTTCATGGTCCAGTGGTTAAAGTTAAGTTTTTGTGTTTTGGTCTGTTTTTCTAATACTGAATGCAATAGGTCAACTATATTTGGTGTATGGAAATATTTTACGATGTACATGTCAGTCTGGCAGGTTTTATTTGACCTTGACCTCATTTTCATGGTTCATTGCTCAATGTAAAGTTTTTGTTTTGGTCTGTTTTTCAAATACTGTATGCAATAGGTCAACTGTATTTGGTGTATGGAAATATTTTACGATGTACATGTCAGTCTGGCAGGTTTTATTTGACCTTGACCTCATTTTCATGGTTCATTGCTCAATGTTAAGTTTTTATACGCCCGTTTACAGGACGTATTATGGTATACCGTTGTCCGTCCGTCTGTCCGTCGTCAACATGTCGGACATTAATTCTAAAACGCTTTAACCAATATGCATGAAACATTGGTAAATTGTTTATATCTATTGATGTGAGCTCCCTTTTGTTTTTTATAAATTTCGGATGTACCGTTTCCGAGTTTTGGGGTTTTATTCATTAAAAAAGGGGGGATTTTCCAGTTTTCGGACAATACCTCGAAAACAATTTTCACCAATTTGCATGAAACTTTTGTGAATTGTTTATATCTATTGACATGAGCTCCCTTTCGTTTTTTATAAATTTCAGATGTACCGTTTCCGAGTTTTGGGGTTTTATTCATTAAAAAAGGGGGGATTTTCCAGTTTTCGGATAATAACTCAAAAACAATTTCACCAATTTGCAAGAAACTTTGGTGAATTGTTTATTTCTATCGACATGAGCTCCCTTTTGATTTTTATAAATTTTAGACTATACTTTTCCGATTTATGGTTTTTTTTTCATTACAAAAAGGGGGATTTTCCAGTTTTCAGACAATAACTCAAATATGCTGAAAGCATTTTTTATGAAACTTTGGTAAATTGTTTATATCTATTGATGTAAGCTCCCTTTTGATTTTTATAAATTTTCGATTTTACGTTTTCGTGTTATAAGATTTTATTTGTTTATAGTCTGACAACAGATTTACTAAGTATTGTGCAACAGCACAGAGTATTGCACAACAACACAGTGTATTGTACAACAGCAAGAAATAAATCTTTAATTGAATATAAATTCAATTCATATAACCTATTTCAAGTTCTTTGACTACATTTATTCAGAAACCTATAATATGTCAAATATTTAATTACAATCCAAATTCAGACCTGTATCAAGCTTGAATATTGTGTCCATTTTTGCCCCAACTGTTCAGGGTTGGACCTCTGCGGGCGTATCCAGCTGCGCTCAGCGAAGCAGTTTATTGTATTTTGGTTTGTTTTTCTTAAACTTAAAGCAATAGGTGTATTTGGTGTATGGAATGATTGTAAGGTGTATATATCTGTCTGGCAGGTATCATCTGACCTTCACCTCATTTTCATGGTTCATTGGTCAATGTTCAGTTTTCCTGGCTAACTTTGTTTCTTAGATACTATAAGCAATAGGTCAACTTTATTTGATGCATGGAATGCTTTTAAGGAGTACATTTCTGTCTAGCAGGGTTCATCTAACCTTCACCTCATTTTCATAGTTCATTGGTCAATATAAAATTTCCATGGTTTGATCTGTTTCTTTATACTATAAGCAATAGGTCATCTATATTTGGTGTATGGAATGATTGTATTAAAGGTGTAAATGTATTTCCGGCTTGGTTTATCTGACCTTGACCTCATTATCTTGGATCATAAATGTTAGTGTGATACTTGTAGTAAAACTTTATATTTAGAACTATCAACATAAAATCAATGGTCAGTATAGTAGGCGAGACATTTCAGGGTGTGTTCTCTTGTCTAAAATTAATGTGACGATAGTTTTGAAATTATATAACACATATTAAGTAAAATGTTAACAGTTTCCATAATGTTTAAGCAAATAATTTAAGGTTTATTGGCTTATTACCACCAAAAACAGATCAAGTTCGAATTCGGGTGGCATCACTATAAATGTTCTCGAGTTATGTCCCTTGATAAATGGAAAGATTGCTGAATTTGCTGTATATTTACAAGAGGGGCATCTGTGTCCCATGGACACATTCTTCTTTATTTAAATCCTTCAACAACAAGCACACAGCCCTATTATTATTTTTCTAAATTTTGATGAAAAATGCATTTTATATTGAAAAAAGACAGACAGTTATTTTGATTATTTTTAATTTCCATATTGAACACTCAAAAAATTAATTTTGAAAACTCTAGGGCCTACACTTATATAATAGGTAGAATTTTCTTAAGGATTATACAACCAGGCTCTCTGTTTGTAAGGTTGAATTATTAGTATTTTATGAAGAATAGTCAGCATTTTGGTTGATTAAACTAGAATGGAATGTATTCGTGTAGCTGTTCCTGTGGATCCCAGAATTGCATTAAATTTCAAAGGAGGAGAAACAGTGGCATTAGATAGACTGAACCACTACCTATGGGAGACAGATAGTGTGGCAACATACAAAGAAACTAGAAATGGCATGATTGGTGCAGATTATTCTACTAAGTTTTCAACATGGTAATTTATAATTTAGTTAATTAATGGCCAAAATTCAGAATGTTAAAATTTTTCACTTAACTTTGTCTTTAAACTGGAATGGCTTTTCATGTACTCTCATTTAAAAAAATATTTAGATTAATTTCTTCATGACTGGAACACTTCTTAGTTGCTTGTCTTGCATGTGGCATCATAATAAAACGTAATTTTGTGGTTGCACCATATTTCCATGTCTGAATTTTTGTTCAATGCCATTGGAAAATGCTGAAATATATTCTGTAAATTGATGATAAATTAGCACCCTATTTTCCAATTTGAAAAAAAAGGCCTAAATGCTAAAAATTGTACTGAACCAATCATAAGATGAGACCTTCAAGGTAAATACAAAATGCTACCAAATTATGTTGAATGCCACATTTTTATCCTTATTTGTAATCATGGTCTATTTCAGCAACTGACATTAAATATGGTCACCATAGTCATGGAAATAGAAAAAATGGATGAAAACATTTAACTACTCTTTACAGAACTGATTATAAGTAATACAAAATTTGCAGAAATAATAAGTCATTACAAATGAATTCCTATCTTAAATGCCTAAAGTAAAGGAGGTACAGGGTATTTCTTTTTGAGACAGATACCAAATTAAAACACAAACATACACAATTATTAACATTGAGTTCAAATAAGTATTTTATTTCAAATGAATTGTGTATTTCTTTTCAATAGGCTGGCTCATGGCTGCATTTCACCACGTAAAATATTTTGGGAGATCAAACAGTATGAACAGGAGCGAACAGCTAACCAGTCCACATACTGGGTTATCTTTGAATTGCTTTGGAGGGATTACTTTAGATATGTGGCACTAAAGTATGGAAACCAGATTTTTTATGAAGGAGGTTAGAATTGATTTAATACATTATTTTCTCTAATTCTTACACGATTTATCCTTTTCCTGACCTGTTGATTATTTTTATTTAATCAACGTGTGGTTCGTTTGATCTCAGTTCTTCATTGGACAAAATTCAATTATGACGTCAAATTTTCTTGCTTTCCTCTGAATTTCCTATTATGACGTCATGATAAAAGGCAACCATGTCTGATGACATCACATAGAAAGAACACATCTTTTTGCAGATCATTCGAAAGGAAGAATTGAATTTGTCTGCATATCGTTTAAAAATCATCAGAGAAACAGATTCCACCACCAAATCTTGTGCAATACGATATTTATCCACTCTCTACAGTTAAATTTTAAATATTTAAAACGCTCGGCAAGCCTCCCATTTTAAATTTGAAAATTTAACTGTCTCGAGTGGATAAATATCCACTTGATACAGTGGTAGAATCTATATATATTTACAAAATATTGATTTTGATATTTGTAAAAATCCAGTTTTGTCAGATTTAGCATTTCAATAATGTGTGCAGCCTTGAAATATTTTATTTGACTAATTTGATTTGTGAAGAAAATACAGACTTAATATTTCACGTAGAAAATAAAGTTTTAGTACTGGCATTTTTCTTGCACTGCATATCTGTATGTTAATATATACAATTAATTAACTATTAACTTTGTACTTCAGGTGCAATTTTCTGTATTGTTTTTATCCTGATGATGGTGCCCTAGGCACCGAAACATGTAGATCAATAAATTTTCTGCAGCAGTCCCTAAAGTGTTGTTGTTATAAGACTTTCTACATTTTTATGTGCTTTCTCATAATGACCCTGCATACCCGAGGTATCCACTTCAGGGACTCTACCGTACTTCAGATTCACCTGGCATTGGTTCACTTGCATTTGTAATTTATTAACTAGTTTTAATTTGTTTGTAGGTGTCCAGAATAAGAGAATTCCATGGAAACAAGATAAAGCTATGTTTGAAGCATGGAAGGGTATTATTTAAAAATACTGTCTAACTTGTACTTGCACAAAAATAGGCCTAAAGAAGGCTTCATATATTACAACCTTAAAAAATATGATAAAGAACAGAGATTGATAAATAGAAGAGGTGGTGTTCATGGAAAAAAAAATATTGTGTTGATGTTCATGAGACAAGAACGTCATGAAATTTTTCGAAACATCTTTAAACTGTGGATTCAGTAATATTCAGGGGATACTAAATTTTGTGGGTAATAATAACCACCAATTTAAATGTTCAACAAATAATCAATTTTCTATTTGCATTTATGCAGCCTTTTGAAAAACCATGAAATCAAATATCTACGAAAATACAATTTTCTCTCAATCCATAAAAATTGGTATCCACGAAAATAAATGAAAATAAATGCCCAGTATAAAAGCAGTGGTTACTTTATTGCTGTTCTTCATCTTGATGAATGATCAGAAGGGATGAACTGAAAAGTTCACTCCTGCATGTATTTTTAGGCAGAGCCTCATGTTAGTGTTTTACTAAGTTTTTAAATTCATTGAAGGATTGTAAGGCTGTGATAAATGCCTTTCTAGACAGATTACTATTACAAAAAATAAAGTGAATAAGTACAATGGAAATATTCCAGAAGACAATGTTATATCATGTTCAAGATATATGGTCAGAATTAAATAATTGATATACATATCAAGGCAACACCAGTAAAAATGTTTCTTACTATTTGTAGCATTATTAGAAGTATGTTAATGCAGTAGAATGTTTCCATTTTCAGATGGTAGAACTGGTGTTCCATATGTTGATGCAAACATGCGAGAAATGGCTGCTACAGGTTTTATGTCTAACAGGGGGAGACAAGTAAGATTTTGCTTTAGACTTTAAAGTTATGTCTTTTTTAAGCTGTTGTTATGCATGCATTTGTAAAGATTCATTTTGACTGAGATATTGTTGCTGTTAAAGGATGGGTTAATATAAAAATAAACTTCATATTCAATTCACTCCCAGCTGTTAAGTATTTGATAAATAAATCCTCTCCCTTCCCAGAGTAATTCGGAGGTTGTACTTATCGGGGCTAACTCAACTATCGTTATACAGAAAGAACACAACCATACAGTTTAACGTTTACTTCATATATATTAGAGCTGCTAAGGCTACGTCCCGCATTGACGTCAACCCTAGATACAATTGGTAAAACGCGACGTCTTAACTCCCGCGGTATTCTCAACATTCTCCGGGCCGCTAAAAGTAAATATCAAAATTAAATTACAATAAAGTAAAAATGAATGAAAATTACTGTCTATCAAATCTAAACTTGACTTTAACTTAATAACTTTAGCACAGTCATTAACTCCCAGATTAGTTATCTTCGAATTAAATCACAATGAGTCTATCTCGTATACACAAATCACAGTATGTCTATATTTTCCGTGCACCTGTTCCTTCTTTCAATGAAATAGTATCATATTATAGGTTTTTGAAAGTAAGTCAATAAATCAAACATTTTCGTAACAGTCCATAATAAGTCACAACAGTTCATTAGATACGTATCATTCAGTCCATCTTTTAATATTTTCCCTGTCGGTCCTGCTTCCTCATCTCTCTCGATAAATCCGCTACGTGTCTGTTCCTTTATCATTTCTTTTAAGCCAAATTCCTCTGATTTATTCGAAACCAGTACGTTCAAGATGCTGGATGTCGTAGACGAATGTACCCTTCCTGGTTGTAAGGGTCCTGATAGTAAGTATCCAAGCTTTGACTTAACTGCGATCGGTCCGTCTCCTCTTATTACTTTGTCTTCGATAAAGTTCCAATAGTAGTCGGCACCAATAAGTAACGATATCTCAAAAGAATCGTCCTGAGTAACTGGATGAGCGAGTCTTAATTCTTTGAGATAATCCATATTTCGGTTTACGTACCGCATATGATTATGTATTGGAACTGCTATAGTAGGAACAATAAGGACTTCAATAGGAAATTTACGCCTATTCTCTGTTTCAATGTGTACGGTGGATTTACGTAGTTCGCTCGTGCTGGTGTTATCCTTTCCAAATGCCGATAAATGTACAATTTCAACTCCTTCAGTTTTCAAATTCAATTTTTTCGCTAGATCATCAGTTAAAAAAGATCTTTGTGCACCCTCATCAAATAAAACATTCGTATCCATACATATATTACCTGACCATACAGGAGCTACAGCAGTCTTCAATAGCACATTTGTACGCATCTGTGTCGATGAATGCAAAACTTTAGTATCTTCCTCGTTTTCAGTGTCATTTATAAGATTGACGGGTATAGATTGAATCTGTTTATCGGTATTGCTTGCAATGAATGCTAAACCTTCGCTGTTAACATTGCTACTTGCACTACATAGGCTGGAATGATGTCTCTGGTTGCAGTGTCGACACGTTCGTTTCGATTGACACTCATTAGCATGATGATTACTTAAACAATTAAAGCATAAATCATCACGTTTTACGATAGACATGCGAGCTTTATGATTACTAACATTGGTACAGTGTGCTGGTGCATGTATCTCTTTACAAAAAACACATGGTCTTTCTGTAATATTCCGGGGTTGGCTCTTCGCGTTGTGTGATGTGTTTTCTCGCGGTGATTCTGTTCCTATATGAAATGTACAAGTAGATGCAGTTGCGAACTGACGGTTTAAAGACTCGAGATATGTACCTGTATTTTGTCCTGCCTCCATGATTTGAATTTCATTCAATATGCTCCTTCTCAGATCTTTCAAATTCCAACTGGACGGTCCATGTTCTCTTGCTAAGTGTTGTCTGATTTCACTTGGTAACTTTCTCATGATAATCGGTACCAGTAAAGTTCCATATGACGTCTCAGGTTGTCCGAGAGAATCTAAACCTCTTACGTAGGCTTCACATCGGTCATAAAATAATCTTAAGCTTGACAAGGTGTATCGTGGTTGGGCAATATCTAAAAGTGCCTGTAAGTAGGCTTCCGTAATTCTGTGTGTTTGTCCGAACCATTCCTTGAGTACATTTATAGCCTCCATGTAATTACCATTTGTAAGCGCAAATCCAGTTATCGTATTTAATGCCTCGCTTTCAAGTTGCGATTTCAGATAATTAAATTTCTCAATGTTTGTCAAAGTAGGATTAAAATGTACAGCAGATTCGTACGAGTCCCAAAACGTTTGCCAATCTAAAATGTTGCCATTAAACTTCGGTAGTGATAACTTGGGTAAACGATGGTTACTAGTACTAGCTATATTTTGTGGAGCAATATGACCTGTATCAGAGCCATTGTAGCTTGTCTGTGGTTGAGCGGCGGATGAAGCATAGAATGGTGTTGCGTTTTGAAAGTTATCAACATTTGCCGGGCGGAAAGGAGGGCTTTCTACATTGAGTACTTGATATGAAGATTGTGTTACATTGGAACTTGGTGTACGGTTTTGACCAATTTGTATAAAATTACGAAAATGTCTAAGTTTAGTGTCTAAATTATTTGAATACTCATCTGTATCTACTATTTCACTTTCAACGTTGTCTGAATCCGTTGCTTCCAATATCTGTTCGTTCAGTTTTTCCAACAATTTCTTCTTTTGCGTAAGATTATCGTACGTTGCAAGTAGTTCATCTCTGTCGAAGTCCGTGTTTTCCTTCGCCTCCTCGAATTTTCGGAAAAGTCTCGTCACTGCACTTCTATTTCCAGTCCTAATATTCTTTAACTTCTCCATCGATGTAATCCTTTGGTTACGGCACCATAAATGTCGGGGCTAACTCAACTATCGTTATACAGAAAGAACACAACCATACAGTTTAACGTTTACTTCATATATATTAGAGCTGCTAAGGCTACATCCCGCATTGACGTCAACCCTAGATACAATTGGTAAAACGCGACGTCTTAACTCCCGCGGTATTCTCAACAGTACTATCCCAGGCATAGAAAATTGGCCTTATTTGTAGTTGTAAGAATCAAATAAATATTGGATATTTCTTTCCATGAAAAATAAAAATCTTCCTACATTTATTATATGTTAGAATATTTTCCCCCAACATTTATTCTAATTTATATTGTCCGGTAGCATTTATAAACATTCATCTCAGCTCTGTGATTCTTAATATAAATTGCATCTTGCATCTTAAAGATTTTTTTTCTAAAAAACATACCTCTTATGCCAATGCGCAAATTAAAAATGAAGTTGAATGTGATCTTTCTTAGGTTGTTTGCTGTCAAAATTGTTACCAATGAACAATCCTCCTAGTTATTGTTATAGTTTTTTCTCTCCAAATACTATTGTTGATGAACATAATACATAATCAAACATGGAACCCAAATCAAACATTTCTAAAAAGAGAAAATGTTGAAGATAATAAAACAATTGAAGTCTGCAAATCCTGTAAACATGCCTCCTCTTAAAACAAAATTGAAAAATTAACATAAAATGCCATTAAAGCCTGAAAGGGAAAAATGTTTACTAAACAATGTAGAGTTGATGCATCTGTTAATGCAATGCTAATTGTGTGTTTATCAAGATTTCAAAAACCAACTAGACTATATACAATTACATTCTTTGTATACTGTTTAAAATTTTTGTCTAGACTGGTGTTACTATAATGGAAGTACATGTAGTCTAAGATTTTCCAACACTTCTTCAAGTCTTCTAACATTATACAAAAAGTACTACTAGTTCTTATCACACATATATATATATCGAGAGTATTGACAACTTTTAAAAACAATGTGTAGTATTCAAAATTTCTGTGGTATGCATAAAACAAAACAGTCTTTAAATAAGAATCTTAAATAAATATATCAGCTTCAATTGTCCAAATTTTAACCAGTTTTAAAAAAACATCAGCAGGACAAGATATAGAAATAAGTCAACTTGAAACTTTTTATTTCACTAAAGGCCTCACATGAGGCATGATAGTACAAACAATACAATATAAAAAATATAATGCATGAACAAAATTCAACATATGTACATGTACAGAATTATCCCGGAAGGTACATATCACTTGAATATTGACATTACAATTTTACAGAATTTAGACAAGTCAACAAGAGTGAATTTATCATTACTATTTATTAGTTCATTGAAACAATCAACTTTTTTAACTTTATATATCTCTGCAGGTAAAAACTTTTGTCTCTCAACATTGAAAAAAGTACAGTTAAATATATAGTGATCATCACCCAATTCTTCTTTATTACATAAATCACAAACTCTTTCTGACCTATCTTTACTCAAATTTCTACCACATTCAATGGGTAATCTATGACTAACACATCTAAATTTACATAAGTTGTGTCTTAAATCAAAAGGTTATACAGTTAAATAATTTTCCATACCAAATTCAGCCTTATACATTCTGTAATTTAAATATTTAGATGAATTGAATATTTTAGTCTTCCAATCATTTACAAATAAATCATGGTAATACTGTTTCACATTTTTAGATAAATTACAATACTTTCCAGCAAATTGATTATTCCAAGCATCAACATATCAACATTCAATTAAAATATCTTTTACATAATTTAACTATTTAGAATGATTAACATCTCCACTGTCGAGTCTATACATTTCATACAGTGTATATGAAATTTTCTTCTTTTTTACCTGTTACAATACATGTACGTTCCCAAAAACAAATCATTCCTGCTTTAAAACGAACAGACATAGGCACTCTACCAAGTTCACCAAATACAGTGTAATTTGGTGTACATTTTTTAACTTTCATAATATATTTACAAAATTCTACAAATTTTCAAATGCAGAGATTCAACAACATCATTTTGTTCATACCCCCAAACCTCAGCAGCATATAAAAGAATAGGTGCAACCATAACATCAAACAATTGTAGTAAAATATCTATTGGTAAGCACAATTTTCTTGCTTTATGCAATACAAAAAACATAGCTTTTCTGGCTTGTACCAGTCTAGACTTGTTACTATGAAAAGTACCCCTTCTAGAAAATGTTATGCCAAGATATTGGAATTCATCAATAACAGATATACTTTCATTATTGTACATAAAATGAGCATTTTCAGCCTGTCTACCCTTGGAAAATATAACAATATTAGTTTTGGCTGTATTTACTTTAAGTTTCCATGTTTCACAATATAAATACATTGCATTCAAGTCAGACTGCAATTCAGCAGCAGATTCAGCAAAAATGACAGTGTCGTCAGCATATAATAACAAATACAATTTGAAATAAATTTCAATATTATCTTTATCAAATAATAGATATGACATGTTACAAACATTACTTAAACAACTATAAGCATGTGACATAAAAACTCAACATGGCCGAAATTATTAGATGACTCCTTAGAGTTATTGCCCTTTTGACATTTTTTTCTCCCTTTTTTGCATGGATACTTTTTAGTAGATAGAGAGAAACTGTAAAACAGCAAAGTGAACAGCAAACTAAGATTAAATAAGATTGCTGGATTTCACCAAAATAAATGTGTTAGCAAATTGATAAATTGTTGTTTGCTCAACATCAAATGGCAAAATTTCATGCATATTCAGGACCATTCTCAAAACAGATTGTGTAATATAGACAGAAGAACTGATAAGTCCATTTGGATATGGTTGATAAAAAAATAGATATAAGAAGATGTGGTATGAGTGCCAATGAGACAACTCTCCATCCAAGTCAAAAAAAAAAAAAAAAAAAAAAATATAAGATAAAAAAAATAGGCATGTTACAAAATTGAAATGATGGTTATATATCTTTTTCTTTTAGAATGTTGCCAGCTTTCTGACAAAAGATTTAAAACTTGATTGGAGAATGGGTGCTGAATGGTTTGAATCACAACTTGTAAGTGCCGATTGAGAAATGACTGTTAAATTTATCATTGTTTCTTTCCCTTTCCCTAGATGATATAGAATGACATTCTGCATCTTGATGCTATTGAAATTTAATTTAACCAAAATTAGAAGATAAGGTATTGGTATGCCAGTGTAACAAGATAAGTCCTTATGATGTATGACCTTAACCAAAGTTCATTCTGCACATAGAATCATAATCAAATAATTATTAGTTTGTCTTTTTTTTTACCCTTGCAAATAAGTATTATGAGTATATTAGTTAAAACAATATTTATTCAATTAAATCAATACATAGTATATAATTCTGATACATGAAATAAATAAATAGGATTCAGAAACAAGCCAAATAAGTATATTAAAAAAGAAATCCCCTTATTGGTCAGTCCCCATTTATGTTTCTGAGCCATAACTTTGCAGTGCATGTTTGGATCAAAGTTTTACTTCACACAATTGTTGCACATGAGTCAAAGATGTGTCATGACAGTGAAAATATTTTTAAAGGAAACCCTTAGCTGTTATATATTTTGGGTTTTGTCCTTGTAATACTTCAAATGTTAGATGCTGTTGATCCAATGGGGCATCTGAGATAGATCTGAGGTGGTATATTAAAGATCAAGGTTACAACTGATACATAAATATTTTGAAATAGTGTCAGGGTTATCTTTGTACTGCTTGTGTAGATGGTAGTAACTCTTCAAGTTATTGTTGCCCATCTGTGCCAAAATCTTCATGGTCTGTCTTCTGCAAGATCAAGGTAAAATCCAGTTAGTCATATAAATGTAGTCTTTCTTAATCCAAGCAATACTTCACAAAATTAGATCAATGGGCTTATGATGTAATTTTACCTGAGCAGTTTATAATTACATTTTTCCTTAAAAAAACAAACCCCAATACTTTTTGAAACATCATTATAAGTACCTTATATCATATTTTCTATGGAAGCATAGTTTATAAAGGTATTGGATCTTTTTATTACTTTTAATTGTGTCCATCATTAAACTCTATCCTAAAACAAAATGGTATTATTTAAGATTGTACTTTGCTTAGAATTTGAATGACAACCAGCATCTAAATTTGTCCACCAATATTCTGATTATCAAAGTCTGGATACATAAGACATAAAGCTTTATTTAAAGTTCGTATACGACATAAATTGCAAACATAAGCTCTGGGGAGCTTTTAAAATCAACTAACAAAAGCACATCAAACAATACACGCACAACAAAACTTGCACATTTAGAAAACAAGAGTTCATATATGTATATCATAAAACACAAAAGTTGAATCAAGCGGTATAAACACGCACATCGTAGCATGCAAACAGGTAAAAAAACAAAAGCAAAAACAAATGGGCCTGCAACATATAAATAAAGCACATAGGGTATCAATTTATTTATCTATATCTTTATCTGGGTATGCAAGGGTTTTGACGTCTGATTAATTATAGAGGTCATTTTTATACGACGGCAGAAATTATTTTGGGTTCGTATAATGCTATGATGTCGTCTGCGTTGTTGTCATCCGAAGACACATTTGGTTTCCGGACAATAACTTTAGTTTAAGTTAATGAAACTCTATGAAATTTTACAAGAAGGTTCAATACCACAAAAGGAAGGTTGGGATTGATTTTGGGGGTAATGGTACCAACAGTTTAGGAAAAAGGGGCCAAAAACAAGCATTTTTGTAGTTTCCAGACAATAACTTGTGTGTAAGTGTATGGATCTCTCTGACATTTTACCACATGGTTCCATATCACAAAGGGAAGGCTGGGATTGAGTTTGCGGGTAATTGCCCCAAACATGCAGGAATCGGGGGCAAAAAAGGGGCCAAAAACAAGCATATTCTACTTTCCAGACAATAACTTGTGTTTAAGTGTATGGATCTCTCTAAAATTCCAAGGTTCCATACTACAAAGGGAAGGCTGGGATTGAGTTTGGGGGTAATTGCTCAAAAGTGAGGGTCAAAAAGTTGGGGGGGGGGGGGGGGGGTTTCAAATTTTTTTAAGGGGTTCATATTTTTTTTTTCAAAATTTTTCAAATTTCAATAGATTTTTAAGATCTTTAACCTCATTTATTTTTTGTCAGAAACCTATATTATGTCAAAAATTTGATCACAATCCAAATTCAGACAGTATCAAGCTTGAATATTGTGTCCAAATTTGCCCCAACTGTTCAGGGTTCGACCTCTGCAGTCATATCAGGCTGCGCTCACCGAAACATTTTATTATGAATAAAGTAGAAAATATCATTTAAGAATATATAAAAAATATGTTGTCTCAGCAGAAATCCTTGTGGCAACCCTTTAAACATTGTTTGAAAGTAACTGGAATACAGAAGCATATCATCTGAAAACTACCTATGATCATAACTTGTGCAGATTTAATACTTTACACAACTAAGGAAAGCTAACCTTCACTTGTATGATACATTTTGTATATTATGACGATACTAAAAACCACAACTGTGTTCTGAATTCCCATTCGGTGCTGGAAAACATGTTCACCAGTATAAAGTGTTTTCCTTTCAGAATTGATGAGAGTTGTTGCGTTTTTATACGACCGCAAAAAATTTTGCGGTCGTATATTGGTATCACCTCATCTTCGTCAGCGTAGTCCGAAGACATTTGGTTTCCGGACAATAACTTTTGTATAAGTAAATAGAAATCTATGAAATTTAAACACAAGGTTTATAACCACAAAAGGAAGGTTGGGATGGATTTTGGGGGTTATAGTCCTAACAGTTTAGGAATTAGGGGCCAAAAAGGGGCCCAAATTAGCATTTTTATACGACCGCAAAAAATTTTTGCGATCGTATATTGGTATGAAATTGGCGTTGTCGTCGTTGTAGTCGTCGTCATCCGAAGACACATTGGTTTTCGCACTCTAACTTTAGTTTAAGTGAATGGATCTCTATGAAATTTTACCAAAAGGTTCAATACCACAAAAGGAAGGTTGGGATTGATTTTGGGGGTTATGGTACCAACAGTTAAGGAATAAGGGGCCAAAAATAAGCATTTTTAGCTCACCTGGCCTGAGCTTTTCTCATCACTTGGCGTCCATCATCTGTCGTTGTCGTTGTCGTCGTCCGTCATCGTTAGCTTTTTACAAAAATCTTCTCCGCTGAAACCACTGAACCAAACTTGGCCACAATCATCATTAGGGTATCTAGTTTAAAAAATGTGTCCGATGACCTCGCCAACCAACCAAGATGGCTGCCATGGCTAAAAATAGAACACAGGGGTAAAATGTAGATTTTGGCTTATATCTCTGAAACCAAAGCATTTAGAGTAAATCTGACATACGGTAAAACTGATTATCAGGTCAAGATCTATCTGCCCTGCAATTTTCAGACAAATCTGACAACCTGTTGTTGGGTTGCTGCCCCTGAATTGATAATTTTAAGGAAATTTTGCAGTTTTTGGTTATTATCTTGAATATTATTATAGATAGAGATAAACTGTAAACAGCAATAATGTTCAGCAAAGTAAGATCTACAAATAAGTTGTCATGACCAAAATTGTCAGTCTACCCCTTTAGGAGTTATTGCCCTTAATAGTAAATTTTTAACAATTTTTTGTAAATTTTTGTAATCTTTTACAAAAATCTTCTTTTCTGAAACTACTGAGACAAATTTAACCATACTTGGCCATAATCATTATTAGGGTATCTAGTTTGAAAAATTTGTCGGATGACCCTGCCTTCCAACCATCATGGCCGACTTGGTTAAAAATAGAACATAGGGGTAAAATGCAGTTTTGGGTTTATATCTCTGAAACTAAAGCATTTAGAGCAAATCTGACAGGTGGCAAAAATGTTCATCAGATTTAGATTTATCTGCCCTGAAATTTACAGACGAATCCGACAACCTGTTGTTGGGTTGCTGCCCCTGAGTTAGTAATTTTACAAAAATTTTGCAGTTTTTTGTTATTATCTTAGATATCATTATAATATCTAATATCTAATACTATTAATTATGATTTTAACCTTATTTTACATGATTTCCAAAGCATCAGTAAATACAGGTGAGCGACACAGGCTCTTGAGAGCCTCTAGTTGTAACTTCCAGACATAACTCGTGTGTTAGTGTATGGATCTCTCTGACATTGTACCACAAGGTTCCATATCACACAGGGAATGCTGGGATTGATTTTGGGGGTAATTGCTTCAAAATATTAGGAATTAGGGGCCAAAAAAGGGGCAAAAAACAAGCATTTTTCTAGTTTCATGACAATAACTTGTGTGTAAGTGTATGGATCTTTCTGAAATTGTACTACAAGGTTCTATATCACAAAGGGAAAACTGGAATTGAGTTTGGGGGTAATTGCCCAAAACATTTAGGAATAAGGGGCCAAAAAGGGGCCAAAAATAAGCATTTTTCTAGTTTCCAGACAAAAACTTGTGTTCAAGTGTATGGATCTCTCTGAAATTGTACTGCAAGGTACCATACCTCAAAGGGAAGGCTGGGATTGAGTTTGGGGGTGATGAATCATAAGGGGGATCAAAAAATTGGGGGGGGGGGGGGGATTTTTTTTTCTGTAAAATTTTCCATTTTAATTGATTATTTCTGATTTATATATAAAAACAAATAATAATGATGTGGTTTGAAAAGGTAAATTAAAAATTCTTAAGTTTTTAGACCACATTCATTCTGTGTCAGAAACCTGTGCTGTGTCAAATGTTTAATCACAATCCAAATTCAGTGCTGTATCAAGTGTCCCTACTTGCCCCAACTGTTCAGAGTTCGACCTCTGCGGTCGTATCAAGCTGCGCCCAGCAGAGCATTTTATTCTAGTTTCCAGACAATAATTTGAGAAACGGTGTATGGCTCTTTCTGAAATTATACCACAAGTTTCCATACCACAAAGGGATGGTTTGGATTGGCTTTGGGGGGTAATGGCTCAAACTGTTTAGGAATTAGGGGCAAAAAAGGGGGAAACACAAGGGTTTCCTTGTCAATGGACAATTACTTTTAAGTACAATGTTTTGTGTTTGGATTACCTCCCTTACACTGCTTTTAAATTATGTATAAAGAAATGTTGTATTGTCTTGAGGTGATTAGCTGTCAATTTATTTTTAGAAGTTACTATTAAAAATGCTGATTAAGGAATATTAATTTTAAACATGATTCTGATGTCATTTTCTATTTTAAGACTTTTATGATGTATTTAAATGGGTAATTATGGTTGCAAACTCCATTGGAAATTTGAATTGAGATAATGACCATATCTTGAGGAAAAGAATTTTTTTTTTTTTTGAAAAAAGGGGTGGGGGGGGGGGGGAAGGGGTAAAACAGATATTGTGGGGGGGGTGGGGGTGGACCTTTTTTTTCTCATTTAAGATTTCAGAAATTGAAAAGAAAATTTCTTCAAACATTTAATTTTCTTTTGCAAAAAAAAAGGGGGGGGGGGGGGGGGGGGAGTCAATTCGCAACAGCATAGTGTATTGCTCAAAAGCAAAAAAAAAGGGGGTGTTAAATTTTTTTTAATTTATTTTTTGTGGGGAGGGGTATAATTCGCAACAGCATAGTGTATTGCACAAAAGCAAAAAATTGAATATAAATTCAAATCATATAACCATTTCTAAGTTCTTTGACTAACAGTTATTCTGTGTCAGAAACCTATTATGTGTCAAATATTTAATTACAATCCAAATTCAGACCTGTATCAAGCGCGAATATTGTGTCTATTTTTGCCCCAACTGTTCAGGGTTGGACTCTGCGGTCGTATCCAGCTGCGCTCGGCGAAGCAATTTATTTTTTTTAATATTTGTGAATTGAACTATTATAGATAGATCATGATGTGACTAGTAACTATGGTAACTGGTTATACAGTGCTGGCATTGGGAATGATCCAAGAGAGGACAGAAAATTTAATATGGTCAAACAAGGACTAGATTATGATCATGATGTGAGTTATCTTTTGTAAGGAAAATACTGTATGTTTAGAAAATTTTGTGATGTTTTTATAAATGCAAAAATTGCAATGGGAATTGTTTTACTGAAAAATGAAGTCACATTTGAAAATTTTTATATCATTATTTGTATATTCAGCATTTCATGAAATCACAGTTTTAATAAATACATGCAAAAATTACTGAATTTACAGTGGAAGTTGTAAAAAGTATTAAAAGGTCTAACTTTTTGTCATGTTCTACTCAATTTGTGGTCATCAATTGTTTAGTGTAAAGTTTTCTGATCAGGTAAGCTTTTGAAGTACTTTTGAAGGATGTACCTGCCCTGTATAAATAAAACATTGTTGCAATTTATCAAATTACTTTGATATTGCTGCAAAGTGGGTGAGACATTTCTTTGTGTTTACAGTGTTATTGTAATGTCATGCCATAAACAAACATTGTAAAATTGCAAAGTGAAGACTTCATATAAATTATTGGTAATCAGATGCATGTGAATTATACTCAGACTTGACATTAAAACATGTGATATTGCTGCTTTTTGTAACATATTGATATACATCCAAAATTCTTAACCTGTTCTTTAGATGATTTACCTATTTAAAAAGAGCCTCCCCTTAGTGTCCTTTAGAAAATACTTGTGTGTTTCATAAAACTGAACTTTAAAGTACTGAGAGAGATAAACATTTTACATAACTACTGGTAGATTGATTGGCATTTTACTGAAGCATTTATTATTCCAGGGAGAATATGTTAGACTGTGGGTACCAGAATTGGAGAAGATAAAAGATGGATCAGTACACCATGTCTGGACACTGTCTAATTCAGTTTTATCTAGAGCTGAGGTGTCATTAGGTGAAACTTACCCAAATCCTATTGTCATTGCACCAGAATGGAGCAGACACACAAATAAAAAATCAGTAAGTCTATACAAAAAATATACCTTTATATGCCCTATCTATGATTATCCATTGTTTAATGTTTTGAAAAAGTATAAAAACAAAAACTAGTAGGCCAATTGATACCAACTTCACCTAAAACATCCTTTAAGTTTAAAATCTTTTTTTCTGTGTTGAACAACCAACTTGGCCAGATAGTATAAATAAGATATTGTGTAAACCATGCAAAATATGTTGAACAGGAATATGTGTCCAAAGAAAAAACAAGCTCCGCTTACATTACATTTTCATGTTCATGTTCAGTGAACCATGAAATCTGGGTCAAAACAGTAAGTTGACATTTGTATTAAACAGTTTACTTCATAAAGAATGTGTTCTAGGTTTCAGGTTGATGTAACAACCTACCTTAACCCAAAACTTTAACCTACATTATACTAAAAACTCTTAACTGCCCATAAATCAAAACTTTAAAATATATCATTTCCATGTTCAGTGAGCTGTGAAATCTGCGTTGAAACCATTATTTGGCATATATATTAAACAGTTCACTTCATGTGCACCAAGTTTAACGTTGATGTGACCACAAAAAACCTTTCACCAAAACTTTAACTGATACTGGATGGACTGATGCAGACCAGAAAACATGATGCTCCTCTACTATCATAGGCTGGGTAAAAACAATTTTGTTTTTTAAGTGTATAGTTGTACATTTTGTGAAACAGGTAACTTTTGAGTTCATATAATTGAATTTTATCTATGAGGGTCTGAATGGGGTTTACAGAAAAGAGAATAATAGCAATAAAAAAGTAATGAATAAAGAAAGTGAACAACAAAATAAAAAATAAAATTGATTGATTGATTGATGATTGCTTTATGTCACATCAGCACAAAAAGGCTATATCACCATTGTTATTCCAAGACTAAACTGACTGAGGAAAAGTGCAAAGTTTATTTATATACATATTATATGTATTCAGCACACTCAGGTATCTTTAGCTACAGTTAAATCTTGTTGACTAAAGTGAATGGTACATGTACATGGAATGAAAAATGAATTAATCATCTGTTGGATTTTATTGGATTTTTTTGAAAAAATGAATAACAGTATACTTTTCTGATGTCTTGACTAATGAAAATTGATTTTAAGGATTGTAAAATAAATTAACTGATGTATGGGGAAGGGGTTGATAGCAATTTGCTTGTGATATTTGGCTTTTGGTTTGAATGATTATATCTCTGGGCAGGCAAGACATTATATAATTGAATTTGTATATTCCAATTCAATTATGCATGTTAAGTTCAAATTGTCACATTAAGTACTCTTTTTTTGTTGTTTTCTTTTTGATATTATACCAGTATGTCTAAATGACTTAACATAGTAATTGGTATTTTATTCATGAAAAGGAAAAGATTGCAACAAACCTATGCACTATGTTTATTATTAATTTTCATATACATTTTTTTTTTGCAGGGTCGCAATCAAGGACCCCCACAGAAGCAAAACAAAGGAATAGATTTCTACTTTAAAGGTTCTCAGAAACATTGATATAAACAAAGCTATTTATTGTTGAATCTCCATGACTGAACGATATTATTAGTGCAATAATTATATTTTGTTCTCAATATATTGAGTAAATTAGAATGGAATGTCTGTACTTAAATGAATGTTAACTGAATGGCTGTAAAATCAAGCAAACATTTATTTGTAAATATAAATGAAATTGTTTTGGTTTACTTTTGCTTTATTAGATGTATTTAATACCACTCTCTATATTAACATTGGTTAGATCTCAAGATAGTTATTTTTATGGGGAAAGAAACAAGGGTACCCTATGTCGAACATCAACAATGATGCACAAGTTGTTGTGCTAAGCATAACCTCATTTGTAATCCAATGTATATGAAAACATACTGTTTAGTTAAATTAAAGAAATGTGTGACAAAAATTTAAATTCATTCAGCATACTGAAAAATTCAAAGTATCTGCAAATCGGAAGTATGTATTCACATGTTACAACCCATCAATGTAAAGCTGTTGACCAAATATGAAGTCATTCAGTTTAGGAGTTCCAGAGTATAATCCATACTTCTAGAATGGGGTTATATTTGGTGTGTTACAGACATGGTTTGATTCATAAACACTTGCTATTTTTTCGTCTTTGAACTCCCACTAAAGTGATCACAAGCTGAAGTGTCCTGTATAGATGTCAATAAACTACCTAGACCACTCAGCCATACAAACCTTATTTGATATGATAGCTTTAGAAGCTCCAAATGATATTAGATTATTCTCTGTCTGTTAAAAAATATGTGTGATAGTTTTAACACATTTTATTTACTAAATCTAAGCAAAATGGATGAGACACAAGTAAATCATGCTTATGAAGTCTTCTCCATAATACAATATGAGTATATATATATATATATATATATATAGTATATATATATATATATATATATATATATGATAATATTATATGCATGCATGTAAAACGAACAAATTCATTAAATATTAAACGAACTATAAAGAAAAATAAGAAGCAAAGATTGAGAAATCATATTTTTCTGTGATGATGACTTAGGATTTGATGATGGTACGTGTCAGTAACTATAACACTTTATGAAGGTACTAGAAATCTGTTTGACCTTTTAATAAAATTTTGAACATGTTTGAAAATAAGAAGATTTTGTTCAAGTCTCCGCAAGTTAAACAGTTAAGTATCTAAAACAAAGTTTTCAGTTAGCCAATTAAGATTGTTGGGCAAAGTTTCTCTACATGTAGTGTATTTTGGGCAAAATATAAGAAATGATGAACATCCTCATATTCAGACCCACACTTACAGGAAGGATCCAGTAAAATGTTAGCTTTGAAAAGGCCATAGTTTAAAAATGAAGCAGAGCATACCAATTGAGTTAATAATATTCTGTTTCCTCGAACCATACAGATAATACGTTGCAACTTTACTCTGGACACTATCATTTTTCAATTCTTTCTTAAATGAAGATTTAGAGTCGATGTTGCAAATTTTTAAATAAAGCTTATTCCATTCTGGTATTGTGGATGGAATAAAAGATTCAGCAGTAAGGGAAAGTCTACAAAATGGAACAATGATATTTTGACTGTTTCGCAACGGATAGTTGGTTGTACTTTGTACACATAGGCAGGAAGGACAAGATTACACAGGTACTCGGATGCATATTTTTATGCCCCACCTACGATAGTAGAGGAGCATTATGTTTTTCGGTCTGTGCGTCCTTTTGTTCGTCAGTTCATCCGTCCGTCTGTCCTGCTTCAGGTTAAAGTTTTTGGTGCTTCAGGTTAAAGTTTTTGGTCAAGGTAGTTTTTGATGAAGTTGAAGTCCAATCAACCTGAAACTTAGTACACATGTTCCCTATGATATGATCTTTCTAATTTTAATGCCAAATTAAGAGTTTTGACCCCAATTTCACGGTCCACTGAACATAGAAAATGATAGTGCAAGTGGGGCATCCGTGTACTATGGACACATTCTTGTTGATTCATATGATGGAACATCTGTAATTTTCTTCTTCTTTGTCTTTCCTATAATTATTCCCAGAAACCTCAGTGTACAGAGTCTCAGTTTTAGTGAAAATTGGAAGACCTGTGGCTTCCAATTGCAAGTTTTCTGATTTATTTGAATAACATATCCCACACTTCAGTGACATATTCAAATATGGGTCTAATAAAAACTAGGTAGATTTTTTCTAAATTATTTCTAGACAGCTGGTATTTTAGTTTATACAGAACATTAAGGTATTTCTTTACACTTGTTATTATACTTTCAATATGATTGTTCCATGTTGCATCACTACTAAAGGTAGCTCCCAGGTGCTTATGGGATGTACTTATAGGGATATTTTTATCATTTAAGGAAAAGTGAGATCTGGTATCTCAATTTTTGAAAATATCATAATTTCTGTTTTATCAGGATTAAATGACATTAGCCATTTAGGTGACCAATCATCCAGCTCTTTCAGGTCGCAGTCGATAACAGATTTAATCTGTTGTCCATCATTACCAGAATAACTGAATGAAATATCATCTGCAAATAGCCTACACAGGGATTTAAGCTTATCAGCAACATCATTTATACATAAAACAAAGAGAAGAGGGCCCAGAACAGATCCCTTGGGTACACCTGACACATTACAAAAGAAAGAGGACAAATTATGCAGTACTACTCATTGTTTTCTATCAAGCAGATAATCTTCAAACCAATTTAATAAGGTTCCATCAATACCATAGGCTTTCAGTTTGTGAATAAGACCTCTATCCCAAAAAAGGAGTCACCGACACAATTTTTTTTTTTTTTTCATAAGAGTTTTAAGATGCAGTTGTATATTTCTAAAAGTTGATGGACAGTTGAATTTTTACGAAGATATCTGGATTGATATTCATAAATTAATTTGTTAGCGTGTAGATGGTTGTATAACTGCTTAAAAACAACTCTTTCCATTACTTTTCCAACACAATTTGTAAGAGAAAAATTGGTCTGTGATTTGAAGGCAAGGATGAATTAGCTTTCCTACAGCCAGTTGGGTATTTGCCTTCTCGTAAAGATTTATTGAATATAAAAAGGAGCAGAACTGCTACCTTTTCTGGACACAGCAATATATGGCCGATAACATGTATGATATGTTTACCATGCCCACAACACATGCGTCTGGAACAACCTTTAATCAGGTTTGTTTGAGATCAAAGGAGAACACAAAATAACATATCAGGGCCTAAAAAGACAAATTGGTTTTTCCTTTATAAAATTTTACAAGTTTTAATTCTAATTAATTTAAGTTTATTTTAGCTGTGCTAGATATGTTTTTGGACAATGATTACATATCTTACTTGACTTGTGATACTTTATAACTTTGAAAATTATATATATTAAAATACAGGTAGAGAACATAGTTGAAATATAGCTAACCAGACAGTGATTATATGGATTTGATCTCATGAGCAATCTTTACCACAAAAATAGATTTTGTTTTGTTCTTTGGAAGGTGCATCTCAATATTTATTGCCACTTGCCACTAGCGTGTAGGGGTTGTTACTACAGTAATTCTAAAGGCATCAATACATAAAGCATCAATAGTTATACTGTAGTTTTATTTCTATTTTCTGTAACATATATAAAAAAAAAGTAAACATTGTAACAAATATTTTACAAATTATGAGTGTACATGTGTACTATATTTCTGTCAGATAACAAAAAAATACAATATGTAATTAAAATCAAGACAAGTATTTATGAAATTTCCTTTCAATGATTTTTTCCTTTTTGACGTTTTTTTTTTTAATGAGATGAAATTCATTTCAATATGATGGTCAGATATCAAGAATTATCTCCTGCATTCAGATTTTCACCCCATCAATATGTAATAAGTAATTTTTGTAAGTTCATAGAATAAAAAATCCTTGTCCTGTTTAGTTGTAAAGCCAAAGCCTTTTTTTGGAATGAAACTTTCACACTTGACTGCTGTTAGATTGTTTCAGAGAAGCACTGGAGTTGTAGGAAAAAATGTATACAATGACAGATAGGGACAACAAATAGTGTATTTCACATGCAAATCTATTGCGCAATACTGTGCAATTGAAGATTTCTTCTTGAAACTTTTCAAAAATTTTGAAGAAAAAAAATATGAACCCCCCAAAAAATTGGAAAAAAAATCTCCCCCCCCCCCCCCTTTTGGAGTAATTACCCCCAAACTCAATCCAAGCCTTCCCTTTGTGATATGGAACCTTGTTGTACAATTTCAGTGAGATCCATACACTTACACACAAGTTATTGTCCAGAAACTACAAATATGCTTGTTTTGGCCCCTAATTCCTAAACTGTTGGTACCATAACCCCCCAAAATCAATCCCAACCTTCCTTTTGTGGTATTGAACCTTCTAGTAAAATTTCATAGAGATCCATTTACTCTAACTAAAGTTATTGTCCGGAAACCAAATGTGTCTTGGACGACGACGCAGACGATGCCGACGACAACATCTTAGCATTATATGAACCCAAAAAAAAAAATTTGCGGTCATATTAAAATTGCCCATAGAGCTCATTCTTAAGGGGAGGCAACACAGCTTCAGGGGAGATAAATAAACACAGATAATTAAACTTTTATCTTTACGTTAAGTTATCTCCCCTGAAACCTTTAATATAATATAAGAACCGTGAGCCACTGCACCTAGGCAAGTTTAAATATGAATTCAACAGAGACAACTGAAGATCTGCAAACAAAACTCATTTTCTAAATGTATGAAAATTAGAAACTAAAAGAAACAACTTAGAACGAACACTGATGAAATTCCAGACTCAGGTTAATAATTAACAATATGTGGTAATGTGACACTTATTTTTTTAGTACACAACCCTCCAATTCAATATGTATAGAATTTTGCACCCATATTAAATTTAAAAATGTAGTGGTCCATAGACTTTCCAAATCCTACTAGTAGATTAGTATTTGATTTATTGGTAATATTTTTTGTAAAAGAAAAGGATCTTAAAAAGTCTTTTCTCTGCTGCACTTTGTGATCTACAATAATTGTATCACAAAGGTATCAATAAATATGTCATGGTTCATAGAATTCTTAATTAAATTCCAAAACTTATTTTCATGAAAATATGGAAAATAGTATAAATTTGGTTTCTGTTATAAAATATATATATTTAATTTGGAGTCTTATGTAATTGTATCTTATTGTTTTCTTTTTAATAAAAGAACAGAGTTCCAATGTCCCCCGTGTTGCACATATTTTATCTGTCCAAGGGCAATAACTTAAAATTTTATTTTTATAAATATCTTGGAGAAATGAAGGCTTGAGAGCAAATGCAATGCAATTTCCAATAAAATTATTGTTTCCAAGGGGCATAACTCCAATTAGTTTTAAAAATAATTGATTAGCACTGATTTTTTTGAACTTGTCCAAGACATTGCTGATATAAACCTATGATATAAGTTTCATTAAAATCTGGCAAGCATTGTACACGTGAGAGCGCTGACAATGCAATTTTCCATATAATTAATATTTCCAAGGGCCTTAACTCTTTTAAAAATAATTGATCGGCACTGATTTTTGAACTCACCCGAGACATTGCTGATACACACCTATGATATAAGTTTCATAAAAATCTGGCAAGAATTGTACATGTGAGAGCGCTAACAATGCAATTTTCCATATAATTAATATTTACAAGGGGCATAACTCTTTTAAAATTAATTGACTGGCACTGATTTCCGAACTCGTCCGAGACATTGCTGATATAAACCTATGATATAAGTTTCATAAATATCTGGCAAGTATTGTACATGTGAGAGCGCTAACAATGCAATTTTCCATACAATTAATATTTCTAAAGGGCATTACTCTTTTAAAAATAATTGATCAGCACTGATTTTCGAACTCGTCGACACATTACTGATAAAAACCAATGATATAAGTTTAAAACAATTCGGCATGAATTGTACACGTGAGAGCGCTAACAAGACCGGAAAGACGGACGCACGGAGAGACAATTAAAAGATTTTGGGTAAATAACTATAGAATGAGTAGAAGCAGAATTCAAATATCAATAAAATAGGTCAAGACTCAAAGGGAATAACTATTTATGGTTATTTAAAATTCCATATAAATGGTAATGACAGTAGTATTTGATGTGCTTAGGGGGCATCAGTTAATATTCAATCAACGAAAGGTGATCTACTGATTTCTACAAATTAACAAAACTAAGAAAAACTACAGTCTCCCAGGAAATATTAAACAAAACAAGACAAATTCATCAATCAAAATTGGTATCAACCATCAAGAGTGCTACCATTGTAATGTCATTGTGAGCTGCAACTATTGTCAATATAAAAGAAGGAAATATATCCTATAATTTCACACTGTGAAACAACAGATTTACTTTACCAAGAAATCACTTAAAACTACTGATAACAATGGAATTATTTAGAATTACAACATGCATGGAAACGTCTGATTAAAAAAAGATAAATATTCACAAACGTGTCTTTGACAAGTGAAAGCACTGCATCACTTTGTTTTCCTGTCAACTTGATATTCAAGTTACTGAATTTAACCTTGTACAAATGTAGGTATTAAAAGTACAAAAAAATGATTATATACAATCAATAACAAAATAATGCCACAAATCCATTATCAACATATCAATGTAATTTAACAACCAAAATTCATCACTGATTTATTTCTGCAACAAGAGTCTCGCTGGTTCTAACACAAGCTGCATATTTTATGTGACTAGGAGCCACCACTTGATTTGTGGTAATTAAAAAAGTTTGAATTTTTTCATGTGGGCAATCTCATTTCTTCATCCTCATCAGTGTCATCGACATATTTCCTCTTCAATAAACCTGAAATGATATAATTCTTATAATCACACAAATACACTGCTATATTGTAATATTCTATGCTATGATTTTGGCAGTAAACGGATGCATGTTATATTTCAAGGAAAATGTGTGTGTATGGAGAGATGTGGGGTAAATATCAAGAGGATAACAATCAATAAAACAATACAAAAACCAAAAGACATCTATTAAGTTTATTAATATGAGCCGAGGTAAACTTTTAAACACATGCAGGCTTCCACAATGATGACAAAATACTCCTTGAAGTTTATACTGTCCTAAATACATACTGTTTCCTTCTGTTAAGTGACTGAACAAACATAGCAATAAATATTTAATTCATAAATTTGTCTCTAGTTCTTTCATGTGCATGTGAACTGCAAATAATAAACATTGGCAATTATACCACATCTTATGTTTCTATTACCTGATAAAAATGCCATGTTATGGTAATAATAATGAGACTTCAGTAGTATTTAAAAAGAAAACAATGGAATGCTTTATGACAACACTTGAAGCCAGGATTTGTAAATGGGGATGTGTGGAGCCTGGTAGATGCATGGAAAGCTACCAATCTCCTCCCTGAAAGCTCTGAGGATTTAATATTTAGAGGACACAAAATCGAGCCATGGTTTAAGCAAATCAGTCATTTGAATAAGGAAACTACCCTATGAACCTCATTTGTATAAAGGGATTGTGATCACACATATCACACCCATGGCTACAGCCTAGTATTAGCTGTGTTAGAAATATATTTAAAAGCCAAATTCCTGTCCAAACGGGAAATAATTCTAATCTAAGAAATTACAAAACAAAGAAACGCATGTACTTACAATTATCAGTGGATCTACTCCCACTAAGAAAACTTAGTTTTGCTCTGTAAATAGGTTCATACTCCTTAAAACCACAAAAAGAGACAGTTACTATATCATCAAAGGTAATGCAGTGAGTGCTGAAAAATGCCTCTTTTTAACATGTCATATCTTTATATATTGCATTGTAAATATTATGAACTTCTTCTACAAGTATCATTTTTACACAGACATCCAGATATACTAGAATGCTTTTCATTCCTATATGGTTGATCCAACTGTTTCAACACCCTTGTTTCATTAGCCAATGAAGGACAAGATTAATGTAACACAATATTTTCTTATAAAACACTTCCAGTTGTATAAAATTTCCTGCAGTAACCATTGTTTGATTAAAAACAAGAGTTCCAATGTCCCCTGCACTGCACATATTTTATCTGTACAAGGTCAATAACTTAATTTTTTTGGTTCTTTAAAACTTTTTATAAATATCTTACAAGAAATGTAGACATGCGATAGCTAACCATGTTATTTTCCATATATTTCGATTTGCAAGGGACATTACTCCTGTAAAAATAATAGATCAGCTCCGATTTTCCAACTCACTCATGACGTTGCTAATATAAACCTTTGATATGAATTTCATTACAATCCTACAAGAAATGAAGGTGTGAGAGTGCTTCCAATACAGTTTTTCATATAATTAATATTTCCATGGGGCATAACTCTTTAAATAATAATTGTATGGCACTGATTTTTTAACTGGAAAGAATTGTACATATGAGAGCACTTACAATGAATTATCTATATAACTAATATTTCCAAAGGGCATAACTCATTAAAAAATAGTTGATTAGCACTGATTTACTATTTTTTCAAATAATTGCTGATATAAACCTTTGATATAAATTTCATAAAAATTTGGCAAGAATTGTGCAGGTGAGATTGCTTACAAGAATGGACAGATGGACAGAGGGACAGAGGCTGGGCATTTCTATGTATCCTCCAACTTGGTGTACAGGGGACAAAAAGATGGAAGATTTCATCATTTATTAAGTGAAAACTGAAGAATGTACCGGTATTATCTGTAATAAATTACAGAAAAATCATTTACATTTGCTTTATCTGAAGAAAAAAAAACTAAGTAAAAATTATCGTTTTAACTTTTTTTTCAATTGCAAATACATGGGAATGGCTATGTAAATTGAGACCACAAACACATGTTGATCCAAACAACAAAGGATTCTGAAATCTGAGTAAACTATCTTTCAAGACAGGCCAAAACTGGGAGACAATAGGGGGCCTGTATACACAATTTATACCATTTTCGAGAATTACTGCAGTGATATTTCAGCAGTTATGCTACAATCAGGGTATAATAAGGTATACTTTTTAACTAAATAATATAAAAAAAAAAATTTAAAAATAAGACAATTGTGGTATCTTACCGTTAACTGTTGAGCAAAGCCATCATTTGGATTTATGCAAAATCTTTTCTGTTGAACATAAAAGAAGGTGTCTCTGTTCAAAAAGAAATACAAACTGTATGAACAAAATGATCAAAATACATAAACTAAAAAAATTTCAAAGTAAAAGGTGTTTTACACTGTAGACTATCAGGTTTTTTACATACAGAACGATATAAACACTGGGGAAAAAGAGATTATCTCATATCATTAAACAGTCACAAAACGCATGATCTTTTTTTCATACTAAAAACTAATTTTATATTTTGATATGAGGATAGAAAGTACTTCTATATTACTGAATATTATATTCACTGTCATAAATAAAGCTGATTCCTGATTTCATTATCACCAGTGCCTTGTTTTCAATAGCTAAATTTAAATGAACATATCTAATTTGTTCTTTGATTTATATATGCATCACTTGAATTATTACAAATTTTGTTCAGAACAGTAGAGTTTTCAAATTAGATTAACCCCCCAAAATCCTTTTCAAACTCTACAATGAATAAATTTGTCTGTCAAAAAACCTGTTTGTTTCTGAACAAGTTCTGTTTTATCATCACAAAATAATAGATTAACTTCTTATATATATAAGTTTAAAATATAAGTGTACATACTTATAACTAAGTCCATACTTTTCCATGATATATGCAATTACTAAAGCTGCACTGCAAGAAAATAAAATGAAGAGGTATTATGAGAGAACTAAATCAAAATAATAAATCTGCTCCAATTTTTAAATTCAATTAAATGTTTGTGGAAGCAAGTTTATAATAAAGTATCTCGCTCATAAATTGTTTGATAACTATTAGTGTTTGTAAATTAGAAAATGCTCGAGTTTTCATGAGATCCATCAGACAACTTAGTCTAGTAGTGCATACACAGTCAATACCAGTCTAATAACAATCTGTGTTTCAATATGCAAAATAAGAATTATTCTTGGCATGATCATCTACATATGGTGCACTGCCCTTCTGCCTATATGTCCTATTGTGTACACATTTGTTCAAAGCGGCATAGAAATCTGTTGAACATTTTGAATGGAGTTGCACCTACATGTTAAGGTCAATGCTATATCATGAATCAAATGAATGCTGAAATCTTATTATCTTGCTTTCAAAAGTTTCCCATTTCACTTTCATGTAATACCATTCTATAAAGTAACATTAAAATCCATCAAATGGTTTTGCATGCCCATAAGATTAAGAAAAGATTGACAAGACAGGGGTTAAAAAAATTTGTTCCAGATCACTAGCCCAGGACTTATTGGTAGCAGGATTTTAGTAGTCCAGTTGGAGGAACTACTAGCCTGGGCTTCCAGCAAATATTTGAATCAGCTGGACATTTTCTTTTGAATCAGATTTCAATCCCGTAAGACTTAGTTACAAAGGCAGTCGTTGTAAAAATGATGGCATCATAACAATAATTGACATAAAAAACGATATCAAACTTCAGACTTTTGATATAAATTTGATGTTCTGACTTAAACTGTTAAATTGACAGTGCATCATACGTAATGTTCAATAAAAGTGTAATAAAATCTGCCTTAGACTCTTTATTAATGCAATATCACACTGTCAGAACTGTACTTTCTTTTAAAGCACATTTCCTAATACCGGATAATGGTAAAACACGGACCAGAGATGGACGCATAAAATCCGTGAACACTTTAAAAGCACAATTGAGTTTAAATAGTTCTTTCCACATTATTTCTTCTTCTTGAAAATACTTGAAATGAATGTAAGATAAAGGTATCAATGATATTGTTAGCCTTTTTGAAGATTTCAGATGCAAAATTAAATCTCACACCTGTGCACATGTCCACAGGTGTACTAGTTTCAACAATGTGGTTCTGTCGAATTTTCACTTAAAACTTTTTTTAATTCTTTTTTATATTAATCATTAGAATTCTATTTTAATATGTATTTCTGATAGACTAAATTATTTTTACTAAGTAACAGGTCATATCAGCCTATAGGTCATATCAATCAATGCATCATACTCCCAGTACTGTTAATTGAAAGTCTGGGCTTGAGCAATGTACAATACTCCAGTACTGAAAAATCGATATTGAAAGTACGGGAATTGTGATCAATACATGATACCGGTCCATCCAGTTATTTGTTCTATTTCTAAAACATGTAAAAAATCAGTTTAAATTCCTGAAATCCTGGATGAAGTTATTGAATCTGATTGGCTAAGATAAAAATAGTGAGGAAGGGATTTTCTATTTCTATTTTGGTAATGCAAGATTTTTTTTTTCACTAGTCCGTCGGGCATATTGATGACAAGTTTTGATTGCCCGACGCATAAACGTTTTAGTCCCGGGCGTCAGGCTAGTGGATTTTTTAACCCATGCAAGAGTTTTAAATAATGCGTAGATAAGCATTAAAATATTATAACTTGGTACAATTTTTAAATGTTTGTGAGATAACCAGACATTGTTCCAAAATTTTGAACTGAACATTATCATGGTTTCAGTTGTACCATGTGTACAGATGCTTGAAATTACTTATTAATTCAGCATACCTTCTAGAAATTCCTGCATTACCATGTACTAATGCCTTTCCACCACTGCAAAAACACTCTTCCAAAAACTGTCTTACCTGCAAAACAAAAATAGGCTACAGATGTGTTTATCATAGAAACACATCTTGAAGGTCAATTCTGTTATATTATTTCCCTTGTATCTAAGAATGTCACAAAATATGTTGGTTTTTTCACAGTTGATGACAGCATTATTGACCTTTCTATCGTAATGCTGTAACAATAGTTGTGGCACTTAAGCAAAACATGGCAACCAGTCAGCTAGCTACCTGTGCACACCTTAATTGATCCTGGTTCTATGGAGTGTCAGTTATAGTTGGCACAAAGTTACTGGCAAGAGGTACATTTGTAAATAGATAATTCCTGCTTTTAATGGATGGGAATATATATGTTGGAAATCATGCACAGAAGAATATGTTACTGTAACCCGGTATTATTGTATCTTACGTCGTATACTTATGACGTTATCTTGTACTTGAGTCATCAATACAAATTCATACAGTTTAGATGTCTTTATTATTATACATGCAGTTTTAGTAAAACCACTTAACGATAATATATTGTGTAAATCAAGTTGGCTATGTTCATATAATGAGGTTAAATTTAAAACATATATATGGACAAGAGACAGAATGACAGCTTAAACTGTAATCAATGCAAAATTATGACAAATAAATATTCAAAGATATTAACCCTGTTCAATAATCAATAAAACAGTAAAGGTGGGATTAAAAATCAGAAAAAAGAAAAAAAATGTGTTTCTTTGTAAATTGTTACACTTACCTGAGGTATGTATTGTATTATATTTTCTGTTACACTGTCTGCAATATCAAGTACAAGGTATCTGTAATTAAAATTAATCAAGTTCATGATGATCCAAAAGAAATTTTGCTGATTCAGAAAATATACTCGACTAGTAAATATAATTGATATTTACAGTTAACTTAGTACACTACATAAAGTAGATATTTCTTGCTGTTCTTTATTCAAATCATCCATAATATGCTCATGCTTCAGCAAATTACAGGAAAATGTTTTCTACAGCTGAGGCCTCTTTTCTTTAAATTTGTTTACCATAATTAGTCAAATATACTTATACACACTAAATAAAAACTACTTTGTATGCTTAATTAATATAAATAAAAGATGTGGGTTTTACATCAATGAGACAGCAACCCAACAATATTTGTTTCACATCAACAATTTTAGGAAAGTATTGTATATATATATATATATATATGTTAACTATGAATTTTACCTGAAATGATCTGGAAAGTTGGCTCTAATGAAGTTTGCCTCTACTGCCTGTCTGATGCATATGATATGAGTTATTCCTGTCTGGGTTAATACGTTCAGCTGTAACAGTAGAATATTTTATCATATATAAAGAACAATGCCACGACTCTTTGAAATTCAGTTAAAAGCGATATGAAAACAGTCATTAAAGGTTGACTACTGATGTTACAAAATTTACTTCAATATTGAAACCCTAACCTAATCCAAATTGTGCCATGACACAGAAGTTTTCTCTTGATATTTTTTTAATCTTATTTAGTTTGTTTTATATAGTGCTTTCTTGGCTGTTTGTGAAGCTGTTAAATTAATATTTGATTGTTTGATTTGGCTGTATACTTGAAGACTTACAACTCAAGATGCTTGAAATAAATTCTTAACGGATAATAATGATAATCATAACATAACTTAGAAGAAAACATCATGACATTTATGGGTTGCTTTAAGATTGATGTACATGTACAAATGTATACCCCCATCTCCCCTTATTCATATCATTCTACAGGTTAAAAAATGAGCAGGACCAATCTCAGAAACCTTTAATAGATGTGGAATGACATTTCCAATCGACCATTTGAAAACTTAATTGTGTTTGAATGATACTGAGTTTTATTGTACAAAAGTTATGTGCAGGACATGAATTTGACAAGGTTTTACTATCATAGGGGTCAAAGTCAAGGTCAGAGTGACCTGACTTTGGTATACGACACACCCCAGCCCATGATGCAACAGCATACCAAGTTTGGTAAACCTTAGTTTTACGGATCAAAAGTTATGACCCAGACACAAAGCAGGAATGACAGACAGACGGACAGACAGATAGATAGACAGACCTACATGGTGATTCCATTATAACCCCCCTCAAACTTTGTTTGCCGGGGTATAATTAAGCAAACAAAAAAAGACTAGACAAAAGTATACACCAACCAAGCCTTTGGGCCCTGAATTTAAATAGGCAGTATTTTGTTGTTGTTTGCCCTGCAAGTATCTTGTGTTTGTAAGATACATATGCTGTCCTAATTATTGCCCTGCATGTCATGTTTTATTATAAACATAGAGGAAATAAAATGCTTCGCTGAGCGCAGCAGGAAACGACCGCAGAGGTCCAACCCTGAACAGTTGGGGCAAAAATGGGCAAAAATGGACACAATATTCGCGCTTGATACAGGTCTGAATTTGGATTGTAATTAAATATTTGACACATAATAGGTTTCCGACACCGAATAACTGTGGTCAAAGAACTTAGAATTGGTAATGATTTGAATTTATATTCAATTTTTTGCTTTTGTGAAATACACTATTCTGTTGCGTATTGACCCCCCCCCCTCCAAAAAAAGAAAAACATTTTTTTAACCCCCCCCCCCCCCCCCATCTTTTTTGCAAAAAAAAAAAAAATATTGCCCCCCACAATTTCTTTTTTACACCCCTCCCTCCCCCCCCCCCCCCCCCCCCCCTTTTCCAAGAGAAAATTCTTTCCCTCAAGATATGGTCATAATCTCAATTCAGATTTCCAATGGAGTTTGCAACCATAACTATCAATTTAAATACATCATAAAAGTCTTAAAATAGAAAATGACATACTTAATCATTGCTAAAATTAATATTCCTTTAATAGTAACTTCTAAGAATAAATTGACAGCTAATCACCTCAAGACAATACAACATTTCTTTATACATAATTTAAAAGCAGTGTAAGGGAGGTAATCCAAACATACACAACATTGTACTTTAAATGTGTTTGGATTACCTCCCTTACACTGCTTTTAAATTGTTGATTAACCAGGAAACCTTCGTTTTCACCCTTTTTGCCCCTAATTGCTAAACAGTTTGAGCCATAACCCCAAAAAGTCAATCCTAACCATCCCTTTGTGGTATGGAAACTTGTGGTATAATTTCAGAGAGATTCATACACCGTTCCACAAGTTATTGTCTGGAAACTAGAAAAATGCTTATTTGGGCCCTTTTTTGGCCCCTAAATCCTAAACTGTAAGGACCAACACCCCCAAAATCAATCCCAACCTTCCTTTTGTGGTTATAAACCTTGTGTTTAAATTTCATAGATTTCTATTTACTTTTACTAAAGTTATTGTCCGGAAACCAAATGTCTTCGGACGACGACGACGTGATACCAATATACGACCGCAAAATTTTTTGCAGTCGTATAAAAATTGGTATTGGACAAAATTATGACAAACATTCATTACTGATAAACAAAATCACTTGGACAATGTGCATAATAGTATATGTATACTAAGTAACAATCTGCATTATTTGCTGCAAATAAAAATAAATTCAAGCTTGGAAATTGCATGAGTTTAGCAGATTTAGTATGTATAATGTATATGATCAAATTTAGCAAGAAGTGACAAAGTTAACTTCCTCTCATTCTATAAATAATTTATTGAATTCAAAATCCTGACAACATGCACATCATTATAAAAATAAGGAGATCTGTTATGATTGGATCAAGTCTGTGAGTAAACATTTTGCAAAATAAAAACCTGGTCTCCTAAAAGTGTCCCATAATGCAAATTAAATAAAAAATCAACAAAGTTTGTTTTCTCAAAATTTTTTAAACACCTCAAGAGAAAATAAAAGAACAGATTTCCAATGTCCCCTGTATCTATCCAAGGGCAATAACTACAACAACTTTTTTTTGTTGTTCTTTAAATCTTTTTACAAATATCTTAGAGAAATGAAGGATGGACAGACAGACGGACGCCTTGAATCTCTATGTTCCCCACAATGCATCACGCGGGGGACAAAAAATCCTGATGATTCATACCTTTAGCATGCTGTGAATTCAGAACTTGTGTGTGCATTTTATTATAACCATTTTAGAAAATGGTCCATACAAATGATGGTATCAAATTTTAAATGTGAGTTTTTGTGTTTGTTAATATCATCATGTTGCTATTTTCAAATAAAGAAAACATCGCAAAAATTTCTGAATTTATAATGCATCCAAACATTAAAAAAAATATAAAATCCTTCTAGCTGGAAAACCATGAGAGGAATTGAAAAGACAAACAGTGCACTATATACATGTATGCAAAACTAAACAATTTGACAAAACTCAACTGCATATGGTTTGCGAATATTCTTGAAAATAAAAATTCTTTGCACACCTTCAGTACATGTATGTGTTTGATTCTTACATTAATGCTTTTTGTTATGGATTTGAATAAGAATGATTCATGTGGATTTACATGAGAGGTAATCTGTAACAGCCTTAAATATGTACATATGTGAGTCTGTGCTAAATATAAATATATCGAGAATTTTTATCATGTCGTTGATTACAAAGCGAAAGCAGCACGTCATATTGGAATTACAACTTTCCACTTTCATTATTTACAATAGCTATTTAAATAAGAAAAATACAGTAAAACTTGCAGTATTAAATATCAGTTTTTTTTATGGCATATATATGATAAATAAAAGTTTTCACCGAAAACTATTTCTTCACTTGATCAAAACAGTTGAAATACTGATACACAAACCATACCTTTGATTTCATTGCAGCAGCATATGGTCCCAAGTAGAGATTTGGTAAAATTTCCTAAAAATAAGATTGTATACTTGTATACATAAAGTATATGCATTCAAGCTGCTATCTTGGATCTTAAAATATGTTTAAAGACAGTTACAGGAATTAGCCAACTTAAGTCTTCACACAAAATTGCAATTCATTGAATTTTCATTTTAATATGTGAAAATATCTCTTACACCATTGTATCATTGAAAAGATAAGTTGACAAATTTTTTTACCAAATTGAGAAATTTCGAATTCTTCTGCTTTCTTAAATTTGATTGATTGATTGATTGGTGTTTAACTCCACTTTCAGCTCTATTGTGCTATTTCTGGGCGGTCAGTTTTTATTGGTGGAGGAAGCCGGAGTGCCCAGAGAGAAGGAGGAAGCGGGAGTGCCCAGAGAGAACCACAACCTTTGGTTGGAAAATTGACAATCATAGTCAATCCGATTGGAGTCGAGCGCATCTGCCACATGTGGGATTCGAACTCTAAACCTCAGTGTTGACAGGCTAGAGCTACAGTAGTTCGACTACATAGACCATTTGGCCACTGAGGCCCCTTTTTTTTTATCTCAAACTAAAAAATGTCCCATTTTTTCATAAATACAATTATGTGTACTGTAGCCTCTGTAGGGGATAAAATTATGCTTGTCTGCATCTTATTTTTTGAAACCTATCAGAAATGTTGAGGTATTTCATTTATATCAATTTCATATTATAAGAACTGTTACTGTAGCTAAGAACCTATATAATTTTACATACCTGCATTTCTCTCCTCATGGCATATGCCCAGTCCTAGAAATCAAAAGATAAAGTAAAGTAATAAAAACAGTCATCTCAATTGATTCTAGAATTAAGTTTTTCTTAATTTTTTAAGTAGCTTCTGATTTAAAAAGTACAAGGACAGGCATGGTCTTCCTGCTTGGCCACAGGCCCACCAGCCTAGGCTTGTAAAATTGGTTAAAATTTATACTGCAGGCCAATTTAATCTATAACTTTTTAAAAAGTAATTGTGCAATTTTTATACAGTCCCGACTCGTCGTAGATTCCATCTTCTTTTCTTGAATTGTTGCATTACAGAATGTGATTTGTCTGATTTTTTATCACCAAAATTTTTTATTGCTATTAGCAACATGTCAGGTGCCACTAATGAAGCCAGAAATGTTTATCCTTCTGGAGCACCTGAGTTCAATCCAATTTTTGTGGGGTTTGTGTTTCTCCATTTTTGGACAGTTGCTGTCTTTTAGTCGATTTTCATGTTGTCATGGTGCTGTCAGTTTTTTCCTCAACTTATGGTTTATTATTGCCCCTTTCTAACTACAGTGCATGGACATAATTTTTCTTCACTTGTGATCTTTTAACTTATATATTTCATATGAAAGTAGAATTTAAAAAAAATTGGTATCTGTAACAAGAGAATTCTCACACATTTATTTGCCTAACTTATATGGTTTAGGTTTTGTTATTAGGTGTTTTTATTTTATAGTAGTTTAAACACAAGTTTTATTTAATTTTCTTGTTATTAATTGTTAGGAAATTTGATATTTTAACTAAAATAAAATCTGGTAATTTCAAGATGCACTTTGCCACCCTGTTTGCAAAACCCTTTTAAGTAATTTTATGAATCATGATTATAATAATGAAGATTCGGAGGGAGCTGTTTCTTAATTTTTTGGATATTATAAATGTTGCTGCTTCAAAGGCAAATATTTTTCACAATAAATCATCCAAAATAAACTGCTTTGCTGAGCGCAGCTGGATACGCCTGCAGAGGTCCAACCCTGAACAGTTGGGGCAAAAATGGACACAATATTCAAGCTTGATACAGGTCTGAATTTGGATTGTAATTAAATATTTGACATATTATAGGTTTCTGAATAAGAACTTGAAATTGGTTATATGAATTGAATTTATATTCAATTAAAGATTTCTTGCTGTTATGCAATACACTGTGCTGTTGCGCAATACTTAGTAAATCTGTTGTCAGACTATAAACAAATAAAGTTCAATTTCTTCTCAATGTCATATTTGAAATTTATGAAAATCAATAGGGAGATTACATCAATAGCTATAAATAATTCACCAAAGTTTCACGAGAACTGCTGAAAGCATTTTTGAGTTATTGTCCAAAAACTGGAAAATTACCCCTTTTTTAATGAATAAAACCCCATGCCATAACTCAGAAATTTAAAATCTAAAATTTATAAAATTCTAAAGGGAGCTTACATCAACAGATATAAACAATTCACCAAAGTTTCATGAGAACTGCTGAAAGCATTTTTTAGTTATTGTCCGAAAACTGGAAAATCCCCCTTTTTTTATGAATAAAACCCTGTAACTCGGAAACGTTAAATCTAAAATTTATAAAAATTCAAAAGGGAGCTCATGTCAATAGATATAAACAATTCACCAAAATTTCTTGCAAGTGTAGTTGATTCAACTATAATCATGGACAAAGGAAGATAACTCCAATTTAAATAAAATGCTTCGCTGGGCGCAGCTTGATACGACCGCAGAGGTCGAACCCTGAACAGTTGGGGCAAGTATGGACACAACATTCAAGCTTGATACAGCTCTGAATTTGGATTGTGATTAAATATTTGACACAGCATAGGTTTCTGACACAGAAAGAATGTGGTCTAAGAACTTCAATTTTTCAAATTTACCTATTATGGTCCAATGTCCAAAATCAAAATACATGGTTAGATTCAGCATATCAAAGAACCCCATATATTCAATTTTTGTTGAAATCAAACAAAGTTTAATTTTGGACCCCAACTTGGACAAACTTGAAAACTGGTCCCATAATCAAAAATCTAAACACATGTTTAGATACAGCATATCAAAGTACCCGAAGAATTCAATTTTTGTTAAAATCAAACTAAGTTTAATTTTGGACCCTTTGGACCTTAAAGTAGACAAATTTAAAAAACGGGACCCAAAATTAAAAATCTAAAAACACGGTTAGATTTGGCATATCAAAGAACCCCAATAATTCAATTTTTGATGAAATCAAACAAAGTTTAATTGTGGACCCTTTTGACCTCAATATGAACCAATTTGATAGCGAGCCCACAAATAAAAAATCTAAATACATGGTAAGATTCAGCATATCAAAGAACCCCATATATTCAATTTTTGTTGAAATCAAACAAAGTTTAATTTTGGACCCCAATTTGGACCAACTTGAAAACTGGGCCAAAAATCTAAAATCTAAATACATGTTTAGATTCAGCATATCAAAGAACCCCATATATTCAATTTTTGTTGAAATCAAACAAAGTTTAATTTTGGACCCCAACTTGGACCAACTTGAAAACTGGTCCCATAATCAAAAATCTAAACACATGTTTAGATTCAGCATATCAAAGAACCCCAAAAATTCAATTTTTGTTAAAATCAAACTAAGTTTAATTTTGGACCCTTTGGACCTTAATGTAGACCAATTTAAAAAACAGGACCCAAAATTAAAAATCTAAATACATGGTTAGATTTGGCATATCAAAGAACCCCAATAATTCAATTTTTGATGAAATCAAACAAAGTTTAATTGTGGACCCTTTTGACCTCAATATGAACCAATTTGATAGCGGGCCCACAAATAAAAAATCTAAATACATGGTAAGATTCAGCATATCAAAGAACCCCATATATTCATTTTTTGTTGAAATCAAACAAAGTTTAATTTTGGACCCCAATTTGGACCAACTTGAAAACTGGGCTAAAAATCTAAAATCTAAATACATGTTTAGATTCAGCATATCAAAGAACCCCATATATTCAATTTTTGTTGAAATCAAACAAAGTTTAATTTTGGACCCCAACTTGGACCAACTTGAAAACTGGGCCCATAATCAAAAATCTAAACACATGTTTAGATTCAGCATATCAAAGAACCCTAAGAATTCAATTTTTGTTAAAATCAAACTAAGTTTAATTTTGGACCCTTTGGACCTTAATGTAGACCAATTTTAAAAACGGGACCCAAAATTAAAAATCTAAATACACGGTTAGATTCGGCATATCAAAGAACCCCAATAATTCAATTTTTGATGAAATCAAACAAAGTTAAATTTTGGACCCTTTGGACCTCAATGTGGACCAATTTAAAAACGGGGCCCAAAATCCAAAAACTTAATACACGGTTAGATTCAGCATATTAAAGAACCCCAAGAATTCAAGAATAAAACCCCATTGAAATTGATCAAGAAATAAGCAATTTATACGAAGTATCTTCTTTTGCACAATACTGTGCAATTGAATATTTCTTGCTATTGCGCAATACTGTACAATTGACAATTTCTTGCTATTGCGCAATATTGTGCTATTGGATATTTCTTGCTATTGCGCAATACTGTTAAATTGAAGATTTCTTGCTATTGTGCAATACTGTGCAATTGAAGATTTCTTGCTATTGTGCAATACTGTGCAATTGAAAATTTCTTGCTATTGCACAATACTTATTATATAATAATTTACACATCCTGTTTGGTGTGTATCTCCTACCATATCATTATTATTTGCTTTTAAATATAAATCAGAAATAACAAACTTAAAATGGAAAATTTTAAAAGAAAAAAAAAAGGAATAAAAAGAAAAAAAAAAAAAAAAAAATCCCCCCCCCCCCAATTTTTTGAACCCCCTTATGATTCATCACCCCCAAACTCAATCCCAGCCTTCCCTTTGTGGTATGGTACCTTGCAGTACAATTTCAGAGAGATCCATACACTTGAACACAAGTTATTGTCTGGAAACTAGAAAAATGCTTATTTTTGGCCCCTTTTTGGCCCCCAATTCCTAAACGTTTCGGGCAATTACCCCCAAACTCAATTCCAGCTTTCCCTTTGTGATATGGAACCTTGTAGTACAATTTCAGAAATATCCAAACACTTACACACAAGTTATTGTCATGAAACTAGAAAAATGCTTGTTTTTTGCCCCTTTTTTGGCCCCTAATTCCTAAAATTTTGAGGCAATTACCCCCAAAATCAATTACAGCCTTCCCTTTGTGATATGGAACCTTGTGGTACAATGTCAGAGAGATCCATACACTTACACACAAGTTATTGTCTGAAAGTTACAAAAATGCTTATTTTTGGCCCCTTTTTGGCCCCTAATTCCTTAACTGTTGGTACCATAACCCCCAAAATCAATCCCAACCTTCCTTTCGTGGTATTGAACCTTATGGTGAAATTTCATGGAGATCCATTCACTTAAACTAAAGTTAGAGTGCGAAAACCAATGTGTCTTCGGACGACGACGACGACGACGACGACGCCAACGTCATACCAATATACGACCAAAAAATTTTTAATTTTTGCGGTCGTATAAAAATTACTTGAACAATGACATCATTGATATTTTTAGAGAATGGAAATGAAAAATGTTTGCAATTTTTTCATTTATAAAGGGGCATAACAACTCTAGAACGGTTAAAGTGACGCCACCAAAATTCAAACTTGATCTGTGTATTGTGGTAATAAGCATTGTGTATAAGTTTCATAACATTTAGTTGAGGCAAACTTAAGTTAGAGAACGGAAATGAAAAATTTTGCAATTTTTCCATTTATAAAGGGGAATAACTCTAGAACGGTTAAAGTGACGCCACCAAAATTCAAACTTGATCTGTGTATTGTGGTATTAAGCATTGTGTATAAGTTATGTCTGGAAGTTACAAAAATGCTTATTTTTGGCCCCTTTTTGGCCCCTAATTCCTGAACTGTTGGTACCATAACCCCCAAAATCAATCCCAACCTTCCTTTTGTGGTATTGAACCTTATGATAAAAATTCATAAAGATCCATTCACTTAAACTAAAGTTAGAGTGCGAAAACCAATGTGTCTTCGGACGACGACGACGACGAACCCGACGCCAACGTCATACCAATATACGACCACAAAATTTTTTTGCAGTCGTATAAAAAGACAAAAGTATAATTTTTAACGAACCAGGAAAGTTTTTAAAATGCCCTATATATTTTGGAGGTGAAGAGATCAAATGTGCAAAATTACATAGATATCTTGGAATCACATTTACATCTAGTGGTATATTCAAACAGTGTAAAGATGAATTATACAAAAAAATCTTTATAAGCATGTTTTAAGCTACAGATCTAGAGGTGCTTGTCATCATCTAACCCTAGTATTGCCACATTTTTACATCTTTATGATCATACAATTAAACCTATATTATTATATGGCAGTGAAATATGGGGAATGTTTCGTACTGATTCAGCTGCATGTAAAAAAGATGATTATATATTAGAAAAAGTTTTTGGTCAGGATTCTTCTGAAAAAGCTCATAATAAATTTACGAAATATATTCTTGGTGTTAATAGAAAGGCCACTAACATAGCTGTGATGTCAGAGCTTGGTAGATTTCCTATTTATTTTACTATAATTTTATCAATGTTAAAATATTGTCATAGACTGGAAGGTTTGGAAGAAGGATTATTATATGATGCATTTATATGTTGTAAACAATTACATACTTCTAATGATAATACATGGCACTCTAGTATAGATTATATTCTGAAAGGGATTAAATTATCTAATTTTGACCAACCAATTGGTTCTTTATTTAAGTATGTTAAAAATAAACTATGTGAAAATAATTTAACATTTTGGAATAAACTGAAGTATCAAACAATTCAGAAAAAGGGAAGCTTTGTACTTATTTTTCTATAAAAGATTGTTTTAAAAAAGAAAAATAATTAGAACTACAGGATTTTTCAAAAAACATGAAAAAAGACAGTTAATTTGTAAATTAAGAATAAGCGCTCACTCATTAAAAATTGAGATGGACATATACTCAAAAAAAGGTATAGATAGACCCGAGCGTCTTTGTTTAAATGCTCACTTGGTAAAGTTGAGGATGAGCTTCATTTTTTATTAGGATGTCCGCTATATGATGTCAAAAGAGAAGAACTTTTTCATTACATTTCTAACATTTGTTATAATTTTAAAAACTTAAATAAATCTTCCTAATTTTTATGGCTCTTGACACAAGAAAATGTATCTCTTATGGAAAAAAAATGGGCTGTTATATTGGCGAGTGTTTTGATTTAGGAGATCAGGTCTGAATATTGATACTTGTCTAGTAAATAATTTTATAACGAATGCATATAATGTAATTTTATTATTAAATTGTGCATTTATAATTTATATGGTTGATGGCTCTGATTCTTGATCGATGCTAATATACTACAATGTACTAAATATACATGTACACTGTGTTGTTTATTGTTGTAATTATCAATTATATCAATCAATTGTAACTGATTTTTATGCCCTTTATAGGCCCTGTAATTTGGGAAATAAAAAATATTCTAGTTCTAATTCTATTTGGGAATCTGCGAAACTTGATGCGAGAATTTGCGACACTTGCACTATTGATGTCATCGAACAATCACCTTTCCTTTTAGGCGTCAAAATTTTTCGGGAAATTATGAATATCCAGATATATACATGATATATATATATACATCATGCATATATTATATATATAAATTTATAACTGTCAAGCAGGCTCCGCTAAGATTAATCATTATTAGAAAAAAATCAAAATCAGTTGCATCTTTCTTCTGACACTATATGTATATATATTCAAAATTACTAAAATGTATCCCTAAACAGGTGTTATATGTAAGAGGGTCGTAATGGGGGTACCTTCATGACGAATAACGGTAAAAAAATCTTGCCAAATGACGTTAATGGTAATTTATGGAGCATGACAATAAAATGTAAATGTTCTTTATGACGATAAAACAATCGACTGATTTTGACGAATGACGTTAAATTTTTTCCAAAAATACCAATTATTTGAGACCTTTGACGAATCACATAAAGATATTTTGATGAATCACGATAACATTTTAACCAATTTGACGCTAACGGTAGCCGAAAATGACCGTTTGACGACTGACGGTAAAGGGCATTTCTATCCTCATGTAACTGTACATTGTCAATGACAAATCTCTGAATGAAAATATCTGTAGCTGATTTTTGAGCTTAACCTTTTTCTGATATATAAAGTGTCATCTCCCTGATATATATGTCTACTAATAAAAAACATTTACCAAAGATTCTTGTGATGGAATGTGAGGAAACATATGGTTTTCCATGCTTAACAAGTTAGACAAACTTTTTTTGTTTTGCTGGCCATGTGTTCTATGCTTCATTTTTTGTGCTTGACGTCATCGATTCGTGTGTACACACTGGGGGAAACGAAAGTGTACAAGTACCCAAAGAAAATCTTTAACGTAAGGATAAATGATATCTAGAAAATATGACGATTGATATGTTATATCCATTGACAAATATTCTTTGCCAAAACAGCCAAGTTATAATGTAAACCTTGTCAGTTTTTGATAAATCTCCCGAAATGACAATTATTGGTAAATTATCTCCCCCTGTTTAGGCATAGATAGTGATAGGTTGGTAAAGAAAATAGGAAATAAGAATACGTATGATCCACTTATTAAAATTCATGCCATTTAGATATAAGACTTTAATAAGCTTGAAGTATTCCAGCTCAGTAAAAGGACCAGAGATGATAAGACCCTGTATGGTTATCATGAAATATAAGTTCCTTCATCTGTTCATAGTAGAACTAGAAGATCCAAATGGAAGAGTTAAATTATTTCCACTGGAACAAATTTAGCAGTATTTTGTTCCTAATGGAAGAAATGATATAGAATATTTGTTCCAACAGGAACAGATATTATGGCATTGTTTATAACAAAGTTTCCTAGGGAACTTCTGTTAAGCGGAACAAATGTACGTTGACATACACCTTATCGCTATTCCCGGCTGACCCGAGAATCTGTCCCGCTTGAACTTTTGACGTCATACAACAATCACTTTTCCATTGTGGCGTCAGATATTTTGTATTGTGACGTCAAAATTTTACGGGAACCTGTGTGATGTTGAGTAATGGCGGACAAATAGCGATAAGGTGTATTGTGACAATGTTTTTACAAATATAGACAATATAGACATTATCCCCTGCTTAGTATATTTCTCGGATTTAGATGGGCTGATGACAAGTATAGCCACAGGTGTTGCTACCCATTACCCCAGGGAACTTCACAGACACACATGTTTTCCTTAGTTCCGTGGTAGTTCCCAGTGAAATGCAGATTATCCATGATGTCTGTCCTATTAAGCCGATCATTGGCATTCATTTTAGTAAATGCATTACTTGGCTACCACGTCTTCAATTAACGGGACTATATTGACCTAGGTATGCAAATGAGTAAATGCATCACTTGGCTACCACGTCTTCAATGAACGGGACTAAGATGACCTAGGTATACAAATGACCCACATTGGTGTCACACCATCTATTACATAACGCTTGCGACATTGAGTGCCAAATTTGATTTATTTTAGTTTCTCTGTCTCTGGATTGAAAAAGTCTTACATTTAACTACCTGTAGGGAGAACACCCCGTAAAAAATATGTCAAATTTTCAAATTTCAATTAAAACTTATTAATAAAAATTGCCCGATAAGGACTAAGTCCGGAGATAAATTCGTTAACTATTTTCAAATTTGTAGAAATGGGATTTTAATACCCTTCAGTATCCTGTACACCCATCAGCTTCGCCTTGGGGTATATGTGTTCAGGGAACTGAAGGTGTTAAAATACCCATATACATGGATATGAACGTAGATAACTTATAATATTTATTAGCACAAATGCAATTATAACAATCGGTAAAGGATCTATACAAATTAAAGTACATTGCATTATAATACATAAAATATATGACTCACAACTATAATATCAATAGGTTGTATTTATGTAATATCAGCTATGTTATATTTATAATTAATATTTTGATAATACATCATTTGTAACTTTAGACAATTCAGAATCTTAAAAAGAACACATCTACAAGTTCAAATAATCTTGTTTCTGTTGCAAAGACCGTTCTATTATCATTTGCATGGAATTTGTTTTATTGTTGATGTATATAGATATAAGAAGATGTGGTATGAGTGCCAATGAGACAACTCTCCATCTAAGTCAAAATTTATAAAAGTAAACCATTATAGGTCAAAGTGCGGTCTTCAACACGGAGCCTTGGCTCACACTGAACAGCAACTATAAAGGGCCCCAAAAATTACTAGTGTAAAACCATTCAAACGGGAAAACCAACGGTCTAATCTATATAAAAAATGAGAAACGAGAAACACTTATGTATATGTTTCTTTTGTAAATTAAAAAACCTCTTGGGAGCTTGTGTTTTCTATGTTTGTACAAATTCAATTTATCTAATGAGTCTACATATACACAAATTAAAAATCAACATATGACCATTACTGCTATGTCTCCACAGCTAGCAATTTTTCACCTGGTTGGGGAGTTGCTTTAAATCATGCATATCATATTTAAGTATTATTACCATTATTTTTTAATTCCAATGGAACATGCATTTCCTCCCAAGCATGATTCATGACCCTTAAACAAAAGTTATTTTTTGAAATTCTTGATTTGCTTCCAGAGGATCATCTTAGTAAACATATATTTCAATGATGCTGTCTATCAAAATTCTTTTTCTGGTAGCACTCTATTAGTAAAAGAGTGTTATTAAGGTTACTTATCTAAATATAAACGAAGTTTTAAATTATTAGAGTCTGGTCATCCCTGAAGGCCACATGCTGACTTCTTGTCTGACTGTGTGTTATTACCCTAGAAAGTTACCTTTTTATTATATGACTATATAAAATTTCTCTTTTTTATTGGCGAAAAGCATGGGGAATCTTCTTTTATAAAACATTATATTCACCATGGGAAAAATCATGAGAGGTTAATACAAGTTTTGGAACACCACCTGTGCATGTGAATAGTTATTTTCTAGGCAACCTCATGCAAATTCTCGTTTTTCTTCTTTTTTTCAGTGCCTATTTTTTTTAAATATTTTTCATTGAGTATTTCAACTTGTAAAAGTTAGCAACTACCAAAGCCGACAATATATATATTAAATAAAGAAGAAGCAGATGAATATCTTGAGTAAAAAGTAAAAAAATGGAGATGGATTTTAAAAAGTCATATAATAAAACAATTAAAATTGAGAATGGAAATGGGGAATGTGTCAAAGAGACAACAACCTGACCAAAGAGCAGAAAACACTGATATCAGTCAATACATTGATTTATCAACCCCAGAGATGTGACATTCACCCTTGACTGTTGGCCTTGTTGAATATCATCTCTTGGTTTGATAAATCATTGTATCAACCTCATCAAAAGTCAATAATTATATAATATTAAGGTCTATATTGCCTTAATTCATTGAATAAATTCCTCATCATTACTCATGAGAAAAATCTCTATAGATGTGAAGCAGAGAGATTTTGATATATGAAAAACAATATGCTAACAGTTTGACAACTTCATGTACATATATACAATCATTGCATGTTATATATGTCTGTAAGAGAGGGTTTGACCTTGACCTCATTTCATGGTTCATTTGTCAGTGTTGATATTTAATGATTTGGTTAGTTTCTCATGATCAGATTCTTAAAATAATAGGTCTACTTTATTCATGGAAAAAGATGGTTATGAAGTTTAAATGTCCGTCTTACAGGGATATACTGACTTGGATATATTACAGACTTTCTGGAGCATACAGAGAGAAACACCTTCCAGAAACTAACACAAGTAAAGAATTTTTCAAAACAAATAGTTATTTTTATGAGAAACTTCCCTGAATAAATAGATTAGCAAAAACTTAATATTTGTAAAATGAAATGGAGGAAGAAGTCCTCATTACAGAAGAAAAATAATTTGGTAGAAAAAATATAAAAATCTATATAAATAAGTGAATTCAAAACCTTTTCTTACTGGTAAGTTTTTCTGTCTTTTTTGCACTTGTGCTGTTTACCGTGATGATGAAGGCTGCCATATTGGTTAAATCCATGTCATCTGTTACCTTTTAAATGTCAACTTGTACCAAATTTTCCCTAGATGGTTCCCTTACCAAGTTTTACTTTTGTCAGAGGCATAGCTTCCCTTGAGGCAATGATGCAACTGCCTCACTAAATTTATATCAAAACAAATAGAGGAGATAAAGATAGATAAAATATGTAACATGTATTCCAAAGTATAGAGTTGAGAGTGATGATGGTTCAAAACATTTGACTTCTCTATTCTTTTACAACTGTTATCCTAATGCTAGCAAGTTAAAGGTTTGGTTTGCTTGCTTGCTTTGTTTGTATTAATGTTTGCTCAAGCATTGTAATTAAGATTGACATCTGAAAACAATATAAAAAGGCAGAGTTAAACTTGTATACATTATATTTAAATTTGATTGGACATTATCAAATAATCAAATTTACCTATATACAGGTTTAACTCCGCCTACTTATATTGTTTGCAGATGTCAATCTTAATTACAATGCTTGAGTAAACTTTAATACAAACAAAGCTAGCAAGCAAACCAAACCTTTAACTTGCTAGCATTAGGATAACAGCTGTAACGGACATTCCTCAATTAACTTAAAAACTAGTAATCAAATATATTTCCTGAAATGACCAAATTAGATACTGGTTTCTTGTGTGTAAACCTTGTAACAAAAGTGATTCAGACAAGAGGTCAGACCTATGAAACTGACAGGATGCTTGATTTTTGTTTTTTGGTTGCATTTGATAAATGTGGTTTTCAACAGACACTTGGCATTCCCATGGAAAACAATTGTTCTACCCTTCCACCGACATGTTCCTTGATTCATATGAGCCAGGCTTCAGAGTTCAACCAGTCATATAATACATGTATGCCACCATGCATCTCACAAACTTATAAAGATACTAGACATAGTTGATCTTAAACTTAAATATCGCCAAATCCATACACAAGCAATTTATGGGTGTCCAAGATTGTGTCAGTTGTTGTTGTTTTGATCAGTCATTGAATACAGAGAATAAAATTTTAATCAATAGTTTCATTCAAACGTATTCATGGATCTAATGCAGATTAGAAAATACTATTTTTTCATGATAAAAGTCTGCAAATTTGGGATTTTTTCTAAGAAGAAAATTTTGTACACGTATGTGGCCAATCAAGCCTTTGTCGTCTGTTGAAGGGATGGGCATTTATATACTCTATCCAACAGTATAGAGATTGCAATGCTTGCTACGTGCTACAGAACCCTTGAAACAAACCTGGCAGG